AAGGTATAAAAAAAACCCCTATAATTGATCTCATTGGCAAATAATGACTTTAACTTTTGGCAAATTTTTTAAAAAGAAAAGTATATAAGCGTATCTATGTATATTTGGTATGTGGGTGTGTTTGTGCATTACTCATTTATTTGCGATCTGCTTAAGATATCGTTGTGCAAATGGATTTTTGCAAATCATGGCCACCGCTGCAATCTTAAGGTTATCTTCTAATAAATTTGTAGTGGCAGGTCTTGGTTGGATGATTGTTTTTGTAGCAAAACAAAAAGCAAATGATAATAACTAAAAAAAAATATCAACGAAAACTTATTCATAACCGGTTGTAATTGGTTTTCAGCAACTAAATATAACAAATAGTTTTTTATCGCTTTTTTCATTATTATTATTTTTTTTTTCATAAACTTCCTCTTGTTTTCTTTAGCAACAGTTCTGCAGAGAACTTATAATAATATAAGTTCCCTGGGTCTGTTCGTTGATCAGATGGGCAGTAACGAAAAATTGAGTAAAGAAAGTTGCAAATTCGTGCTGGCAAAATTTCAGCCAGTAAGAACTAGCAAGTACGAAAAACAGCTGATTTCCGATCATATGATTGAATTTATGTCAACAATACGAAATTGATTCAATGACAAAGTGAGTGCCCTAAAATTATTTATTTTACTAAAGTAAATTTAATGGTATCAACGGTATTAGTGGCATTTAAATGGAAAAGAGCTCTTTCTTGGATTTTTTTTTTGAGCATAATCGAATAAATTCTATAATAATGTTGAGATAATATGGCCGGCTTACACCTAATTCAAACTGATTTTTCGTATTGCAAAGCAAGTTTCACATAACTTTTAGACCTTTTAGGGGACTATTGGATAAAACCTTTTAGTATATTTATCGTTGGATGGCTATAAAACAAGAACATAAATTAAATACGCTGCATAGTTGCCAAATTTTATTAAAATGCTTAGGAAAATACGTGAATGCAGACGAAATAAACTGTTTAAATTCAAATTTAACTGCCAAACAACTGTTGTAGAGCTTGCTGGCTAATTTTACACTCAATTCTTTTCGTTGAAAACTTGGTAAATTTCTTTCATTGGGAGTGTAAGACATCAGAAATCCGACTTTCCCAATTTCTTTACTGGCTAATTTTTACTGACACTTCTCAACGAACACAGCTAACATTTGCGTGGGCTTTTTGTGCCTACTCGCATTTTTATTTATATACTAAAAACCCACGTGCGTTGATGATAAGCGTAAATAGAATTAGTCAATGAGCGCAAAAGTGTGATAAGGTTCATAATGGGAAATGTCATTTGAGAAAATTTTTCATCAGAATTGTAATTAACAGTTAATATTCATATAGAAAATATGTTTTCATTTCCGTTTTATATACATACATACACGTATGTATGTATGTGCATATGTATGCACGCATAAACAATGTGCATAAGAAAAACTGCAATTAAATGAATTTATATAAAAAAATATATACTTGTGTCTGTAAAGGGTGTTTTTTTAGGACTTGTCTCTTTGACAGCTCTTACTAGATAAATGTATATATATACTCAGTTTTGCTTGCCATTTATAATAATAAGCCCAACGAATACCCTCCACCCGCCCAACCGACACGAGAGGTGACATCCGCATCACGTACGGCATATGCCGAGTCTCCGGAACAAGCTTTACAAATCGTGCAATATTCGGACGTCATAAACGCCTCGCAGAGCCGGTAATTGGAGCCACCTTGGTTCGGTTGAGTACAACGTTTAGTCTAGTGGATCATGCCAATCCTCAGAGACGCACACCGAAGGCGCTATTGCTGCCGTACAGCAGACTATCAAAGAAGATTCGAATGAGTCCATCCGCCCTCCCACGTAAAAAATTGGAACTGCTCATCCACTTGGCTTGCAGACTTAAAAAATCCAACTCGCGCTAGAATTGAAGCCGAACGACCATAAAACGCGTCTAACGTTTAGTGAATGGACCTAAAATGAGATTACTACCGATCCTGATTTTTACAATAAAATTTTGTTCAGCGATAAAGCTCACTTTTGGTTGATTGGATACGTTAAAAAATATTTGGAATGATGATAATCGACTAGCTACCACTGTTGAGACGCCATTGCAGCCTCAAAAAGTCAAAGAGAGAATCAAATGGTGCATATTTCTTCAGAAATAAAGCCGAACACAATGTTTCAGTCAATGAAGAACGATACTGATTAATGACTTTTTCGTGCCAGAATTGTAGGATGTTGATATTGATGCCCTTTGGCTTCAATAAGTCGGCGTTACATACCATTCAACCAACATATCAATGAATTCATCGAAGGAAACTTTTGGTTAGCGCATTATGTGACATCGTAGGCATCCAAGATCATGCGATTTAACACCGCTGGACTATTTTTGTGAGGTTATACATACATCGCTCCGTAGTTAAGCGCAGGACGATATGTCCCCAAATAAGTACTCTTATATGTTAATAGCGCTCGGTGGTCGGTCAATTGGTCATTAAAGTTTAATGTTTTAATTTCTGATTCACTTTTAATGCAGTTCATATACTTACATGCATACGAGTACATATATAATTGCTACCATTTACAAAGACCCTAAATGACATGTTTTCCAAAAACCGGTTCATGTTAATTTTGTGTTCAAATACGCTGATGGCAAAAAAATACAGAAAATGGTGCAATAACAGCGAAAATACCTGTTTTTATTATTTTTACTTTACTTACTATTTTTGTTGTACATACTTTCATGCTTTTGTACCGACAATGTACTCGTATATGTAGCTCCTACATGCATACATACATATATTAGCCAATATCACAGATTCAGAAAGTCGGTTTTTTATTGTTTAATTATTTTTTCTAGAAAAACTAGAGGCAATTTTACCAAATTTTCATGTCAGCCCGGATAAAAGTCTCAGTGATACAGCCTAGGAAAAATGGTCAGCGCTTTAAACGAGTTTTCCTCGGAACTGTGTTTTCCGAAAGTCGGTTGTCAAAAGCTCTCGAAAACTACTCAAACGATCTTGTTGAAATTTTACAAAGCTCCTCCTTTCATTTGTTCCCCTTTCCTTTTTAAATAGCTTCGATCAGGCACTAGATTATCCATTTAAAATCATTTTTTGGTGCAATTCATTTTTGATTAGGAGCTTGTGAGCCACACCGCAAGGCACTTCTTTTGGAACTGGGTTAACACCAAGAAGTATATTTAAGTTAGCCGTTGCCATCTATGTTATCCAAGTGGAAACCCAGGAAAAGAGCTGTTTTGTTAGTTTAGGACCAAAGGGAAATTGATGTCTCAATATGTCAGAGTTAAGCTCAGTATACTCAGTATATACTAGTTGCGGTGGTAATACTTATGCCTCATTGGGCAGCTCGAGCTCTTCGATGGTGATGAGGGTAGTGTTAATTGACTCTTTATTAATGGCTTTTCGGGATTGTGGCAAAACATTGCTGTATGAGGTCGGTTAATTTTAGAGCTTACTTCTTGAAGTAGCCAGCAGATGCCTGCTAGGCTGATCGCTGTGTAGCATCTCAACCGTTACTGCTTTCAAATTATAAAAGTCTCGCTCTCAATCGGATCGCAGATGCCTCGCAATGTAGTTAGAGGTTCACATTGGCGGTGTTTATTGCGTTAATTATAATTGGCCGCTCGATATTTTTTCAAGTGTCCAGCAACGTTTCTTTGCGCAGCTCGGGACTTGAGAATATTTTTACGGCAATGCGGTCATTTGTGGAGTAAAAAAGTGCCGAAATGAGCTGGTGTATTCAGATTTAGATGATTGCAGATATATGTAGTTGTAATTGTGTCAGTGAAAAAACAGGAAAGGTTGTTGCTGTTAGCTTTCGAATATCCTGGCAGCTGATAGGCTTATTATGACAAATATGTGTTGTGATACTCTAATAAAAGAGAGCTGTAGAAGTTTCGTAAGTTGTTGTAGGTACGACGACTTCATTTGTGAACGAGCGGCAAGAAGAATAAAAGGACACAACCTAGCATAACTGATGACTAATGGCTAATTCCCCTGCGGGTTAGGGGTTCAAGAATTTACCCGCGGTAGGGCATGCCTGTCGTAAGAGGCGACTAAAATCCAATAGTACCAGCGACAGTGGGGTATTTTTATCCGGTCAAGGATTCCCGAAAAAGAACTTTGTGGCATATTTTTATGGTTACAATAACAGCAACAACTAATGGCACCGAGGGTGTTTCTGATATGAAAAATAAAGCTTGTTATAAAAATTTATGAGCCCGCGGTAAGGCATACCTGTCGTAAGAGGCGACTAAAATCCAATAGTACCCGTGACAGTCGGGTCTTTACACCGGAACGACCCGGATTTTTATACGGCCAAGGATTCCCGTAAAAGAACCTTGGGGAATATTTTTGCGGTTACAACAGCAACAATAAAAACTAGTGGCTAATACCACCTGCGGGTTAGGGGCTCACGAATTTACCCGTTGTATGGCATGTCATTATGCAGAGGGCTATTAGTTTGAATCCTTACCAAACCAAAATCTCATAAAAGTAAAAAATTTCAACGGCACCGAGGGTGTTTCTGATATGAAAAATAAAGCTTCTTATAAAAATTCATGAGCCACTCGAAGGTGACTGATACAAAATATACATTATTTGTGTAACCCTTCTTACCAAACACATTTGGACCGATCTTTGTCAGACTACCACTTCCACCTTTTATTAAATCTAATTGTTTTGATGTAAACAAAAGCCTGGCAGAGATTTATTTGCTGACTTGTTCTCGAAGCCCATCTAATACAAAATCAAATAAAAAATCTTCCATTTGAGGTAATTTCTGTGCTGAGTACAAATACGTTAACTATTTTAAGCCGGATACAAGCCTAGATTGTTCCACGTGTCTTTGAACATCTAGACTGATCGTATGACGTCAACTATAGAATGTTTTTCATTTCGTTGCCTTATAAGCTTCGCATACCCAGACATTAATATGTATTTATGGTAAATATAAAATTCAGTGTTTTGTGCTTGAAGTACTAATTCCTTTATTTGCAATTCTATGAACGCATTCTTTATATGTAAGAGTGTTTATGCATACCCATTCAAAGTTCCATTGATATTTGTAAATTTGCATGTATGTGTATGTATGTGTTTTTTTTTAAGTGTATGTATATATGTATGTTGATAAAATGCATTAAGCCATTGCAGCAACAACTCGAGGGCAGTTGGGAATTTGGCATTTCAAATCCCCACTTACAGTTGGTGGGATCAACATATTCGATACATTGCCAACGCCACTGTTGCAGAACATACATCCTGCCGGGCAATCGGGTACAGCCATTGGAAGTTTCACAGATTTCCATGCGCGTTTCATGTCAGATACCAATTGTTGCATCATTTCGGGAGTATGGAATGGTGTTGGTGCCAAACGCAATTTCTCTTCACCACGGGCAACAGTTGGATAGTTAATGGCTTGCATATAGTGACCATATTCATGTAAAAGAATATCTGATATTTGTGTGGTCTTCAATGGATTTCCAATGCGTATGGGTATAATGTGACTTTTCGTTTCTTCGACAGGAAAACCTGAGAGATGAGAATAATAAAAAATTAATAGAAATAAGCACGATATACTGCAATAAGTGAATTAAATCATTATGTAATCTATCTTAAGTAATTAATATAATTATTGTTTTTTTTTTTGTTAATTTGCGTGCACAAATTTATTAAATTGCGATAAAAAAGTAATTTGTGTTCTCAATTTTCGCTAAACATCTACGAATTTGCGTGCAATTGAAGTAGGTACCTACTTGAAGAAAAGTGTAAGTAAATATCTACATACATATATATGTATGCGTATAGTAAATTTTTGTCTTATCTATACGTATGAAATGTAAGTATCTATTTGTGTATACGTAACTTAGAAACTTTTTGGCAAGCAAAAGTGACCATGGATAACGTACAAACATACATACATATGTGCATATCTATAGAAAAATGTACATAAAAAGCTGCATTACACGAGTATGGTTCAAAACTGGCTTCTATATATAAGCATATATGTACACACATATATGTTTATGAATATATGTATGTAAACATACAAATTTATGCACATACTGCATAGAACTGTATGTATATTATACGAAAGAATTCGCGTTTCGCTTGACTTATGCAATAGCAGAATATCAATTAGCAGCCAGTATATACATACTTATCTTCATATATACATATATTTATATATAAATATATATATATATATATATATACATATATATATACTAGTGTGCATGTATTTTTCAAATAGAATTTTAAAGCCACTAAGCATTACTTGTTTAATTTGGCCGCTGATAATAAATGAATTAAATAATTGTGCACACATTCATACATACAAATAAAAATCAATTAAAAAAAAAAAAAATATACTTAAAAAAAAGTCTTACCTTCTCGTTGTAATAAGCTTTTCAAATATTTCACATTACTCTGATGTTTGCTACGTAAAGCACGTCCCTCATCAGAGGCCAACAGTTCAATTGCAGCATGAGCACCACAAACTACTGCTGGTGGTAGTGATGTGGTAAATATAAATCCAGCCGCATATGAACGTATCATGTCTATCAAATTTGCACTGCTCGCTATGTAGCCGCCAATATTTCCAAATGCTTTGCCCAAAGTGCCCGATATAATGTCCATTTTCGGTAATAAACCATCTCTTTCGCCAATACCTGCACCATTACGACCATATAAACCGACTGCATGCACCTCATCGATGAAAGTCAAAGCGCCATATTCATGCGCAATATCGCATAATTCCTCAAGTGGGCAAATTGCCCCCGTCATCGAATGTACGGTTTCGAAAGCGACAATTTTCGGTACATTACGATCGATTTGTTGTAACAATGTGCGCAAGTGTTTTGGATCATTATGACGGAATATATGTTTTGGTACGCCACTATTGCGTATACCTTGTATCATGGAGGCGTGATTGCCTGCATCCGAAAATATATGACAACCAGGCAGCAGTTTCGCTAAAGTGAAAAGAGTGGAATCGTTTGCAACAAAACATGACGTAAATACCAAAGCACCATCTTTTTGATGTAAACGCGCTAGGCGTTTCTCCAGCATTTCATGGTGTAGTGAATTGCCTGATATGTTACGTGTACCGCCAGCGCCAGTGCCATGACACTCAATTGCTTTGATTGATGCCTCTTTCACTTTCGGATGTGCAGACACCCCAAGATAATCATTTGAGCACCAAACAGTGATGGGTCTTTCATCCTTTGAATATTCCAAGGCATGTGGAAAGAGACCTGGTCCTGCCAAACGGTTCACTTTACGGAAAATACGATAGGAATAATCTTGCTTTTTCTTAAAAATTTGATCATGGAAAAAATTTTCATAAGGAAACGTATCAGCAGCAGTGGTCACGTCAATAGCAACATTCCGATTTTCAATTTGTTTTACACCGTTCGTCGTGGTTTGTGGTTTCGCAAACGATTCATTTGGTCGTACAGCAGAGGTGTAAGAGCGTTGATTAGATGCGTTTGTTGGAGTTGATGTTGTCCTTGGCACTGCCACATTAGCTAAACTCGATTGCAATTTAATACCTTCATTGCCAGTTGTTGTGGTATGGAATTGTTTGCTCAACACAGGACAATAAACACCATAAGTTTGCACCAAAAACTCAGAGTAATTGCGTACATAACTTGCACTGAATCGACTTAAAAATGGGCACGACATAATACAATTTAAGTTTCTTTAGTTTTTGGACACGTCCGGATTATGCAAACACTTGAAAACTTATGAGCGAAACTTTTGCTTGTCTTGCAAGTCATATGTGTACCAGACAGCAAATATATGGATGTTATCGATAAATAAAGTTTATTATCACAAACCAATTACACAGCTGTTAAGGTGACCAGTATAAGCAATAATTTTATTTCCAATTGGATCTCTGTGATATCAAAGAACGTATATGAATAAAAAGCGGTCCAATCAAAGAACGTATATGAAATTTTGGTTTCGCTTCAACATATCGACCCTCCAAACTACGAATGGTGTGAAGAGGACGCGAAACCCTGAGATTGGCCTTCAATTTACGCTCTTTCTGAAAAAGCCAATTTACGAGACCGTCATGCCGCTTCTTATTCATATACGTTCTTTGGTAATACTAAGAGACTATTTCACCTCTATACGATATTATTGATATATATAAGCTTTTATCATAAATTACAGGTTTCAACTTTGTAATATATACATCATTAAAAACTAATAAAAGCCACTTTCTAGAGATCCTATTAATGAAAGAATTGTCAGCAGGTCCACCAAATTTGGAAAAGTTTTATTTCTCTTTGAATATTTAGTAATAAAATAATAAGAGAAAATTGAAAAAGTGAATGTTCTGTTAAATAATTAAATAAATTCTTTCGAAAAGTTCAAAAAATTTTCAAAAAATATTTATAATAAAAATGAAAAACCCATAAACAAATATCGCTAAAAAAATCGCCTACAAATATGCAACAACTGGCAAATGTAATCGAAAATACAGAAACAGGAAACGCTCAAGTAAAAATATGGCAGCATTTCCTTTCCAAGCTGAAAACATGGCAGCACCACCTGTACATAATATTTAGTTGATTTTTCGCATTTGCGCTTTATAAAACCTAAAATTCAATACTTGTTTTCAATTTTTGATTTTTCAAGCAAAACTCAAAAGCAAATACTCTCTATCCTAAAATACTTAATAAAAATGTACTCTCATTGGTTGTTAAAAACTATTTGGATTGCATCCTGACCGTGATGCATTGACGAAACATAAAATTAAGTAACGGTATCAGCGTAAAAAGGCGCAGGTGAGATTCTTTACCTTCGCAATGAAAAAAAAAATATCTATCGTCTATCCATGTACATACATATTTAATGTAATGTATATAAACAAGAGAAAAAATGTAAATGAAAATTCAATAGAGGATAATGCTGGATAATTCAACTATTTTATAGTGCAAATAGTTAAACGTTTTCGATTTTATAAACATTTATAATTTATACCATATTTACGTGGTTAACACTGTGCATGTGCACGCGTGTTTGTGCGCTGTGTACAATACACAAACAAACAGCTCAGCTAATCATAAAAGCAAGTTCAAAAATATAATAAGTTCATTTATACATAAATACATACATATGTACATACAGTTGTACGCGCATAGGTAAACACACTTTGGTGTATGTACATATATATGTACATGTTTCCACAGGATGTGTATTAGTTCTGTATTTATGTGTTTATTGTGTGTGGTTAGTAGGATAACTTGAAGAATTTATATATGTACATGCGTACATATATACAAAATACCACCGTGAGTACTAAGCACACCTGGTGTATAATGCGTGTTAAGAGAGTAATATTTCTCAAAAAGTAAAAGAAAATTTAGCAAATAATTAAAACAAAACTAATATGCATTGATGCAACGGAGCGTGGTCGTAACTAACAATTTTCAATTTTTGAAAGAGCCAATTATTTCTGTTTGAACAAAAAGTTTTTAAAAGGTATGACTAATTTCTTTTATTTATTCGTGCAGCTAAGTGCTTTAAAAAATCCTATAAATTCGTTAACGAATTTAAAACTTTTAAGGAAGTGATTTTAAGTATATGTCACATACGTCAGTTTTTTTTTAATAAGTTCCAAAGCTTGTGTGCTATATACGTACTATGTATTGTTATTAAATATGATTGAAATTATTTATATTTCTTGTAAATAATTTCTAAATATAAAATGTATTTATTTATATGTATTTTCCTCACATTCTGTATTATTGCAGCAACTTTTTTCGAACTTTCCAAACTGCGCCTATATTATTAATTAATCTAATTCTAAGCTATTCTACTATAACCAAAATGTCGTCGTATGAATGTGAGCGAAGGGTAAGTCTAAAAGTGCTCTGTATTTACATGCAACTGTTTATAAGTGCGTTAGAGTATATGTATGTAGAGTTTTATGTATACTTTAGTAACTTCTCATTATTTTAATGAAGCAAATAATTTAAATCGAATTTCTACTCTTTAGGTTGCAACCGATAAACTTCAAATCGGCGCTACCGATCGCAGAGTGAAGGCAATCAGTCATGTTGGTCACGCGGTTAATTTGGCAATTGAGCGGTTCGTAACAATAGGCGAAATAATTGCCGAGGACAATCTTGATATCAAAACGGATATTTTGGAATGTTGCAGAAACGCAAGAGATGCAGGTAAAGCAAATGTAAAATAATTAATTGAAGAAAATTATGTCAAAATACTTATTACAGATGATGGGTCATAGCTTCTGATACAAAAGGAACGAATTTATGGCTTTTAATCCGTTTCTTTACCTTGGCACTTCTGCTTTCTTTTTTTTCGCCTCATAACTGTTCTGTGCCGCAACAGCATGCTGTTATTTTCAAACCAGCTTAGTAACCTCACTTAGAAGCTGACAAGACTAATCGAGATCATCTAACCCGAAACCAATTTTTTTGTAACCCATCCTCCTCGACTGGTTGAGTTGATTGGCAGGTTTCAGATTTTAGTTGTGCCAATATTTACTTGGCTCTCATGGTGCATCTAAAGAATTTCGTTTGCTATAGGTGGTATTTGGGTTGCAATGCAGGTATTGCTTCAAAAGCAACATTATGCTCCTTGACCGGAGTCATAGATATCTTGTAATGTAGACACCAAGAAATTTCCTGTTACGATTCTCTAGGCGATGTTTGGACAGGATCGTTATTTCTACATCTGCGCCTTGCTAGTACCTGGTGTACAGAACGATGTTAATAGCAACTGAGTAGAGGTCTTCCTCTTCAACTTATTGGCTAGAGAGATTCTGCATTGGAATTTGAGGCTGACATTGTTGTTGGTGTTAATACTGCTTCCAGGAAGGCGAAATGATCGGAGAAGTCGGATGTATAGTAATTTAGGTCAATGGTGTCAATATTATCGGTATACGCCAGCAGTTGTGCACTCTTCAACATTGTTCCTTCTCACGGTGGCTTACTAAAGAACGTAAGTAATCACTCGGGGTCAGGACATACTTAACTTTTCACTTCCGATTATGTTTCTTGGTGGACGATAGCTCAAAGAGAAATAGTAGTATAATAATAGTGGAACCTCGTTATTTATTCTAACTATGGTTTACTGACCGCGTTACAATCTTTATGAACCTAATCACCATCAACAACCTTCTCATCCCGAGAACGTACAAAGTCTACCTCGTATTGACTAATCTATATTCACTTTTTTTTCTCAAAATTTAAGGAATTTCTAAATTTTCCACTTTCTTTGCAGGAAAATCAATCGAACGCTTATGTGATATTTCTGCCATGGATAACATGAATTACTCAACTTTAGAATTACCTATCTATGATGAAAACGCAATTATAATCGCAGCTAAAGCACTCATATCCGCTGTAACTAGAATTTTGCTTTTAGTTGATATTGTTGTTGTGAAACAACTCCTCACTGCAAAGAGGAAAATTGTGAAGAGTCTACGTAGACTTGAATCCGTTGTGAATTTTACCGAATTTGTACGAGCTTACTCGTTATTCGGCATTGAAATGATAGAGCTTGCATATCTAATACGAAATCAACAAAATAATATCAAGGAGGAGCGGCGCCGAGCGCAAATGTTTTCAGCTAAGCAAATACTTGAACATTCAATTTCAATTTTATTATCATCATCAAAAGCGAGTCTACTACATTACGACTGTATGATAGCCAAAGAGAATCGGGATACTGTATTTTGTCAAATCAGACGTGCTATGGACTTGATACATTTCGTGGTTAAAGATTGTATATTCGAAACACAATTTCTAACATATAACGAACCGGCTACGAAGAATATCGGCGGCGAAACTGTACAATCAGCATCGAATTATTTAACATTTTTGTTGGAGAAATTTCGCACGAAACCCCTCGATGAACCGAAATCGACTACTATGTATATAGGCAATAATAATTATTCGAAAATCGCCGCTTCGACTACGATAACCGAGAAGAAATGGAATAATGAATATAGCGGTAGTTGTAGTGGTAGTGGTAGTGGTACTGGTAGCGGTAGCGGTAAACGTCGAAATTCGTTTGGTAGTGAAGATGAGAATCTTCTTATAGGAAATAATTATAAACAATGTGGTACAAAAATTTCACCATTTACAGATCGAGACTTGATGACACCATTTAATATTGAATTAATCGAAGAACTGATATATGCTTTTGAGAAACTATTAGAGAAAACCCATGACTTTACCGATTCAGCTTATACAAGTCATGAGAATAGAGAACATATTTTATTCCTTTGTGATCGATGTAAACTAGAGCTTAAAAAATGTTTAAATATTTTATATAAAACGGAACGTAATACAAGACATATTATGGATGAGGAGATCGATCGAGTTATTGGCACAGCAAAGAATCTAACACAACAACTTATACTCTCGGTTGCCGATCAAACTGCTGATCTATATCATTCACTGAAATCGTCAGTGGAATTAGTTAATAATTTTCATTTGTTAGCGCTAAATGAGGACCCGACCTCGTTTCAGGAGTGGTCGAATAAATTTCACGATTGTTGTGATCACATTATAGATGTATGCAAATTGTTACAGCACATTGCTTTTACAGAGAGCTTACAAGTACAATCGAAATGTTTAGCTATTAATCTACGTATTTATGGTCCACAAGTTATATTGGCCGTTAAAATATTGTCGAGATATCCAACCAGTGTTCCGGCGAATGAGAATATGGATGCGTTCGCTGAAATGTGGAAATGGCTGATATCGGAAATAACAAATGTTGCACAACAAATCTTAGATACCACAGGCGAACAGTGCGACAATAAAGCAATTAAGGTATGAACTTTCACAAAAAAAAAAATAAAAAAAAATGTAAGTAAGATTTAAGGTGCTCCAAAACGTCCTTAACTGTCCGCTGTGCAAGACAAAATTACAACAAATAGGAAAGACTAAGCTCGGGAGAACCTGCTGATTAGTTTTAACCCGGAGTAACACATACCCGTTGTTGTTGTTAACTGTAAAGACTGTAACTTAAAAAACTCCAAACTGTCCCTAATTAACTAGGCAAATTTAAAATAAGTACGGGAAGACTAAGATCGGGTTCGGTGTTCAAGAATTTACCCATGGTGAGGCCTGCCTCTTGCTGTTGTTATAGCGGCGAAGGCTTGTCTATCATAAGAGGAGAAAGAAATCCAATAACTCCCACGATAGTCGGCTCTTCATATCGAAATGACCCGGGTTTTTTTTAACCCAAAGACTGCCACTTCAGAAATATACTCGGAGGGCTTGCCCTTACTTGCCGAAGGGTGACCGCAATTAGAAAAATTAATTTTCTATAATTTTCGATTTTGATGCGGCCTAGTACGCAATGCTAATCACTCGGCTATTGCGGCCGCGATATCTACATCTGTATGTATCTATATTAATCTCCAAGCGACTTATCTGATTTTCTCAGATCAAGTTTTCCCCGATAATATTCTCAAATATTCGATGACAAGTCCATAGATCAGTCGGAAATAGAAAATCTACAATATTATATGAAAGCGAAGCGTTTGGCTTTGGTATTAAACGAAATAAAACATATAGTTACTCGCGACCCAAGGAATTTCTGAGCCAAGTTTCAGCAAAATATCTCAATCCTTACTGGAGTTATGGTGTGCCGAACGGACGGAAAGGCGGTCAGATGGATATATCTAAATCGAATCATCTCTCCATTCCTCGAAGTTTGATGTACATATATATACGTCCAAGATAGATTATTTTATGCCATTACATACAACCGTTAGCGGATCAAACTCTGTCCACATATTACACTCACTTTCGACTGTTACTGTTGTAGAGGTTCTCTTCTCTTCGTCTACTCCCACACCCGAATATTGCATCGAAAGCATTCAAAGTTGGAGTATTTTCACCCATCCGAAAGACATTACCTACTCTCGCGCTCAATCTGCCAAGAACCACAAAACCTACTTCTGACAATCTTCTAATCCCGACTCATCAGTGTCTTATATAAAACAATAATCAGTTATGAGCTATGGCACGGACATGGGAACGAAGATGTGAAAGCGCTGATTTTGTCTTTGATATTTTGTTTAACTTTAATTAACTACCAGACTCCATCGCTTCGCTTCTTTGTCAGGTCGGCACTAGCGGTTGAAGCCAATGGAACAGCTTAGATAGAGTACTTGGATAGAGAATCAGTTTGTCAGAAACCTCATTTAGTATGGTACTGTTCGAAGGGGTCCTTCCCAAATCTGACAATTCTCCTGATGTTCCTCAATGTAAATTGATATATCTTCGCTTTGGAGCTGCCTATCCGCTTCTTTTAGCGATGTTGAAAGGCATTTGCCAAAATGTTATTTTCTAATATTTTCTGCAGCCCCCAACTAGTCCTCCATGACATATAAATACCCTGTAATTGAATCTGAATTTGCGTTCGCTAGAGCTGACACTTTTTTCTAAGTCTCGCCACCTGAATATGTTCCTTAACAAACTTATTTATTTACAAAAAAAAAAAAATATGTACCTCTATCTCCCTTTTCTATAATAGAAATATAAGCCCACTACCGCAAGGCCGCTCTCCGTTGGTCAGGAGGAACAAACCGGCAAGACGGCAACAGCTGAGACCACAAAAGATATGCCAGCGGAAATCGCGCCGTTCAACGAGAAATGGAATGACGAAGTAAACGATAATAATGACATTATAAAACGTGCTAAAAATATGTCAGCGATGGCATTCGCTATGTATCAGTTTACGAAGGGCAACGGCACTTTGCGAACCACGCAGGATCTCTTCACGCAAGCGGAATATTTTGCGGAAGAAGCAAATCGTCTATATAAGGTTTTGCGACAATTTTCATATCAGGTGAATAAACTTTGAATGAGGAAATTTTGGAAAATATTTTTATCTTATATAATTTTTGTAATACTCGTATGTAATATAATATAAGAATGAGTCGCCAGAATGTATGTACACTTACAACGCGAAAATGGGTGGACCGATTAAAATAATTGTAATATTTATGGAAGTTCCGCGAAATTGAAACGGTTAGAAAAATCAGGGAAATATACTAGGGACCGAAAATTTCGAAAAATCATATTTCTGGCTCGATTTTCTTGAAATTCTGTACTTAGATGGCTTTTTACTTAGATCAGCAGAAAGACTACTCTTCTCTTGCATTGCATTTTTGTACAAATTTTCTTGAAATTCAGCACATGGGGAGCTTTTTGATTAGACTAGCAGGAAGGATATCATTTTCTGTGGGGCCGAATTATTCGAAAGAAATTGTTTGCAGATGCTCCGGCGAGTCAACAATGGGGGGCTTGAGGATTATGTTCATTCGCGACAATGCAACAAATTTGTTTATTAACCCAGTACGGATTCAACTAAAAGTGTGTTTGTTCGCTGAACAAAATTTTTTTGTGATAATCGGGATTTGTGACCATCTCGCGACGCGTTTGTTAGCCCGCACACCGAGATTATTTAGCAAAATCTTTAGTTTATAAACATTTTACTGAGATAAAAATTAAAACTATATATATTTGTTCTCTCGCAGGTACCGGCAAGCCAAAATAAAAAGGATCTGCTGAACATATTGGACCGGGTGCCCACTTTTGTGCAAACACTACAATTCACCGTGAAAGATCATACGGTTGGCAAGGATGCGACATTTGTTAAAGTGGATCATGTTATACGTGAAACAAAGAATCTTATGAGTGTAATTAACAAGGTTGTAACAAAATGTTTTGAATGTGCGACTAAGGTAAATACTGTTAAGTCATAAACCAATTGTGAATATGAACTTTCCTCTCAACTTATGATAATAATGCCTTATTTTATTTATCATTTTAATGTTTTAAGATTTTTCTTTGTTTTATTTGTCAAGAGTTTTACGAAAACTGGTACAATAAAGAAGGATTTCTTTCTACGAAAGTTTGTTTTTTGGAGCTGACATACATTGTTTTTGAGAGTAAATTAAGCTTTTTGACACTCTCTCTCTCTCTCTCTTATTTTTTTCTACTAAACCTGCACGCATGCGTAGCCTCGATTAGTATTTTAACTGATTTTTTAACAGTATTTCAAACACAAAATCTTTTCTTTTTTTTTTGTCTTTCTTTAGTACAAATTAGACCTTAGCGGTCTCTCGGGCGGCTTGTCATCTTCGGGCGCTTTGGGTGGTGACGATAACAATGCGGGCGGCATGGGGGACTCGAAAGGCACCACCAGCAGTTCGGAGGGCAGCATGTGACATTACGGTATGGCTCGTAGAGCCAAGGGTGATGCACGTCGTACGAGAGTGTCGTTTTTATTATTTTAGCTAAATCTGCGTTTACAACAACAACCACGACGACTATCTAAATTTGAAAAATCAATTAGAGAAAAATCTATATTCATATACATTTTGTTATCTATTGTGTATGTATGTAATTCATATGATGAATTATTGATGTTATGTTATACTATCTAAGTAGTAAATATTAAAATTAAAAAGAGAAAAACAAAAACAAAAACAAAAACAAAAACTAAATTCACAAACAAAATAATTCTCAATTTAAAATTGTAATGAAGCTAATGTACGTATTTTGAGGTTGATAGATGTTGTTTTGCCCCTTTTTATGCATGTACAAACATTTCTTGGCATTATTGCTTCAAATTCAAATTTATCATTAAAACAAATGGCTATATTATGTAATTACTTCGATTTTTGTTTCTTAATATATAAATGAATAAATATATATGTATACATATGTGCGTATGCTAAAACTATTGTGTAAAACTAAAAAATGTTTTTCGAAAGAACTGTTTAAGGTATTTTTAGGGTTTACATGTGTGAATTGGGAAAAGAAGGTTAATTTACAACAATTTTTATTTTTTCACATACAAAATTAAATACTCTAGTCAACTGCCTCAAGATACACATTCGAAAAAAAAATTCTGAAATTTCGAAGGAAAATATTCATAACTCCGCCATTGTGATGTTATTTCCTGTGATCCGCGGACCGAGAAAGGCTGCGTTGCCTCTGCGTTGACAGTGGAACTCATGAAAGGATCAGTCGAAGTGAAACGCAGGAAAAACGTATTTTAAACAATACCATTAACTAGACTCTAGTCGTTGATAAATAGACTTATTTATAAAAATTTATTGTAGGAATATGGGCAAAGAATTTAACCATTCCAGTGAAATATATTGAAGTATATTTGATATTATTTAATTATTATTTTGTTATAAAATGTGCCATATTTTTTTTTTGAAAAACGTTCACAGGATTATCGATTTCTTCTAAAGGATGAGACCCACAACAGAAAAGCAAAAAGTTACAAACGATGGTCTTTGGAAGTGCGTACAGATTTATTTTATAATTAATTTTTGTGAAAGCGTCGCACTTTTTTTTTAAAAAAAGATTTATTTTTGACTAAAGAATACGCACTAAATTATTAAAAAAAAATATACATTTAATCGAAAAGCGGCTACGTACTTCCAAAAAAAATTTATTATTGGAGCTACCATCAAATTTCAGATAAATCGATGTAATAATCTGTCCTCCCAGCTTGAAAAATGTGACTTTAAACCAACTGCATATCATTTCTAGGACCTAAAGGTACCCTATCGGCAAAAAAAAATTGCATTTTCCAAAATCAAAGAGTGGATTTTTACCCCTTAACGAAGTAATCGATGAATTTTTATGAGGTGCTTTTATTTCGTATCAGAAATACAAACGGAGGGGAACCGCAACTACAAAAAATTTATTTTCTATAATTTATATATGTTATGTACGGAAATAAACTCGAAGGGGTTAATATTCCCTGCCGAGGTACGACTGTAATAAGACTTTTTTACCACTTTTACAAAAGGTCAGTTTTTTTGTTTACACTCCCTTGTGGTTTTGACATCCGTCACGCGAGTTATGAAGTTTTTCGAGGGCTTTCAATTCCAAACAGAGTGTTCTTGAGGGTAACCAAAAATCAAGCGGAATTTGACGCAGAATTAATTGAGAAGATGACCTCTTAGAAGATTATTCGAGAGGTTTGGGGCTCAGCACAGAACAAATATTGCTTAGGTAAGCGAACATCTTCACTATCCCTCATCGTATCGGTCACAAACAGTAGAGCCTTGGACTATTGTAATATCAGAACAGTCAGAAATAAATAGAACTTTTCAAGGTGTCGTTTTTCGAAGGCCTTATGGTCCTTAACAGGTTGGCAAAAGCGACTAACGCAGACTGTATCGGAAATGCTATAGAAGAGCAGCGAGAAAAAGTATTTTTCTATTGCCAACCAGTCGGATGCAACGCCCACCCGCGAATGAAGGAACAGCCACTAAGACGGCTTGTCATGTCTCTTGAAAAAATGGTTGAAAGTTGTTCTTGAAGATAAGAATGACGTAGCTTTACTTGACGTCCCAGAAGTGAGACTGCGTCCCACTCCATTTGGGCTAAAAAAAAACAAAAAATTAAATGACTTTGTTAAGAAAATAAAAAAGTAATCGTCATGAATCGGGAAGTCTCTGTAGCAGATGGAATTGTATGTGGAAAGGAATAAGCAATGTTGGACTTTATGGTTTGATTGACTTTATAAACGGGCCATGCATGTTTTTCCCTTCCAATCAAAAGTCTATTTCCCTTACTATTATACTTAACCCTACTTTTTCCTAAGCATTTCGGAATTTTGTGTCAACGATATTCGAGTCCAAACATACAAGAGTAAGCTGAGCGTTTGCAGTGATGAAATACATACAAATCGAGTAAAAAAAAGGGATTCTAAAGGTAGTAAAGCTCTATTTTTTAATCCCGATTACATACTTCCAGTTAACAAATTTCTTTGTAGAGACTTTCCACCCCTCTGAGAGTAGAACTGACACGAAATTAAAAAAACTCTTCATAAAATCTGCTTAGCATAAACTGTAGGACCCTCCATTTGTTTGAAAAAACTTCAAGATACACCACCACACATATAGGAGGATAAGCTCTTCGTAATATTGCTGTAAAGTTACAAAGCGCCAATCATATGCATGCATAGACATGCATAAATATATAAGTTAAATTGAGTTGGTGCGACTGCTGGTGATCGGGCTTGAAGACCTATTATAATACAGCAGCGGTGTACTTATCACCTTCACGGCTGCACGAATCGTTTCGTGTGCCTTATAATGTTTCCAATATTGTCTATGCACACTGCTGCCACATCAGCCAGGCAATCAAGGAATTAAAATCCTAGAAACATATAGCGCATGTGGCTTAGAGCTGGACCGAGACAGAGCTAGTGCTCGAAAGACTCTTCGTCTTCTTCTTCTTCTATGCAGCTTCGACAAAAATCATGCAAAACTAACGCATCTTTCTTTCGTGAAGATACATTCAATTGTGTCCAGTGTAGCAGTTGTTGTATTGATGGCTAACCGGTCTAACCGGCAATCCTTGATACTTTAGGCCCAACACAGGCCAGGCTTGGAACAAAATGCAGGTCCCTCCATTTATTGGATAACATTAAGACGCATTCCACAAATTGGAAGAAGAGTTCGGTCGAAAATCGCTTCAGCGGTTACAAAATGCCAAATGTGGATATATAAATATATACAACTATTATATACATACATATAAGACTGATAGATATGCAATATTGATTCTTACAATTTATTCGTAATTTTTTCGATTTATAACCTTTTTAATAATTTAATATAACAAATAATTAATTAACCTATATTTCACTAAATTTTAACGGTATCAATGGCAACTGGAAAATGTATGGATGTTACACAACGCTTATTTATTCACACTAGGTCAGGTTGCAACGCCATTTGTTATTAATATAAACATATTTACATACATACATACCCACATAATTATTCTGGAATACTCAATATAAAAAACAAACTCTACCTCAACTGCATTGATGTTAATTGTCAAATAAAAATATAGAAAAATCTACGTGTGTGTATGTAATTTCATATCTAATAGTATGTATATATGTATGTACATATTTATATGGGACACCAAGGAATTGCTGTTATAATCATTAATAAATCTATATTTCTAACGAAACATAAATGTGCTTATACATACGAGTACTACAAACATGTGAAAAAATATTTGTATTTTCTATTGGAAATAAAATTACCATTATTATATAACAAAATATTTTTGCATGTCTTCCTAATTACAGCGAAATTTTTATACAAATCCATTTCAGTGATTTGTTAGCAATTCAATTTGTCAAGGCCCATAACTAGAATCAATAACTCATCATTATGCATTTCTAACCAATAAACTTGTTCACAACATAGCGAGCTAACTGTACAACAACATACTATCAATATACATACATACATATGTATGTACATATATCAATATCACCTTAAATGACCCTAACCACCCAGAAATGAAGATATGCACATGCTCGTACAATACATATACATATACATGCATACATGCATACATAGTATGTACGTGTATATGCATATTTCGCATGCAAATAGGATGCAAATCATTAGCTTATTGATCTAACTTATTAACCTGGTAACCAAGTACTTTCGGTTCAACTACTTTCGCCTACAAATATTTTGAAATCTGCAGACATTGGCTTTAGTCGCAATCGAAATCTCTTTGTCGGGACATATTTATTTTGAGTAAATTGTTTAGCGGAAGTAAGTGGTGAATTTTACAAAATTTAGGGAAAAGAAATCAAATCAAATCAAATGGAAAACAAATCAACCCGAATAATAAACTTTTGAACCAAATATGTATAAATAAATTGAATTTTAATTTGTGTCCTAATTTTTTCTCTTCCTTGCAGCAAATCGAAACCATGTGTGATTCAGCTTGTCATCTATATTGTTTGCATGACTCATGCTACTGTCATTCAAGTCTACATTCTTGCTGCAGTCATTACAAATATTACAGATGCTATTGTCGCACTTATCATCGCTCGTGCTGCTGCTATTTGTGGCGAAGAAAATGCTATTTACTTTAAAAGCAAGATTACTGAATGGAAATCTAATTATTTGAAGGAGCAGTTGTTAAAAACACATACAACTAATTTTAGAACGTAAATTGAATTTATAATAGCATCATTGTATTCCTGTAATGTAGTAAAATACATACATACATATGTATATACATATGTATATTAGCAAATATGTAATTAATCAAGTGTTCATAAGTTATTCAAATTAATTAATTAATAAATGATCACATTTTAAAACAAACAAAAAAAATATTAAATCTCAACCTAACTAACAATAACATAAAATAACGACGTTCTTTTGAAAACCAACTGATGTTTTGCGACGTCAAAGAATAGAAGTGATGTTTAATAAGCGGCCTATTTGTACAATATAATTAAATACCTCTAGTTGATTGCAAATAGTGCAGCAAAATAAAAATGCCTTCCAAAAAAAAATTAGTTTTAAGCACATGTCAGATAGAACTTCTCCACTGCGTTACACATTGAATTTGACGCGTGAGATGAATATGCTCATGCGACTCTACAAAATATCTCGAAAATTGGCCAAGTCTAAAAGCTAATGCGCTAAAGAATCTTGTGTCCTTTTACCTAGGAGTTTCTTTTTAATGGTATGTTAGAAGTAACTGTATATTGAGTAAGTGCTTATAAAAAGTGAAGTCAAACATCAAATCTTTAATGCAATACCTGTTATTATAACTGTATAATTTCAATTTAAATTAATAAGATTTGTTTTTTATAAGTAACTCTCTTAAATATCATAAGACTTAATAGATATTTAACAAAAATTAATAAATCGAATTAACTGTCGTCGATTTTAGCTTACTTTAAGCTGTCTGAGTCTTTCTTGTCAAATTTATTGTATTTCTTTTATAATGAAAAACAACCACTTATCCATTGCGAACAGCAAAGAAATTTGAACCACCCTACAACTGTATATTATTTGATACATTTTCGAGGTATCCTGTACTGTTTCTCTTATTTACTTTTGAACCACCATTAATAACAAACCAACAATTTAGTTTATTAATTAAGTAAAGTCTCAGTAGTCATAATTGTCAACATTGCTAAAAAAAATAATTAATACACAAGAGTTGCCCATAAATACTGGAGTATTATGGTTTCACTACAACTGAAACCGAACTTTCTCGCCCCAGGTATGTAAATGTAATGAAATTTATTGTTGTTTTTTTACAGAAATTGCAAGCAAATAAACAAAAAGTAAAATTTTCAAAATACTATTTGTATATAGTGTCCTACATTAAAATTGAGTTTCTATAAATAAACCGTAGTGCTGAGTAATGTGTGCAATTGACGTGTGCCATGAGAAAGGAAAATAAAAAAATAAAATCTGTATATGTACATGTGTATATAATGCGGGCAAAGTGTAAACATGAGGGTGCAAAGTCACGATTCTTATGGATATGCCGTGCAACAAACGTAAATAATCAATTTATTACTACCATAACTTAATTTTGATAAAGTTTTCCAATAACATACATACATATATACATACGGAATTACCAAGGAATAATCGTTACAAAGTGAGAAGTGTTAGATAGGTAGCTAGTTCTTGAGTTATTATCATTTTCCAACATATGTACATAACTTAAAATTTTAAACAACTTTTTGCTTTAAACACTAAGTAGAATTTCATTACAAGTTATTCAAAACTTCGTTAATTACTAAATATTCCATGGTATAAACTTTTAAATACATATTCCAACCTATAAAAAATTCAATGATTTATATTATGTTTTAATAAATAAAAGGTGTATTAAGATATGCTTCATTTTGAAATTAATGAATTTAGTTAGATTTTGAACTTTTTTACTCTATGAGGATGATAGTTTCAACTGTCCTATACGAATATCACCAAAAAATGTACTATTTCTAATTTTATTCCAGATGTCGATGAAGTAGGTTCAAAAAGGGACGATTATGTTACTACTAATGAAACGGAATCTGCTTTTGTATTCAATGCGAATCATAATTTGCCATTAATTGAACAGCGAAAACGACTGCCAATATATAAATATCGAAGAGAAATTTTATATTGTTTGGAAAAAAATCAGGTTTTGATATTAGTTGGCGAAACCGGTAGCGGAAAAAGTACGCAACTTCCACAGGTATTAGATATTTACCTTCAAAGCAATTTATTACCAAGTAGTAACATGCGAGTACATAAATATTTATATGCGCCCCTTCTAATATTTAGTAGTTATAAAAACTCAATAAATGGTGTATTAGTGAGTCATTTGGAATTGGTGTGAAACGGTAGACACATCTACAAATTTTTTTACAATGCCCATTCCTTGATACATACATACATATGTATGTTAAGCATGAATTAGTTTTATCGCAAAGAAAAAATATCACTCCTTTGAAAATTGAGTATGATTATCTATACATACATACATTAATATATAGTTAAGGTGGTATTTTCTTCGCAATGAAATATTGGTTGATTGGTTGGTTTATTTGCTTGTCATTTCCATTTCTTGTGTACTCTTCTGTATGTTTTTTTTTTTATATGAAAAGTGATATTCCTTTCCAGATTCACATTTCAACCATATTTGCTTATACACGCAACTGTTGTGACATGAACATTTATTCTCAGTACTAATTGGAGCAATTCAATAGAAACAGTTTTATACAAACAAAACAATACATAAGGAGATACGAATTTTATTCAATTTTACACGCTTAAAAAACGTTCTCGTGCGCATTCCCACCAAAAAAATTAGAAAACTGCAAAGCGAGCGTTACAAAAATGGTGGGTCCAAGCTCCCAAGTTAGTAAAATATTACTATGCCTTCTCTTCCTGTTATTGGCATTTTATATTTTTATGGACATACAATTATATATACGTATACAAAATTATCCAATCGAAAGAGATTACCATACGAACACAACAAATTTATTACTAAACAATGCGCCGGGCAATGGTGCCGGTCTTGGTGGCAGTAGCAGTGTGTCAACTACAGATATGACGACAATCAAATCATTGGGCTATTACGAACAACATCATTGGGTATCGTGCGATGTGAATCCCTTATGCCATGTAACGGTCAAAGCTGTGCTTCTCGATCATACGAATCATTATCTTTTCGCACCTTTAGCCAGCATATTTGATAATGTTGTTGGCATATCACGGAGTACCTTAATCACAGCCAACATGATATCGTTCTTCCACGTTGGTGTGGCATGCTTGTCCGGCAAAATGGTGTCCTCGGATAGTTTGGGTTATCGTCGTTTGGGCGTGGTACTCTTTCAATTCCGCACCTTCCTAGATGATCTGGACGGACATGTGGCGCGCGCTAAGAAGCATATACATGGTGAACGTTCTGAAGTTGGCACATCCGGCTATTATATCGATGGTCTTTGTGATGGACTAGGTTGTATTGCCTTACTATTGGGTGTATTCTTTTATTTGAAAAATAATCCACCACGTCGGGGTTACTCTCAGCTACCGATGAGTGAATCCATATTACCTGAACCAGTGACGAGGCCTAAAATGAAATCGATGACACCGAAAGTTGTTAAGAAAGTTGTAAGCTTCACCGGGCAATTGCTTGTTAGCTCGACTGCTTGGAATCGCTATATCGCCGTATACCAAGACATGTTGGAGCGTAACGATGTGACGCAAACGCAATTTCTACGCCAGAATATCACATTCAGATCGGCGTGGTTCTTAAGTGTTGCCTGGATGTGGCGTATTGTAAATGTGCATTCCTTATTGCATCTTGTATTGCTAAGTATATTTTGCGATAAATTGTGGGACTTCTTGAAGGCAATACAATATGTCGGTTATGTTGTACTGTTAATTGTAATTTGTATCAGTGAAATGCATGTTTTAGAGGCTCACAATTACATTTTTAACACTATATCTGGCAATAATACATCGTTTTGATCCATATTCTTTTTTTAAATGTCGTATATGTTTGTACAAAATGTGAACTGTTATTAAATCGATAATATTTTATGTCAAATTTAACACCATACGAATACAAGAATGAAAAACAAAAGAATATTTGCAAAATATACTAAACTAAAGAACAAATTGTGTTGATTTTAAATAAAAACCTATATAAGTTATATATTTGTGTAAAAGTAAGCATTTTAATTTCAAGTTTAAAATATGTAAGTAAATATTGCCGAAGATATTGTATGGGAACTTCCCCTCAATCGTTTTGCAAACATTTGAGCCTTTAGGAGTTATTTAATAATTTTTTCCCCAAAAAAGCGAGTTTATATATCCATTACCTATTCCAAATGACGTTCATTCACCAAAAACAGAAAATTTTCTTCAGGAAAGGTTAGAGGGGCCTAGACATATGTATTAGACTTTAACAAAAACTAATAATCACCATTCATCTTTAAGTATCTTTACGAATTAGGTTGGCATACTAAAGGCATAATCGGCTTGACTCAACCAAGACGTATTTCAGCCATAACTTTAGCTAATCGTGTAGCAACGGAACGCGGTGAAACCGTTGGCGGTTCTGTTGGTTTTGTAGTGAAATTTTTGGAAAAGACCAGCGATGCTACAGCGGTTAAAGTGAGTCAACAAACTTATAACCTTACAATATGATACGATTAACCCTTTATTTTCCTATGCATGTACATATGTATGTATTTGCAGTATATGACTGAAGGCATCCTCTTACGCGAACTCCTTACCGATCCTCTACTTATGCGTTACAGTGTTATTGTCATTGATGAGGCACATGAACGAAATTTAATCACAGACATTATTATTGGCCTACTGAAGAAAGTTGTCAACAAGCGGCCAGCTATTAAATTAGTTATATCTTCGGCGACAATTGATGCTGATACTTTTGCTGATTTTTTCAAAGCAAATTCTAGTATAATTTTATCTGTTGAAGGTCGTACACATCCAATTAGTACATTTTATTTGAATAATCCTTGTGCGGATTATGTTAAGGAAGCAGTTGAAACTGTTTGGAAGATACATAAAAAAGAGGGACAAGGTGATATTTTGGTATTTTTAACCGGCCAAGAAGAAGTTCTACAAGCAGTTAGCTTAACTAAAGACTATATAAGCTCACACGATGACAACACTCTGCAGGCATTGCCAATGTACGGCTCACTTACGCATAAGGAGCAATTAAAAGTGTTTTTTGCACCGGAAAAGGGTGTACGCAAAGTTATATATGCCACAAATATCGCCGAAACATCGATTACTATTCCGGGTGTTGTTTATGGTAAGTTAAAGTACTTGTTTTCTAATTATGAAATGAAGTTTCATATGTACGTAAATATTTTTTATTTCAACGATTTGTTTGTTTTCAAGTTATTGACTGTGGATTTATCAAATTAAAATGGTTCGATTCGGATAGTGCCACAGATCAATTAGTTGTTGTACCCATTAGCAAAGCTACGGCTATGCAAAGAGCAGGCCGTGCCGGAAGGACACGTCCTGGTAAAGTGTACCGCCTTTATACGGAGGAGGATTATGAAAAATTACCTGATCGTTTTCCGCCAGAAATTCGACGCTGTGAATTGAGCGCAATGATACTAAACTTGAAAGCATTAGGTGTTAGTAATATATTGAAATTTAATTTTCCTTCACCACCGCCAGCTAAAAATGTTTTAGCTGCTTTGGAAACGCTACATGCTTTAGGTAAGTTATCTTTCATTGTCTTATGAAATGTGTACAACGTAAACCTTTTCGACAGATATCTTGGCGTGGCAGAAAAATTTATACAAAATTTCACTTTATTATTTCCGTTTTCTATGCACTAGGTTATATATACACTGCTTTATCAACAATTGTACAAAGTTGATAACGCAGTGTGTAAAAAAGCTTTGAAAAAGGAAATACGGGCCGTAATTGCTCGGCATCCGTTAACTTGCATTTGAAAACGAAGAAATTATTATTTTAATTTTTTTTTATTATAAAATCCTTAATATTTTACGTCTTTTGATTAACAGGTGCCATTGACAGTGATGGAAATCTAACAAAACCCCTCGGCTATTTTATGGCTGAAATGCCACTTCCACCTATGCTCAGCCGCATGCTTTACATGTCCGGTTCCATGGGTTGCTCCGAGGAGATGATCACCATAATAGCTATGCTACAAGTGGAAACCGTATTTGCTCAACCAGCCACCGGACAAGGTCAAATTAAAGCACGTGTCGCGAAGCGTAACTTTGAAGTAGCTGAAGGGGATTTAATAACTATGTTGAATGTTTTCACAGCATTTGTTGAAAATGAGCAGAGCAAACAGTTTTGTCGTACATATTATCTAAATTATCGTAATCTCAACTGTGCTTATGAATTACGCGAACAATTAATTAAGCTTGCAAAGAAACATCTAAACCTACCACTAAAATCTTGTAACGGAAATGTAGAAACAATTTGCAAGTGTATTACATCGGCATATTTTCTCAATGCAGCGTATCTGCACTATACAGGGGTGTATAAAAGAATTCAAGGAGGACAGGATCTACATATACATCCACTTTCGACGCTGTACACACTACCACAGCCGCAATACATACTCTTTACTGAATTAGTGCATACAACAAAGTTGTTTATGAGCAACATAACTGTAATAAAGGAGGAATGGTTATCTGAATTGTCATCACATTATTTTTATAAAACGAATGTGTAACTCAGAGATAATGATTCATAGATGCAACTGTTGTTCTTGATTGTATCTCACTTAATTTTTGTACATACATCAATAATAGAATTATAATGTGTATAATGTATTATTTATATTGGTAAGAAGGTTGAGAGGACATATTAGAGGGTTATGCTCGATATTCAAAGGCGAAAATAATTTTCTTGTGTCAATTTTAATTTTTTTTTTTAAATATTGATGAGCAAGGATATGAATGTGTAATATAAGTTCTTTGTACTATTTCACTAGTATGTTTAAATATATATAATTTGGCAACTGACTTAATGAATTTTCTTATTAAATGGTATGCAAATGCAACATCACCAAGCCAACTGTGTCAACAATTGTCGAAATGAGTCACTCTACATTTACTACTTATGTACTTAGGTACTACTTCCTACCATACCGTCGTATTATGACACACCCAAAGGACATTTTAGGGGTAGCATGTGTCATAGAGTAAATTTATTGTTATACAATTTTTTACTCTTTTCCAGAACTCAGTGTTTGTGCGCCTAAATGTATGCTTTTATATATGAGTCATGCTCTTGCAGTAAATATAAGAAACTAGAATATATATGTATGTGGACAACAATTAGGCGTCTTACTTTCGTAAGTACATAAAACCATGTATTTCCGCTGAAAAATGCTCGTATAATTGTTGCTACAACTAAAACCAATTACAAAAAAACATATTTTTAGGCGTTATACTATTGTAGACTCATTGTATTGAACTCTTTTATGTACATATGCATGACGAAATCTAAACATCGTGAACATAACTTTTCAAAGAAAAACCATTTTCTTTTCCTTCCTTCCATCTATGCAATATCGTGCCGTACACACCGCCTTAAAATTATGTACAATTACGATTGTTTATTCTGCCAGATGCTGCATGCGCAAGACCATGTACACAATCTGATATATGCATATATGTACATGCATTTCTTCTTGAACCCACACACCAGATTCCAATGCCAAGTTAGGCTAGGTTATACGCATACATTACCATTTGCGCATATATACATTTATACAAAACGTCGTCCGGAGTTATGCACTACAAATTGATCTCAGACGAAAATCTATTCAGCGGTCAAGCCTCAATTATATGTGTGTAAATATTCATACACATACAAATACATTTTCGTATGACTTCATCAGTTAACAAATCCGTTTCCTCGAAACTTATCTCATTCCTGGTATGTAAAGCATTTCGCTTTTAATTTTTATTAAAAATATCCACATCTTTCTAATATTCTTATTTGAATCCCACCTTACCTCGAGTTATTTGCCATTAAAATTACCAAAAATCTTTCTCTTACAATAAGTAAAACACAACATATGCAAATTACATTTTTCGAACTCTGAAGCCAACTGACTTTATTCAATTAAATAAAAATACAATTCGATTTCACGAATCCCATCGAAGGTGTGAGCATTCAATTTGTTGAAAATTTAATTTTCATCAACTTCAGCTTCTTGCTCCTCTTCAAATTCGGCATCCTCATCAGCGGTTGCTTCTTGATACTGTTGATATTCGGAGACCAAATCGTTCATGTTGCTCTCAGCTTCAGTGAATTCCATTTCATCCATACCTTCGCCTGTATACCAATGCAAGAAAGCTTTCCTACGGAACATAGCAGTGAACTGCTCCGAGATACGCTTGAACAATTCCTGAATAGCTGTCGAATTACCAATGAATGTAGCAGACATTTTCAAACCTCTTGGTGGAATATCGCAAACAGCAGTCTTTACATTATTTGGAATCCATTCGACGAAGTATGAGCTGTTCTTGTTTTGAATATTCAGCATTTGTTCGTCAACTTCCTTCATTGACATACGTCCACGGAAGATAGCAGCAACAGTGAGATAACGACCGTGTCTTGGATCGCAGGCAGCCATCATGTTCTTAGCATCAAACATTTGTTGTGTAAGTTCTGGCACGGTGAGAGCACGGTATTGTTGAGATCCTCGTGATGTTAATGGAGCAAAGCCAGGCATGAAGAAATGTAAACGTGGGAAAGGAACCATATTCACTGCTAGTTTGCGTAAGTCAGCGTTCAGTTGACCAGGGAATCGGAGACAAGTTGTTACACCGGACATTGTCAATGAGACTAAATGGTTCAAATCACCATATGTTGGGGTGGTCAATTTAAGTGTGCGGAAGCAGATGTCGTACAAAGCTTCGTTATCAATACAATAGGTTTCATCTGTGTTCTCTACCAGTTGATGCACGGAGAGAGTCGCATTGTAGGGTTCAACAACTGTGTCTGATACTTTAGGTGAGGGTACTACTGAGTATGTGTTCATTATTCTGTCGGGGTATTCTTCACGGATTTTTGAGATGAGTAATGTACCCATACCGGAACCGGTGCCACCACCCAAGGAATGTGTCAGTTGGAATCCTTGAAGGCAGTCGCAGGATTCAGCCTCTTTACGAACGACATCGAGCACAGAATCGACCAATTCAGCACCTTCTGTGTAATGTCCCTTCGCCCAGTTGTTACCGGCACCAGATTGTCCAAAGACAAAGTTGTCTGGACGGAAAATTTGTCCGAAAGGTCCAGAACGTACGGAATCCATGGTGCCAGGTTCCAAATCGACGAGGACTGCACGTGGAACGTATTTACCACCAGACGCTTCATTATAATAGACATTGATGCGTTCTAACTGCAAGTCGCTATCACCATGATAGGCACCAGTCGCATCAATACCATGTTCGTCCGAGATGATTTCCCAGAACTAAAAATGAATAAATAGAAAAAAAACAAGCGGTTAAAAATATCACAATAACAAATATTACATCATAATTCTACCAATAATCATAAATAACTATTCAACCATAACTCTTGTACATACTCGTATATAGAAACATAAATATATTCATTCGTTGAGTTCAGCTTCGTACGCTGCGCTAACAGCATGGATGATGTGTACATATTATTCTCATGTACGTCTCTTACTAACTCTCTCTTCTACCTATTTACAAATGTATGTGCATACAACCGCTTGAAGAAGTATCGTTGTATTGATCGGTTCAAATGTATGCACATATAAAAGTATGAATATATGAGTGTATGTATATATACATAACTTGAAATCATTTCACTATTACCATTTATCGTTAACTTTTATGTGTATGAATACATATGTACCACAGCAGAACTTGTTTACCCACAACCATATTTACCATTTTTGAACTGATGAAGTCATCGTACAAATCATAAACCCAAGGCAATACGTGGGCAAAAATCTTCAGACTGCTATTGGACTCATACATATATGGTAAACGAAAGAGTACATAACATATGTAGGTACATATATATTATATGTAGACATATGTATGTTTGCAACATAATTACAAATTTGGTATAAATTAAATGCCTCAAAAACACTTACGTCAACAAATCTTAGATTAAAATATGAAATCTTTTAAGTCTATTTTCAGGCTTACGTCATTTATGAGACAAACAAGGTGTGGGAGGTTAAATAGTTTTAATACAACAAAGTATGTAGGTGTTCCAATTAGTCGAAGTGACTCGCCTATTATTGTTTGTTAAAACGACAGCTGTTAGTTATGCCATATAAACAACTATCCGTGAAGATAATTTAATACATACATATTAACATGAATGAAAACTACATTCTTCAATTGGCATTTTACCATTACAAAAAGAGTGCATACAAGTTTTTCTATGACTCATACCGGCAAAATTGTACATATGTAAATACATATGCATGTATTTACACTCTGAAAAACCGAAAAGCAAACTCCTAGTTCTAACCTCTCTAAATTACTATATACATATGAATATATAATATACATATATGTATACCAAAAAACTTGCACAAAATGTCGACGTCATTTAATGGTTACGAACGCATACGGTGAATTAGTATGCCAACTACTTTTTAAAGTTATATGATAATTTTTTCCTTTCTCCATATGGTATTTTATGTATCTGAAGGAATTTGGTCTATATAATATTTCATAATTGTCATCAAACAAGATAAAATCTTAAAATTTGTTAACCTTTGCAAAATGCCGCATACATATGTATGAGTGTAAGAAACCAATCGGCAGATACAATGCGGCATAAAAGTTTGCGCAAACATTTCCATTGAAAAACTGTACATTCTTTTAATTCAAATTAAAATGAACACCTGGTCGATATATCCAAATTCTTTTAGAAAAAACTACCACCAATTCATGTTACTATAATTTGAACTTATGTATCTATACTAAATTTTACATCTATGCACTGTGTGACCTGGATATTGATTTCTCTCTACTTATATAGTATATTTACATATTCATATGTGTATACCAATTGAAAATTTTCTAATTAACTTCTATTTTCCTACAATTTTTCACTTCAAATTCCAATAACTTACCTTAGCTCCAATCTGGTTACCGCATTGGCCAGCTTGAATGTGAACGATTTCTCTCATTTTGTTTAATAAAATTTAATAACTTTTTCACTTAAATACAAAATAATAACTTTTGCAAATTCCCGACGCTGTTTGTTGAACAACTGATTTCTGCAAGCTACGGTTACTTTCTAAAAACAGCTAGCGCTTCGACCGCCCTTTTTACCTATTAGACAACGCCCAATACTTCTTGCGTTGGCCGACGCCAACCGACGCTACCCACACAGGGTTGCCAACTTTTTCCATCAAATTTCAAATCAGAAGTGAATCTTTGATAAATGTGCGTAATTTTAAATGCGCACGTTGTCAGCTGCTGCAGTGCTGCATTTTCCATTCAGTAGCTTAGACATTCAATGTATTTGTATTGTTACGATTTTACTGAATCAACCTCGATTATTTTCTAGATCCTTCGGGTACGATCTCTGGATTGTTAAATAAAAACTCGCCAACTTAATTTGCAGTTTCTTTCGTTATAAAGATTCTATCTAATGTCCTTTATTTTCTCAGTAATTCACAATTCAATTATACTGCACTTTACTATTTATAATCACTAACATCAACTTTCACAATTTCCTCTACTTAAATGTAATTCCCAACGCGTTCACTTTACGTCTTCACTGATGTTAACGCCAACCAATTTGCTTTGTCACTGCTTGACTTGCAGCTGAGTGTCGCCTTTATATAGCAGTCGGCTGCTCGCAGACGAAAGCGTAGAAGCATCGAATTGTTCGCTCTTGTTTTATCGTTTCTAGAACGTACTAGTTATCGGCTTCTCTCTTTCATCTGACATTCGCCTCGCATTTTCGCAACAGTATGAATCCAGTAAGAAAGATCTTAATTCTCATTCAAAAATATTTTTATTAATTTTCATAATATTATACAGAATATCCAATTCGTATAACAAACAAGTTCGCTTGAATATTATTATTCCCTTATTAATCGTACCTACGATTTAATATAAAAACATGCTGTATTCAGATATAAATGTTCGTATGTAGCACGGTCTATCCATTATTACTAATATGATAAATAAAATATGACGCAAATTTTGTTACCTTATTTTACCATTAATTTATTCCTTTTGCTAAGTATTTCATGTTAAAGAGTAAATCACCAATACAGTTAAGGAAATTTATGAAGTGATTTCGAATTCCATATATTGTTAGAATGCGCTTTTCCTCACTTACCAAACTACAGAAGTAATTTTTGTTATTATAAAGCTATTTTCTTGTTTTGTTTTTCCTATTTATTTTTTTTTTCCAAATTATGATCCTTCTTTAATAATATTTTCTGATTTATGCAAATTGAACTTTCACGTCAAAAAAGGGAGCTGTCAAATGCCTAGCGGTTGTGAAGTAACACAATGCTATTACAATATATTCCTTTTGCATAACATTTTAAATTAAATTACAGATGAATAAAAATATTTAATAATTTGGAAATAATTTTAATATCATCTCATATTTCCTATAAGAAAGAGTTCGTTTTAAATTTGACAGTTGTTGTGTGTCAGAACACATAACAACATTTATTTGTTAACTCAAAATTCTTGCAATTTTTGTCTCACAAAATAGGTGAACATTTATTTTAATAATTCAGTTTGAGATTAATAAAGGTATTGGCTAAAAGTATGAGCTGGATGGCTAGTGTCAAATTGATAACCTTTGCTTTGTCAAGATATATGTATAAATATTGACATAAGAATAGCCTCTAAAGTGAGAAAACTTAGCACCTATTTCCGTTTTGGGCTTACAGCTGCGATCACCTGATCGATTTCGTTTTTCGATTCAGTTGTCATTCGTGATTATGACAACCGATAACAGAAACCGACAAAGGAAACAATATAAAAAAGGGAGTTAGGTTACTTTAAATTCTTTCTAATGGTTTCTCCCAACGGTGGGCAACTTCCGGTCTGTAATATGGAACTATATGTTCACCGGAAGATTCAAACTATTTGTATGATATTAATTCAATAATACAAATATAGTAAGTGTATACAACAAAAATGTTTTCAAATTTTATTTTATATTCACACAGTGAATTTAAAAACCCAATTCATTCCTTTCCATGTTTTCTAGTGATTTCCGGTGGAACGTAGTTATCGTCAACAACTCTTGGTTTCTTCTTCTTACCAAACCATCTTTTGGGATATCTCTTATCCTTTTTGAATATTTCCAAATCAATTAATTCTTCATTTTCAAAATACCAAAGCTTTTGCTTCTTCTGCAACAAGTCAGCTAGAATTTTATCAATATTTTCTTTCCGTTGACTAGGAGGTATAACATCGACATTTGTCTTCCTTAGTAAATCATCTTGCTCTTTCCAAATCACATATTTCTCTGCTTGTTGTTTTATTAAGTTAGTTTCCTCCGCTTTGGCCTCTTTCACATAAGATGACAACAAAACATCTATAGTTTTTGAATCAGCAACTTCTTCCAAACGGTGTAATATGCTATTTGTTAGCTTCTCATCTACTCCTTCCTTATTTTTCAATAAAGTTTGACTCAATTCTAATGTGTCTTTGCAGAACCTTGTATCCTTATTATCTAAAAGCGAAGCGGCAAAGGTTTGTCTATTATCTAATAATGATCCTAAGAGACGTAGGTTTGCTGTGAGTTGATTCGGTTGTAGTTCTGATATTCTGCACATTGATCTTCCGATTTCCCTCGGAAATTCAACTATATCATCAGGATTTCGTAAAAACTTCACACGTATTTTGACCTGAAAATATAAATTACCTATAATTATTAAGTTTTTATAGACGGAGTAACAACTCACTTCATCTGATTTTTTTGCGGGTTTTTTCTCTTTAACAACGGGAGCAGCTATTTGCTCAACATTTTCCTTTAAGTATTCAAAAAATGCTTTCAAAACTAAGCCCACAACTAATTTATTGTCCAATGAATCCTGTTTGAAAATTTCCAAACCAACTTCCGCGGCACCCAAATAGTTTTTCGCTTGTAATAGGTAATTCAACAGATAACAACCCATGAAGTTGTCAACGAAAATACCAGTTTGCAGGCGATTCTTAATGAGGGGTACCAATTCGTCCACATTTCCATTATCAATAAAAGTTCTAAATATAGCATAATTTGTTGCCTCAAAGGATAATGATTTTTCCGGTTGTGAGCGTAGTCTTAATAATGTTTCGCTGAACTCATTGTTTCTGTTATCATGTGCAAAGCCATTCACCACGTCCAGCAGTATAATGCCGCCAGCCGCCGTGTCTTTGCTTCTCAAATCGTTGACTTCTATTGAATGTACATCGAAATCATTTAATGCACTCTTGTATTCATTTGACAAAAAATTTCTATAAACTTGAAAGCAACAATTAATTTTTGTACGAGGTATCTTTAACCTTAACATTTTGTATTTTTGTTGTTAATTCAGAAATTTGATTATACAATAAGAAAAGAAAAGCGACACAGGGTGCACTTATTAAATTGTTAAAATTACTACCCACTATTAATGGTGATATGTTATGAATGAATGGAACATTCTTTTAATTAAAATTGATCACAAAAAGTAAGGATATACAAAAATGTAACTAATTAATAATTATATAAATTAAAAAAACAATGACAAATAATATTAGAAGAATACATATTAATTTACTATAAAGTAAGTGCATTGTAAACTTATAGAAGCAATTGTTTTTAAATCCTAAAATTATTTTAATAACTTTTTTTAGTTTGTTTAACGTTACTCAGAAGATTTGTTAGAAATCTGGTTTTAAGCTTACACTGTTTATATTATTATAATTCTTAATTGTATGTATTGTAGTCTTAATAGAAGAGAAGTAAGGGAAACAAAACTGAATAATAATAATGAACAGTTACCTAATAATAATATAAAACAAGAAGTAAGTATTACTTATTATAAACTTATTTGTTATATAATTTTTGTATATTTGAAAACCATTTATCATCCAAGAATTTAATTTTTTTATAGAAGAATTTTAATATTTCCAACCTAACTTATGGTTCCCAAACTTACTAACTAACGGCTTATTGACAGAGTGTACTAGAGTTACAAGTTACAGCGGTGTTACAGCCAATACATTGAAAGATACTTTCTCGTGCAGCAACAATAGCTAAGCATGGTTCAACTGCCACAAAGTTTCTCCAGTTTAGATATGACATGGGTAATACACTTTTGGTTTAGTACGTCATAATCAAGGTTTAGGAGGAGTGAAAACAAATTGTGTCAGTAATAAATAAGTTCTAATTGATAAAAAAAATAATTAAGTGAATTCTATTAATTATATGCAAATGATTTCGGGAAAAACTAAAACAGTTAACGAAGTGAGTATTTATTTATATATTGCGTATATCTTCTATACAGTTGCTAGTTGCATTTGCTAAGTATCTGGTTTTTGCTGTAAATTTCTAGTACCCACATATGTACATACGTGTATATCGTCAATGTATCTAGTATGAAATGCACTCGCCTATTCATTTCTATTATTTGTAAGTATGTAGGCTTGTAAATATGCACATATGTGAATACACTCATGTGTTCTTAGTTGTATGAGTATTTACAAAAGTAAAGAGTATAGTATTTACATATACATATGTATGTATATAAAATTTACTGCTATGTTGAGAAAGTTAATTTAGTTATGGCCACTGTTTGGTTTTAACAATAAAATATACCACTTTAAAAGGCAAATGTTAATATGAAAACTATTTTTTGCATAAATTTATTATTTTACAGATTGAATCAAAACGACCAAGATTTCTACCTGTCACCACATTAACAGATGTCCAGGCTGTGCGTTGTGCCGAATTTCATCCAAATGGAAAGTTATATGTTGTCGGCTCAAATTCGAAAACATTTCGAATTTGCAAATATCCGCAATTGTCTGAATTAAAGTAAGCATAATCAGTTAAATTCTAGTGATGTAAATATAATTTGCACTTATGTACGTATCTATGTACATTTGTGCTTATTTCTCTTTAAGAAAATTCCATGAAGTTCAACAACCTACAGTGTTATTTAAACGCACCAAACATCATAAAGGTTCCATTTATTGTACAGCATGGTCAGCGGATGGCATATTGATAGCAACCGGCTCGAATGATAAAACCGTTAAGCTAATGCATTTCAATAACGATGAAACACAATTGGAAGGACGGGAAATAGACTTAACTATGCACGACGGCACAGTTAGGGATTTGTGTTTCTTAGAGGACACCATAAATAAATCTCGACTATTAATAAGTGGAGGAGCTGGCAATTGTAAAATTTATGTTACCGATTGTGCTACAGCAACACCTTATCAGACGCTTAGTGGGCACAGTGGACACATATTGTCATTATATAATTGGGGCGGTGTTATGTTTGTGTCGGGATCACAGGTGTGTGTCTTAATAAGTATATCGTAGGCAGGATGGAAAGTATATATTTTTCATATTGCTGAGTGGAGATATTTTATGATAATAATTTATAATCTTTCAGGACAAAACAGTTCGTTTTTGGGATTTACGTACTAACGAATGTGTAAACACCGTTGCTCCAATGACATTACAGACGTCGTCATTTGGATCACCTGTCGCATCGGTATGCGTAGACCCATCTGGTCGTTTATTGGTCTCTGGTCATGAGGATAGTGCCTGTGTGCTATTTGACATACGTGGCAACAGACCAATACAATGTTTCCAACCACATACGGCAGATATAAGGTAATATATAGATTAAAAATTGTATTAAGAAAAAAAAAAAAATTTTAACGTATTTTTCATTTTCTAGATCTATACGTTTTTCACCTTCGGCCTATTATTTGCTCACGTGTGGATATGACAATAATATTGTTCTTACCGATTTGCAAGGCGATTTAACCCTACCCCTACCATCTGTGTTAGTCGCACAACACAGCGACAAAGCTATATCAGCACGTTGGCATCCGACTGATTTCTCCTTCCTCTCCACATCTGCTGATAAAACATCAACACTATGGGCTTTACCCCCATTTTGAAAGTTGCCTTTAAATAATGTACCTATTATTAATCGCTAACTAATAATATACATACACTTCTAATAGCCCCCAGTGACCTTAATCTAATTAAAATACTCAATAGTTTATAACCAATCTTATTATGTATACATATCTATATACATAAATTATTATTTATCCTTTTATTTTATAGTTCATAATAAACCATGTACTTAACTGCATTTATGTATGCAAATATATATAATTATTGTTTCGGTTAGAAATCTTGCCAAAAAATTAAAAAAAGTTGCCTTACAAAAACAATGAGTTTAATTTTTAACCATCAAATTCCTGTTAGCCGCCATATTATACATTTCCATGCAATTAATATATTTATTGGGAAAACATTAAATACAATAGCAACAAAGTTCTTACATGTACAGTGCATGCACACTCTCATCAACCACTCTTTTGATTTGTACACGGCTGACATATGCACTCGCTACACTATCTGAAAATATGCTTATAAACTTTTCGCAATAATTTAACACCATCAATTATTTGACTTTTATATAAAATTAAAAATGCACTAAGTATGTTTTAAAAATTCTTATATTTTCCCCGTCTAATAAAAAACATGTGTATTATTTACTTTTTACTATTAAGAATAATACCGTCATATTTCTGTTGGAACCATTTCATGGCATCCTCTTTTGTCAGACGGTGTGGGAAGCCTACTGTGCCTGACTTGCGCTTCCTGTGTGCAACATTGTAGCCTGTAACAAAAAACGAATAAAGCCCAATTAATACATAATATATACATAAAAAGAAAGGAAAAGAAAAACACAGAATGCAGTGCATGAATGGATTTCGTTAGAATTATCAGCGTTCAACGTATTTTGTGCAATTAATACAATTTCAGGACCGATATTCTTTTAATAAGTTTTAATGTGAAAACTACACCGTGCAACTGACCAAATTTCTATCAGCTACATTAAGCATAGATATCCAGATTCCACTTATTTATGCATATTACTGAGTATCTGCGGCGTGTGACCTACAGACACCTAATTAGGTGCAACACATATATACACACAAACACTTAAATGTTCAACTTGGTAGCGATTCTTGTCTCACCTGGTCGTCCCAACACGACGTAGAAATCCAAACCGTAAATACCAATGGAAGGATCGTATTTGATACCCAAATCGATGTGTTCTTGGATACCGAAACCGAAGTTACCAGTGGCAGAGAAGTTGTCGCGTCTCAACTCGTATTCACGTACTTTCAGACCGCGTTCCAAAATTTCTTCAGCCTTAGCACCGCGTACTGTGCAGTGGACAGCGATTTTCTCATTACGACGAATGCCAAAAGAACGCACGGTGTATCTGGCCTTTGAGAAGACTGGCTGTTGACCGGTCAATTGTTCCAACACCTAGTGGACAAACATTTATTTTTTATCAATTCCATGAACTTGCTGTATATAATATAAACATTACCTTCGCGGCACGAGTAAGTCTGTCACCAGATTCACCAACACAGATGTTTAAGCACAACTTTCTGATGTGTAGATCCCGCATAGGGTTCTTAGCGGGGTCGCGTTTAATTTTCTTAACATCCTTCATTAGTTCGGGTTTACATGAAAAAGAAATTTCAATTAATTCACGTAAGCTCACTTAAATTGAAAAAATATCCATGTATATGATAAAAGGCACTAAAAATGTGGGAAATTCACAAGTACTACATGTTGTAAAATGATTTAAAATATTGATGAACATGGATAATTTGTAGCAGAAAAATTTCTAAACACCTACCGCCATGGTAGTAGAAGAAAAAAGAGATTGATATTGAATCTGTCAGAAACAAAATTACAGTTCAGTGGCTGTCATTTCCTTCTGTCGGCAATGCAGAGTATCTAATTAGCGCTACCATATTGAAGTATTTGTCGCAATAATTGAATATGACCATCGCCCTGTGATGTTTTGAATTTTGCGGTAAATAGATGTATGCTGTAAAAACATGACGTTATCACCGCCATACGGCAACGTTGAGTCTAATCAATCTGTTTGGTAACAAATGTCTTGAGCTAATGAATTAAAGTTATAAAATTACTTATCGGAAGATTTACTATAATTTAATTTAGGACAGCATAACGCTGAAGTGACAATAAATCATTAACACTTGATATAATGCGGTTTTCTTGCCTGCAAATTCGTTAAAGTGCAGGTGAAATCGTTGAGGAAATGCGACATTCGCTATAGTATATGTATGTAAAGTTTGACAACACCTAATATTTATGGTAAAAGTGAAAAAAATGACGTACATGTGTATTTGTGACACAAATTAAGTTAAAAATGTTAGAAATTTTATTTAGAATATTTAGTGCAGAATAAGCGAATAAATAAAAAACAGAGTCAGCATTAGAAGATCGGTAGGTGTGAATCGCAAGTGCTATCACCGTCTTCTCATGTATATTTGTATACTGCATATGTACATATTTACATCTGTTCACATACGTATTTGGATTGGGTGCAAGCACCTTAAATTTTTGTTTTTATGTATAGCTCATTGAATTAGGGTTATGCTTGGCGATGTCGAAATTTCGTGGCATGTATGCACAAATGCCGAATTCGTTGGCATAAATTAAAAGTGATCACATTCATTTTAATAATCTTCTTTACGGTGGGTGTATCAGATATCAATATTGAAATTGTAGTGCATAGACATTAACTACATATGTATGTATGTGCATTATTTTGCCTTAGAGATATGAAACAAATGGGTCGGGTTCAGTTGTTTATTGATGTTGGATAAATTTTGGAATTCTTTTAGAATTTATAAGAAAGTGGGTCTATTCACCTAATAAGACGTTAAAAGAAAGTAAAAAAAAAATAAAAATGTAAATTATAGAAAGTTATGAATAAATGTTATCTATTTAAAAATTTAAAAATATGGTTATCAAAGCTATAGTATATAGTGATTATGATTACAATGTTTAGAAAATATACTTTTTTACTGTAATGGCGGCTTATAGTATTTTTGACATTATTGACTTATTTGACAAATAGATTATGTAGCAATAAATAATTTTTTTTTTGTAAATATTTAATTAATTTATTTTTATATCTTACAGTTATTCATAACTTATTTTTACAACAAAAATTATTATTTTTTTTTTTTCATTATATATTTTCTTAGAATGGCCAAATATACTTTAACATTGACTTAGAACTACAACCAAGGAGAGCAAGTAATTCATAAATATATACTAATGTCGAAATCACAAGCGACTATCAGTTTCGCGACTCAAATCGCGCCAACGTCACAAAATGAAGGTAAAAAGAAATGAAATATTTGTGTTATTTTTATTTTAAAAATTTTTTTCATTAAATTTTCTCTTACACAAAAATAGGACATTCGGATGAATGGGTATTGCATTTACACATGCCTAACAAAGGTATGCGACCCATCAATGTCAATGGGGAAAATGACACTGTGCTACACGTAATTGAACGTGCCGTGCGTAGTTTAGTACCAGGGCATATGCCGAATCCGCACTTCTACGCACTGCGCTTGAATAATGTTGTAACAAAGGAAATATTATGGATGACACGTTCAACAGGCATGAACCAAGTTATGAAGTATATATGGTATCCAATTTGCCCGAATCTTGAGTGTTCAAATTATGATAATACAAAAGTCAATAGTAGTAATAGAAACTCGGTAAATAGCGTTTGGCGTGCTGAGCTGCGGATACGATACATTCCAAATAGTTTGGCGGAGTTTTATGAAGAAGACAAAACAAGCTGTTTATATTATTTTGACCAAGTAAATATAAAGCTGCGATATAATCATAAATATTTATCTTATTAAATAATTTAATCTCTTTTTTACTTTATATTCTAGGCGAAACAAGATTATGTTTTGTCCGATCCCACTATCGATGTCGACACGGCGATACAATTAGGTTGTTTAGGCATACGACATTATTTCAAACATACAAATATCAAAGCTCCCGATAAAAAACACCATATTGATTATATTGAAAAGGAAGTGGGTTTGAATTCTTTTCTTCCGAAATCTGTGATAAGTTCAGTAAAGCCAAAGAATTTAAAAAAGTTAATACAAGCTGGATATAAGAAGGTGTATAATTCCACGGACATTGAATACATAACCAAGTAAATAAAACTATTTTATTTTTATTTATTATTATTATAATAATTAATATTATATAATTTATTTATCATCTATTTATTTCTATTATTCGTTAGTTCAGTATTTTTCTCATTTTCAAGTTTTCAACTGTACCCCTTCTCTTCTTTGCAGGTTTTTTGAACTACTGCAAGGTTGTAAAATTGCTGGAAATGAAAAATTTTCAGTAACATTAAGCTCAGCATGGAATATATCTGGAATCTTGTATATCGGTCCACAAATCGGTATATTAAGCCATACGTCATACATAGTCCTCCATATGATTATATAAAGTTGCTTTTTTCAGGCATTTCTTATCAAACTCACCCACAAGCAGACCTGACAAGCGTCTCCACATTCAAAGACATTATAAAAATCGTAACACTTACTATACCCAGGGATAACGTAGGTAATCAAACCAAAAAGCCGCTAGCAAACTCGGCTGCTGCAGATGAAAAATATAATCCCTGTAAATGTTGGGAAGTAAAAACTCAACTTCGTATAACAACAAGAAGCAATGATGAAGACTTAGTTATAACTTGTGATGGCATAAATGTAAGTTGTTTTTTTTATTATTTGAAATTTTGTATTCTTATTTTTTCATACTTTTAATATTAATTTTGTCAACTACATTCTTGAATAGACTGCTGAAAGCATCGCTGATCTTATAGATGGCTACTGTTGCTTAATTCATGGTAGCGGTTATGTTTCTAAATGGGAACGCAATGACGGAAATACATTAAATAGTGTAAATAACGGTTTAAATGTCACCTCTGCAACAGCAAAAGAGGCGCAGAACAACGGCTTAGGTAAAACTAAAAATAATACTGATGATGAAACAGATGGCGGTGGCGGTGGAACAACATTTAGTGGCAGTGCTAAACCAAAGCCTACCCTCACCGAAGATTACGCTGAAATCGGTTTAATCGATGATGAGGGTGACTACTCAACGCCAACAGGTTTGTTTATAATTATTGCTAATATAAAATTTGTATATGTTTAATACGAGATATTAATTTTCATAGCTCGAAATTACGAATTAGAAAGATCTCAAATAAGTCTCAATGAAAAAATTGGTGTTGGACAATTCGGTGATGTTCATATAGGCACTTATTTTCCGAAGGCTAAGAAAAATACTAAATCCATTATAATGGGTAATATGGAAATGAAATCTTCGGTAATTCAAGTGGCAGTTAAAACGTGCAAAGCTAGCAATGATCCACAAAAAATGGAACAGTTTTTGGAAGAAGCATGTATGTTAAAAAATAAATTATAAAATACAATTATAATATCATTTTAAACGTAAATAAACTTTGATTTGGAATTACAGATATTATGCAAAAATTCGATCATCCTCATATAATTCGGCTAATTGGCATTTGCAGCGAATCTCCGATTTGGATTGTCATGGAATTGGCACGTCATGGTGAACTCAGGGCATATTTGAAAGCCAACAGCAAAAAGTGCGTATTTATATTTCGAACGTGCTATATATATTTGTACCGATATTGAAAACGTTTTGCTCTGTTTATCAGTTATATTTTTCGCTATCTTTGAAAAGGATAATTTAAATATTTCATAACAAGAATTTTGTATTTTTATATCTAATTTTAAATAGTTCGTATTTTACTTAGCGAAAAACTCTTGCTTGTGCATTTTATTTCTTGCCCTTCTTCCCTTTTTGCGCCTTAGCCAGGGCTTTCTTTTCCTTCTCAGCTTTCTTTTTCTGTTTCTGTTCCTCTGGAAATATTAATATTAATTATTTAATATTTATTTATTGTAAACAAACTTTGAAGAGTAAGATGCTTTGTATATTTTTACTAATAGAAAACTAGCAAAATTTATGAATACAAAGTTAAAAGAGTGCAGGAGTAAATTTTAAGAATCCTGCGAAAGATCTCGATGTGCTTACATTGTGTAATATAAATCGACTGCACCTACCTTTTATTATGGCCTGCATTTCCTTATATTCTTTTAAACTCATTGGCAGTGGTGCACATCTAAAGCCCGCGGGAAAATCTTTTTCCAAACGTATGAAACGATTGCCGCATGCGTATAGTAACGGCAGGCAAGCACCCTCATTTAAGCGTGATTTTATCCAGTTTTCAAAATATAAATCTGCCAACATGATCTGCTCTTTTTTGCTGCCCTCAAGATCACGCCAATAGTTCATTGTTGTGGGGGGTTGTAATTGCTTGAGTTTCCATTTTTTATTTGGCCAACGACAATAACGATCCCAGCCATCGCTGAGTTCAATACGAAAGTAGATATCCGATGTAGGAAAACAACGCATATTTTTCTTTTGATTTTAATGTTATTTCCCCCCTTTTTGCTTTGAATTTAAAGGCTTAAACGTGGAACTCTACTCCTGTATTGCTATCAGTTATCAACAGCCTTGAGTTATTTGGAATCTAAAAAGTTTGTACATCGAGATATTGCGGCACGAAATGTGTTAGTCAGTTCACCAACTTGTATAAAGGTAACTTAAAAATAATTGAGTTTCTGTACGAAAATTTAGTAAAATAATAAATGATTTTTTGTTAATTTATTTATATTTTTTTTTTTTTTTGAAAATGAAATATATAAATTTGTATACTTCCTACGCATAGCTTGCTGATTTCGGTCTCTCACGTTGGGTATCGGATCAATCTTATTACCATTCGAGCATGTGCATTTTGCCAATTAAATGGATGGCACCGGAATCGATCAACTTTCGCAGATTCACCAATGCCAGCGATGTGTGGATGTTTGGTATTATAGAAAAATATAATAAACATATTGTAATATTTATTAACAATAATGTCATTAAGGCGTTTGTGCTTGGGAAATACTTATGTTGGGCGTAAAGCCGTTTCAGGGCATCAAAAATAGTGATATAATTACGAAATTAGAAAATGGTGAGCGTTTGCCTCTACCAAAGGACTGCCCGCCACGGCTTTATTCACTGATGTCACAGTGTTGGGCACATGAGCCATCTAAACGACCCACATTCCAGAGAATCAAAGAAACACTTTAGTAAGTTTGAATGCTTATTTAATTGTGTGCAACTACATAAATAGTTCCACACTCAAAAATTAACTTGAGTCCGAAGTATTTTAAGTGCCTGAAGAAGAAGAGAATTGCCCATCAAAATTAATACCGTTGATTGCATGCGAACTAGTCCATCAGTTTTTGAGATATTTCAACCAAACGATTGTGAAAATTTTTGAGTTGTAATATTTTTAGATTTAGTATGTGAAATGTAAAAAATATCAAAGTATTAAATATTTCTTTGAGAAACTTTATACGTGCAAAGCTCTTCTACACAATTATTATTCCTAATTTTTTTGAGAATTTACACTAAACCACTCTTTCTTTATAGTGAAATTTTAGTGGAGGAAAAAATTAGCGATTCGGAAACAATGAGACGCGAGAATAGGCGAGTAGCGGCTATGTCCTGGAGTGGCTGTGAAGGCGATGTGCCACCAGTTAAACCAACTAGAATACCCTTCGATGGAGGTATTTTTTTTTTTAAATATTCATCTCTTAATACTTTCATCAACCGTACCATCTCCCTTATTTTGTACACAGATTCTGCGCTGCAATCATCCATAGTGAGTGAAAAGAATCCATTAAGCCCACAAACTTACATAATTGCCCAAAATCCAGAAGTTTTGGCGCGTTTAATGATGGAAAATGAGAATCGCAGCATTAATCCAGCAGCTTATACTACACCAGCATCGGTATTTAATACATTAGCTGTAGAAATTGATGAAACCAAAACCTCTAACATACCAAATAGTGCAGATATACCAATGAAAATGACTAAATTGCCAGCATCGGAATTGTTAAAATTGGATCCTATAGCTAATGAGCAAAATGTTGCATCGCTTAATCGTTTAGGTGGTGGTGGTGGTGTTGCCGGTGTACAAATACAGGCCGCATTGAATGCTAACCCTATATTAAATGCTAAAGAAACATCGCAAATATTAACCCAACCCATACATTGTAGTTGTTTAGATAAGTCTAATCATTCCGCAAACTGTATTTTCGTTAATGCTTTTGATCCCAACAATGCGGCATGCCTGCCAAATTCATGCAGTGCAACTCCCACCAATTTTCGTTCAATGCCTGCTACCAATGTGGCCTGCCAAAAGCCGCAAATGTCAAGTAATTTTGTTTTATATAATCCACAAGCAAACATTTATGATTTTCAACGTATGCCAATGGAGTCAAAAATTACTAAATCTGAATTGTTACGTCGTTGTAATCCCCATTCTTATGGCAGTTTAGAGCGTAATCAAGATACATACATAATTAGTAGCACAACCAGACCAATGCAATCGAAGGGCGGTAGTCTCGAGCGCAATCAATCCATTTCAATTTCCAATAATTTCATGCGCGATTGGGTACACCGCAGTAGTAGTTTAGAGCGTACAAGCCCAATAGATGCTTACCCAGGTACGCAAGCACCCAAAACAAATTTATCAAATAGTTTAGAGCGTAATATTTCATATCGTACATATCGTAATCAAATGAAAAGCTCAATGGAGGCCGAACCATTACAAGAGGAAATTTATGATTTCGGTGGTTGCAATGTGAAATCTTGTGCCACCACAAATTCCCTAAATCGCAATCGTACAATCGATATGATACCACGTATGCAACACACACAACGCGATTTAATTGGTAATTGCAAAAATCAAACTATTGCCGAGCAATTTGACACGAAAATTTCACCTAATTCAACATACACACCAATGGCACCGGGAATTAAGTCCTTCGCAACTACCAGCTACGCTGGCATTGCGAAGGACTTTAATAATACGCTATCCATGCAACCATGTGCTTATCCAATCAATGAAAAGTGTGAATTGAAAGCCCCAATATTCACTGATAATATTCATTTAGTGCAGCAAACAGCACAGACAGCAGCAGGTACAAGCCAGGATGGCGTCCACATTGCTGAGTGTCAACTTGGTGCACAGGTTTGAGATTGTTTTGCTACACAAATGCGATTTATTTCGTTGCAATTTAATTTCAAATTTTAATTTGGAATAAATTAAATGATTTCGTTTGTTAATTTTCATTTTGTAGGTTCGAATATGTACGGTTTTGTGCAAGTGCCTACATTTTGCTCGAACATAGACTCCTAATTTTTATTTTTTATTTTTAACATTTAGTGGCAGCCAGTTGTGCCTGCTGTGTATTTAGGCAATTATATTTTAGTTTTTTTTCACATTTTTGATTAAAAACAGCATTCAAAGCGAATATGCTATATGTATGTACAACATAAAAGTATTGAGTTTCGAAAAACTGTGAGTTTTGAAAACATTGTTAAAAAATATTGGTTTAAACTAGTACTGTCAGTAGTAGCTTTTACTTTAATACTCTTGACATGGTTTTTTATATCTAAGTTTTTTTTTTCAAAATTTAAGCTTTTCTACATTGCCTTATACTTATAGTACATGTTAATTATTGTTGTTCTTAGAATTTACTTCTGAAGTAATGTTGACTTTGTTCTAAAAAACTTTATAATTTTTTATTTTTAATTTTAATAATGTTTAAATTTTTTATATATCAAATATTTGCTTTCTTTGCAAACTTATTTCATTTGTACAATGTGTGTATATTATTTTTAGCTTTATTAAAACTATATTGGTTCCCTATATGTACATTAATACATATCATATATACATATGCATTTATTTAATTTTTTTTCTTATTTATTGCATATATTGTTGTTAAACTCAAACTTCTCCAACGCTATTACTCTTAAACGCTTAAAATATTTTTTTTTATTTCTAGAAGAAACGCTTAAGCCTTGCAACTTCGAATTCGGACATAAATGCCATGGGCTATTTCAATACCAACCATGGACCATCAAGCTTACCCGAGTGTTCACCAAGCATTAGTAATTCATTAGGAGCTTCTCGGCCGCACACCCCCGACTCCAAACATGATACCCTGAAGAATAGTGCATCCTCTATCGATAATTCAACATTTAATAATTTCAATGATACACCAAGTGATTCAAGAGCAAATATGGATTTAGCCGCAGGAACAGCAGCAACAACAGCTGGAGTGGCTAAACAAAGCACATGTGTTGTTGGCAACAAACCGATAACGACAATTGATCGTAGTAACGATGAAGTGTACAGTGCCACGAAAAATGTGGTTAAGGCGATAATGACACTTTCGCAGGATGTTGAAAAATCAAATGCCAATAATTATTTGGATTTAGTTAGAAATGTTGGCATCGAATTGCGTACTTTGCTGGCATCCGTTGATCGCCTGTCAAGGGTTTTTCCCACGCAAGCGCACAGGTTTGTTTAGAAATTGATTGAGACTGTGATTGTATGCTACAAACGTTCAACTCGTTTTAGGGAGGTTGAAATGGCGCATAAAGTGTTGTCCAAAGATATGCAGGATTTGGTGGCCACAATGCGTCTGGCGCAACAATATAGTGATACAACCCTCGATAGTGAATATAGGCGGTAAAGTTGTGGCTTTAAAGAGTTGCTTTGTTACCATAAAAGAAAAGTAAAAGTACAATGTTTATTTAATTCATAAATTTTTTTCCTCCTACCAGAAATATGTTGTCCTCTGCCCATGTCTTAGCTATGGATGCGAAAAATTTATTCGACGTTGTGGACTCTATACGCAGACGCCATGGCATTTTCGCGCCACCATCCGCACCTGCACCAATGCAACCGTTAACTTCGTCAAACAGCGAAGCGTCGGCCTTTATAACGAAACCAAATAGCGGATATACTTCCGCACCGTCGAACGATGAGGCAGGTGTAACGTTAACCGAAGATGGTTATCAAGTAATGACCAATAGTAAATATCAAAATTATAATAATTTAGCAAACGAAAAAGACAAAACTCTTGATGACGAACAAATGACACAGCAACAGCTGCCAAATATTGGGCATTTGCATTTAACAACTACCCAACAATTGGGTAACGACAGCGCTGTTAGAAGGTCAAACCTCGCATTTGAGCATATGATGCATCATAATACGAATGAACAATTACAAATTATAGAACATACAGATAATTCAGAATTCGATCACTTATATTCGAATACTAATATTGCTTCACAAAAACGGTGCAACTAATTTATTGTATAACGTACAGTTATGCCTATGTACATACATACATGCAGATGTGTATGTATGTACATATGTTTAAACGCTAGCCGAAATAAAAATATTTATAGTCAAACAACAATGTAATAAGAATAAAACGCAAGTACTTTACATACTCGATATACATATATTTATAAATGTATATGTAATCTCTACATATGGCTAACATATGTGCAAAAAAAAAACATAAAAAAAAACAATTTATATACAATATTTATAATTTTTTAATAAAAAAGAATTGTTATTATTTTTTCACTTACATATACATATAACTACTAGTTTTGGTATGCGAAGACAAGACACTCTTGTTAAAGAGAAAATTCATAACATATTGTTTGTGGACCCAAAAGCATTGACTAATTTATGTTAAAAAATGTAGTTTAAGTATATTTTGTTTTCCACTAAAGAACTTTTTTTCGCGTTCACACATTAAATGCAAACATTAACCATATTCCCCAGGGCTGCATATACAAACATACTACATAATTTATTCATTAACAATTTGCTGTGACTAAGAAATTTCAATTAAATTTATTAATGTTAAAATTTATTTTATTTCTGTTTTTATTCATTTGTACACACGTACAAACATTTGATTTCATTAAAATTTTATTAGGTTCATGAAAACATACCGACATAACCGAAAGAGTTTTAGCGCAGTGTGAATTGATGGGCAAAACAGAACAGTGGATAGCGCAGGGAATCATAAAGCAAATAACTTTTAATATTGAAAACATTTCAATTAAAATACCAAAAATGTAATTTTATTCAGATACTACTCAAATTTTTAATTGAAGTCTTTAAAAGTGTCATTAATGTAAAATTAAAAGAACGAAACAGTTTTCGCACTTCCTGCTAACGCAACAGATATTTTCCTATACCGTGTTTTTTTAATTTTAATAACTTAACAGGCTAATTTAAAAATGTGATTCCAGAAAGCATGCCAGTAGCTTCATTACACATAGTTTTCCAAATTTCCATCTCATCTTTTTTTTTTATTTATAATTAATTTTTATAATAAAAAAATATTTTCTACTGAAGTTCTGTCTTTGGCTCATTCTATACCTACATACGTGTACGTTTGAATTTTTTTCTAGAAATTGCATTTTCAACTGTTGGAAAATGCAAAAACCTACCTAAATACATACATACATATTTGCTAATCTAGCACATTTAAACATACTTCCGTCCCCAGGAAAATTAAAATGCTGAATTTAATAAAATAGTTTGATATTTATTATAACTTATTGTTTCATATTTTGAATTCATTTATGTGATTGAAATTTATTCCCTCTATTTTTTTTTTTTTTTTTTTTTGTAAATTAAACTTTATTAGTTGTTTTTCAGTTAATCTCACTTTTTTCGCAATCTTTTTAATTTTGCAATTTTTTTCTACACATTAAAGGCAGTTTTCAAAAGTTTAAAGCACAATAGTTAGTGCATTAATTAAATAACATAATTATATAATATTGCGAGTTTCAGCTGATTCCAAATGTATTATAAGAAAAATAAACGAAATGCATAATATGATAAACAAACATGTTTGGGTGTTATTAATTTTATACGCTTAAAAACAAAATACACTTTTGTTTGCTCAATTCTTAAAACATACAATAAAAGTTCTTGAATACATTTATGTTGTTTTCATTTATTTTCTATAAAAAAAAATCCAAATCTTAAATTCTAACAAAATTATTCGTTATATAGTTTCGAAATTTCCAATTTTTAAATTCTATCAAAACTGTTCGTTACATTATTTCAAAATAACTGATTTAACACTTTGCTACCTACATACTAAAGTTTAGTTACTGAAGGCAATATATCTTTATATGGAAGTGTTCGCACATATTGATGTATGTTAATATTAATAAATGCTGAATTATTCTGCTGTTGCACCGGGATATCTTTCCAGCAACATTGCAACACCTTGGCCACCAGCGGCGCAAGCTGCCACCACACCCAATTGTCCATCTTCACGCACCAAACGATTTGCTGTGTGCATGCAGAGACGTACACCGGTTGCCGCAAATGGATGGCCAATCGATAATGAACCACCCCATTTATTCCATTTACTCATATCTGGTGCACCGACTTTTTCGCTTAGACCCATGTAATTTTTACAGAACCAATCTGAGTCGAGAGCTTTAAGATTCGCAATAATTTGTCCGGCAAAGGCTTCATGTATTTCCCATGTATCAATATCGTTTAGAGTAAGACCGGTCTTTTTTAAGAGTTTTGGTATACCATATGCTGGACTTAATAGTAATTGGTCAACTGGATCTTGGGACACATAGAGGAAGTCTCGCAAGTATGCTTTTGGTTTGAGTCCAAGCTTCTTAGCTGTCTCTTCCTTCATGAGTACGCAAGCAGAGGCGCCATCAGTCTGAATTATTGAAAATAATTGTAATGAAATCATATTTTAGACAACATTATTTTCTTACCAGGAATGAAGCATTAGCAGCCGTAATAGTTCCATGCGGTTTAACGAATGCAGGGTTTAGTTTACCTAATTTTTCTGGTGTGGAAACACGAATACCGTTATCTTGCTCCACAAATTTAGTGCTTCCAGGCACTGCAAATAAATTGTTTTAGTGGAAAATTTATTAAAGGAATTTCATTGTTTTTTTTGTTGTAATTAAATTGAAACACACCTTTAACTGGCACCAAATCAGTGAAGTAACCTTTTTCCTGGGCCTCCTTAGCCAGTGTGTGTGACCGTAGCGCATATTCATCTTGCTCTTTACGCGAAACTTTAAATGCTGCAGCCAAACGATCAGCAGAGTGACCCATAGTTTCACCAGAGGAAAATTCAGCAACTGCCGGCAACTGCATACATATTTAAATATTATGTCAGTGATTCTTAAGCTTAAAATATATCTCGGTGGTACAACTTACTTCTGGAACAAAGAAATTTGGGCGCAATGTAGCAATTAAAGCTAATTTTTGTGCTGGTGTTTTGGCTCTATTGGCTTTCAGTAAAAGGCTACGCATTTTACGAGAATGGCGAATAGGAACGTCAGACATAAATTCTACACCGCCAGCAACAATGACGTCATATGTATTTGTCGCTAAGAGCCCAATGCCTGTCGTTATAGCCTATATGTATAAAACAATAATTTTAATTGGTCTCAATTGCTGATCTATATCTAACTAGTACATACCACATTCGAACTAATACAGGCCATTGTTACTGTATGGGCAGGGGTCTTATCGCTGAACCCAGCAGATAATGCTGCTTCGCGTGCAATATTCGAAGTTTTCACCTCCTGTATGACTGTGCCATAAACGATGTAATCTATTAGATCTTTATCAATATTAGTTTTATTCAGCAGGTTTCTGAAAAATGTTTTTTGGTTTTATAAGTTTAAGCCCATTGTTAATTTTCTTTACTTACACCAAAGCATATCGTGCCAACTGATGTGGCATTAACTTTGAATAGTCGCTGAAAGAATGTAAGAAAGGCGTGCGAACTCCATCGACTAAAACAATGTTTTGTTCAAATCCTCTCTTTATTGATTTGCTTTCCTTTTGCATTGGACTTGAAGTCGATATACTGCGGTAGCATCCTGCAATTTATGAATAAAAAAAAACTGATTTATATAATGATTTTTTATTTAGCAAAATTCTGTTACTGTTAATATCACATACATATATTGCTTGTTGCAATTCTCAGTGCAACAGGTTTCGCTATTTATAAAGCAAACAAAACAACTTATACTAACTAACTATTACGGAGTAATTAGATAGTCAATACCAAGTCTCATAAATTTGCATTAGAAGGGTATTTTAATTACTTATCAATCTTTTAGAGCTGAGATGAACTTTGTACTGCTAAACCAAAACATACGTCATACATACATATGTATATGTATATTCGTAGTCAAAACACAGACTTTACCCCCAGAGGTTTTCTTACCAAACTTTGATGATGAAGCAGCTAAGCCCGAAGTAAGAGGATTGGAAAAAAATTTTCCATGTCGCAAGCAAGCTAGTAATGAAGACTGCATTTTTTATAAAAATATATATTTAAAATTTACGAAAATTATTAACAAAATATATGTGCTCGATGTGGCTGAATAAAATATAAGTTCTTGAAATTAAGCGTAAGAACATAGGGTGTGTTGAAGTCATATAAATTACAGAAATTACGGAACGACATTGACATTAAGAATTACAATTTTTCAAAAGACGAAAACAAATAAAGAAATTTTAAACTGAAAAGGAGCTAGTTTGTCTGAAATTATTTTTCAGCGCTAGAAAATACAAAACTATGTAGGAAACTTTTTATTAGTCCAGACAATACAACAAATATAATTCGTGTGAATAGTAAATTTTATTGTAATCCGGAACAAAACGGAATTTGTGAAACTTCGGAATTAGTATCACCGTGTAATTGTTTCACTGAGTAATTTAGTCACGTACTACTATTGTTATTTTTATACGACTTCTTTGCAGAAAATTTAGTAGATTCGATCTCAAGACAATAAATAGTTGTCATCTACTGAGTACTAGACACATATTGCAATTATTAATAATGGAGGAACAACGAAGTGACAAAATTTATGGTGGTTGTGAAGGTCCTGATGCCATGTACGTGAAGTTAATATCATCGGATGGCCAAGAATTCATTGTCAAACGGGAGCATGCTCTGACCTCTGGCACTATAAAGGCTATGCTTTCCGGTCCTGGACAATTTGCAGAAAACGAAGCGAATGAAGTGCATTTCAGGGAAATTCCGTAAGAAAACTATTTTCGAAGAAAATCTTATATTTGAGGTATTCGGTTACCTGCGCATATGTACATATGTGGAGAGATATGCTTGCATATATCTATGTATGTACATATGTGTACAAATTTATAATCCTGTAGTGTTTTATAATATGTACATATATCAAATCAAAAATATATTTTAAAGGTTTTACTCATATAAATTTTATACATTGCCGACTTTTGGACCTTTGAGCAAAATTGTTAAAGCTGCCACTTTCTACATGTATAGATCATAATATCACAATAGTCAATCAATAAATTTATGATGTGTCTCAATTTTGGTGCCTAATTTATATATATATATATATATATATATATATATATATATCTTGCGTAGATGATTGTGCAGAATTCCCATTAAAATTATTTAAAAATAGTAATTGTTATATTTATTGCAAAAGGCAAATTTCAGATTTCTAATACCTGTTATTATAACTACCGGCATTCTAAAAACGCATATGTAAGTACCTTCATATGTACGCATGTACGTAGATATGCAGGTATAATTTAAAACACATAACTAGGGAATTTTTTCCATTTGTCTCAAAGTTCGATATGAACTAACTAACAAAACTCGTAACTTTTCTCATTAAAAAATGTTTTTATTAATTTTCCAGGTCACATGTTCTTCAGAAGGTATGCATGTACTTCACATACAAGGTGCGTTACACTAATAGTTCTACCGAAATTCCCGAGTTTCCGATTGCGCCTGAAATTGCGTTGGAGTTGTTAATGGCAGCAAATTTCTTAGATTGTTGAATAATAAATTCGAAATACATAAATACATTTAATCTTTTTTAGTTGAAATGTTCTGATAATTATTGTTTACTATTTCTAACGAACTTCTTATGTGTAAAAGAATATGAAAAAATACATTTTGTCTGAAAAACATATATTTTCGTGTTTTTTCTTTTTTATCAAATTACAAAGGATTTGTGCATGAAAAAATCGTGTGGGGAAATGTGTTTGCATTGAAAAGAATAATAATAATAAATAATTAAAGATTTAATACTAATCTTATCTGTATTTATAAATATAAATAGTATTATTGTTCGTGAGAGTGTAAATATATTGTAAAATAATTGACGCCATTGTTTATTAAACATACTAATAAGTTCTTCGATAAGAACAACAATACCACCCTGTAATTTTTGATTTACTTATTGTAGCCATATTTTTAGAAAATGCTGATAATAGAATCTGAAATTTGATGCACCTTGTGTACAACGTTAAGTTAAAAATTTTGCAAATTTGTTATTTTAGTTTATTTGGATTGTTTTTGAATTACTATTTACGGAACCAAGATGAATATTATTAATTTGACCGAAAATCCAAATAGACCCGATATTTTTCACAAATACAATGTAGAGAGTAGGCATGCGCTCGTTATAGATAATGGTAGGTAGCATATTTACCTGAGAAACTACATTTCAATAATGCTAAACATTTCAAGGTTCCTTTAAGTGCAGGGCCGGCTGGAGCAACAGCGAGAAGCCAATACTAGATTTTCGTAATTTTATTTTAAAGCCAAGAAGAGATAGAAGGAAAGAAGTGACAGACCCTTTGATAAACAAACATACTCAAATAGGCAATGCTATAACAAATCTGGAATCCGTAAGGTTAAATCTAAAAACCCAGGTATGCACACATGTGTTAAACAATGCAATCAATGATTTTCTTTTAATAACTAAAATTTTAGTTTGATCGTAATGTTGTTACGCATTTCCACAATCAAGAACAGATATTTGATTATATTTTTGCACATTTGGGTGTTCACAATGAAGAAAGCTTCACACATCCTGTACTACTAACAGAAGCGCTCGGTAATCCAAATTACTTCCGGCAGCGTAAGTGTGAAAAACAGAAATGAAAATTCAATTATGGCATTTTAAAAACAACAACAATTGCATATTTCAGAAATGAATGAGTTACTTTTTGAGTGCTATGGTATACCGTCTGTTTGTTATGGAATTGACTCATTATTCAGTATGAGGCATAATGCCGTCGGCTCTGATACCCTCATTATATCGTTTGGTTATAATACTACTCATGTGATACCAGTCCTAGATGGCCAAATGAGAATTGAAAATGTTCGACGTTTAAACCTCGGCGGTTACCATATTATACATTATTTGCATCGACTTATGCAAATGAAATATCCTATGCATATAAATGCCATCACGATAAGTAAAATAGAGACTTTATTACATTGTCATAGTAGCATAGCTTTGGATTATTTGGAGGAGTTAAGGCGTTGGTCTGATATAGATTACTATACGGATAATGTAAAAAAGATCCAACTGGCTTTCGTGATGCCTACCACGCAAGGTACACCGCAAAATCAGGATCAAAAGATAGAAAAGCGAAAAGAGTTGACAAGAAGACTTATTGAAATAAATGCACGCAGAGCTAAGAGCAAGCAATTGGATATGGAGAATCAATTACGTTTTATGGCTAGCGTTAGAGAGTTGTACGAAATTGGTGAAATGGTAGAATTCGAAGCAGCGTTAAAACAAAACGATCTAGAAAATGTAGTTGCATTAGATGTAAGTGCCAATATTTAATATAAAGGTACATAATATAACATGTAAAATACATAAAATTTGTATTTTCAGAAAACTATATCTTCACTTCGCGCTCGACTTCAGCAAATGGAAACGTCGACACAGGATTCTTCGCAAATCGCGAACCGTGCTCCGAAAGAAAAGACGTCCAACAACAAAAAACCACCAACAGACGTACCATTAGAAAAATGGGTGTCTGAAATCAATCTGAAACGTGATGAAATCTTAGGGCGGAAGGAGGTTCGCAAAGCACGGCGTCAGGAAGCGGCTAAACGACACACCGCCGCAGCTCAGGAGCGTATGCGTATTATTTCTTTACTCGCCCACAATGATAAAGGTATAGATAATTTTGGCGTGAATGACAATGACTGGGATGTTTATAAATCTATAAACAAGGATAATGAAAGTGATAGCGAGAGCGATAATGAAAAACTTTTGGAATATGAAACCATACTTAGTAAACATGATCCCTCATTTAAGCAAAATGCGATACAAAGTTCTGACGTTGCAGAAAATTATCAAGTGAGTACTCTTTTTTTCATCATTAGATTTTTAAACTTTTTTTTTGCCTTTTTTTATAAGTTATTAAGCGAAAGGCCTATTTGATTTGAATATTTAGTATACTAAGCTAACATCAGCCATGTAATTCGTTGTTGCATTATTCAATTCATTATTAGCTAACAACTTTTAAGTGCGCAAATTCAGCCACTATTTTCTCTTATTTTTATTTTATTATTTTTTTTTGTTTAAAAAGCGTTTATGTTCTTTTAACACATCAACTTATTGTTAACAATTTTTTCTGTCATACATTTCGGCATTAATTTTTGTTTTTACTCATATTCTAGTCTATTGAAATATTTATATACAGCCCTGGGAAATATCCCAATTCAATATAATTTTAATCTGTTTCATAAAGCTCCTTCTTCCGCAATTTACTTTGCAAAATATCGTTTTCGTTATAGCTAATATGTAACGGTGGTATGAGTGCTGAAGCCACCATGCGACTTTCCGCATTCAAAAAGTTGAATGTAGCGCAAGCCTAAATTAAAAGGATTAAGTTCAAATAATAATAATTAAAAATTTTTTTATGTTCATATTACCTGTTCTGTACGCAATATTTCCACATTAATTTTATGTTTTTTCATAAACTCAATTATAATTTTTGACAAATCATGTGAAACTGGTTGATCTCCAATACCAACTATGAGTATATCAATTTTAGGTTCAAGAGTGCAAAAAAATGACAAACTGTCTTCGTTGATGTCCTCAAGAGAACTGACATTCCACGAAAGAACAGAACTGTAAGCAAAATTAATTCTTTAAACATCAAACTTATTTAATCGTTAAATATTGGTTATTACCGAGGAAATATTGCCATTGGTCCCATTATTACCATGTCGTTATTGAGCCGAAAGCCATATTGGCTGAAACCGGTGATCATAAGACCGTGGTCCTGTTCGGTATTAAATATGGAAACTTTTGTTTTGCCATCAGCCTCATAAGCAGCTTTAACATATTGACGTGTTGCGGAAGTGATAAAATTCCGATTAGTCCTACGGAGCCCACCCAAAGCAAATTGTAAAACTTTCGCCATAATTTACAAAATGTGTTACGTCTTGTTATGTATTTATTTTGTTTATTATAAAGATGCAATATTTTCTGTTAATTCTGTGAAATCCGGGCCAAGAAAGACTACAGGGTGACAAATATTCTTCTGCATATCTTTTGGCAAAGCGAATTTGTACAAGGTGGCAGCATGACATACACTGGAAATGTACCCTGACACAACTTAGGTCTAGATATTGTAGCAGGTTAAACTCCTACTTATCCAGACTAGACCCCAGCATACCCAACGTATGCCCTGCATGTGGAGAGTCTCCCCACGACACTAACCACCTCTTCATATGTCCTCTCAAACCAACTCATCTAACCCCCCTCTCTCTCCGGGCCAACCCCGTCGAAACAGATCTTCGTTTCTTGGACCTTCCATTAGATGACCTCGGCGACTTAGCCTGACCAAACCTGTGCCTAAGCGAGGTTAGCGAACCGCTACAACCACAACAACAACATCGGAAATGTCACTTATTGCAATTTATTTTATAAAAAATCACGGAATTTGTCATAGCTCCTTCAAAAAATAATTATTTTATTTGTTTTGGATAATATTTTTAGCTACACTTCAGTGTGGAATCGATCCGTGCACCTGAAATACTTTTCCAACCAAGCTTAATAGGTTGTCCTGAGATGGGTGTAGCTGACTTAATTGACTTCGTACTTAAACTTTTCCCTGCTGATGAACAACAACGTTTGGTTAATGGAATTTTACTGACAGGAGGTTGCTCTCAATTCGCAGGTATTTATCAATATAAGTCCAATTTTTAAAAATAAGCTAAATATTCTTATTTACTTTTTCCAAGGTTTAAAAGAACGGCTGTCAAAAGAGCTTCTTGAAAAGCGGCCCTTTAAGACACCATTTAAAATATATGCTGCTCCATCCCCCGAAATAGATGCCTGGCTAGGTGCAAGGGATTTTGCGAATTCCAATGACTTTAACAATTCTTTGACTTTGAAATCCGACTATGAAGAAAAAGGTTCTGATTATTTTAAAGATCACTTGTACAGTAATCGATATTATGCCAATGCATAAACTTGCTAAAAAATATAATAAATTTAATATTATGAAAATAATTCCGCTTCGTTGTAGATGATATGAACATTCTTTTTATTGATGTTTTTCGAGAAATTGTATAATTTTTTAGTAACTTCGTAATTTTCGAAATAGTGATTTTATTTGCTTCATGATTTTCGTAAAGAAACGAAAACAAATTTACCTTGTTTGTGCTATAAATTGGTAAAAAATTCTCTCATACGATGATCAGTTAATATATAAATATATAAATTCTGTATTTTCTCTACAAATTCTTTATCAGATATTCGTCTTTAGGAAAAAAAAGTTTGTGCTAGAGAATTTGAATTATCTCTTTTTTCCTATGAGCATTTGTCGGGTGAATTTCGCCCGAAATGAATTCGCCTTGCAGAAAGGTAATTCGATGCGGGCTGGCAGTGCTTTTTTGTTTTCTGTTAAGCAATTGCAGTACTTTTCCGTTTTGAATTCGAATTTATGAAGTTGTGAGAAATTTTAAACATTATGATAAAAACTATTGTGCAGCAATATGTTTTTGAGCAATTAATGCATTTCAAAGATGGCAATCGATGTTGCCAAAAGTTTTGTGGATCTTTCCGATCTACAGAAAGATTGATCTTCATGGAGTTTGCCTTAAAACTTGAATGCCATAGTCGTGTTTGCATAAATAATGGAATAGAATTTGTTAAAATTTATAAAAAGAATTGTTTGCATTTCATGGAGCGTATACCAGAGTTGCGACTTACAACTTACACCGAAAAGGAGCTATTTATGTTGCAACGGGAGAGTGATTTTATTGGTAGTCAGATAGAGATGCAAATGTCACCAGAATTTTTTAGTCCTAATTGTATTAGACCGTCTGTACCACCACATAGATTTTCTTTAGGTCTAAAACAGTCAATGGCACGTAAAAACTTACGTGGACAGCAAAATTTTCAAGATAAATGTGCTTTAAAAATATATAAAGTTGGTTTACTTGAGGCGATGGATCGAAGTAGAGTATTGATTGTTAATGGAGACTACATCTTTGAGAAATCTACTGGGCTGCCCATGTACATTATAGAAAATTGTGCGGAGCGTCGGGCTCATTGTAAAATCGTTTGTGTGGAGCGAGAACAGTTATTGGCCATACATAATAGTGAAAAATTATCGGAGTATTTGGGTGAAAAAGTGGGCAATACCGTTGCATTTCAAATACATCTTCAAAGCCGCATCAGCGAAGGATCGAATCTTATATACACTACCTCAAGTTTCTTATTGCGTGTTCTAATGGGCCAGAGTATTGTGGATAGTTTTCGGCATATTTCACATGTTATTGTTAGCGACGTCTACCGACACGAGGCGTTTACAGATTTACTATTAAGTGAATTACGTGCAGCACTTCGCTGTCATGCACATCTCAAGGTTATACTACTATCAAATTCTCAGCATAATATAAGTTTTTTGGAGTACTTTGGTGAGGGGGAAATTCTACAGTTGGATAGTTCTCAAACACCCAACGTGCAAAAATCTTATGTTTTTCACATGGAGGATATACAAAATATAATAGAAACAGATCGCAATTTAATTAACCGTAAACAAATATATATCAACTTTATGAATACATCCTGCCGTCCTAACGGAAATTTTATTAACGCAGATCGCATATTGGAAAACTATGAGCTTATAGGTACAGATCAAGCTTTGGCTACATTTTTATATATGGTTGAGGGAGAAAATATTCCAATAGATTACCAACATTCGGTAACTGGAAGAACTGCCATAACTATTGCGTCTAATATTGGCAATATAGCGCATATAAAAATGTTACTAGATAAATTTGCTGATCCTTTTATAATGGATAAACAAAACCTTAACGCCATATCTCACGCTATTGCCAGTGGAAATATATTATGTATCGAATTACTAAGTAGCTGTAAAAACATCAAAACCATTAATCCTTCAGTACTAGACTACAGTCTTGTTATGGATCTTATTAAAGTGTTAACGATAAGTCCTAAATGGGAGGCTGGTGAGTATTATAAATGTCATAATTAGTAATTGACAAATAATCATTGCTGATAATTATAGGCAACATTATCATTATTGTAGCTGATTATGAGCAACTTTTGCGTCTGAACTATTGGGTATTACGTTGTAAAATGATCGGCGATTTACCGCAAGAAGTTGTCATATATATGTTACATAATAATATTGAGAAAGATCAACTAGATATGGCGATGGAAGGCACACCTGAGTGCATAAATATAATAATCGCTACAGATATCATTGAAAGTATAATTCCGAAATTTTCTATTAAATACATTATTGATTTGGTGCGCAACCGACGCACGTTATATAATACAGAATCTGGCTGTAAAGAGACCTCATATGAATGGATATCTAGAGAAGCTCTTGAAAATCGGGCACGTTTAACTAATAATAAAGGTAAAGGATGTTTTAGTTGTGCTTCACAATAATATTATTCTTTCAATAATAACATATGTATGTACAAGTACATTTTCCATTTTATTAATTTTTTTTAATATTGATTATAGGAGAACATGCTTTATGTTTTCGTCTCATTCCGGCGTTTTTGGTCGATAAACTCTCTAAAACCTATGCAGCCGAATTATTAAGCATGCCACTAGATCGTGTCTGTTTAACTGTAAAATTACTCTCACCACACACAATGGTTGCGGAATATTTGCAATCAACCATTTCCAAACCACCGTTTATACATATTCACAATACCGTTGAATTTCTCAAGAAAATATACGTTTTCGACGAACTGGAAGAGGTAACTTGGTTAGGTTGTCGTTTAATTGACGTACCGATTGATTGCCAGTTAGGAAAAGTACTCGTTTTCGCTATACTCTTGCAATGTTTGGATCCCGTACTAACAATTGTAAGTTTTTTATCAACTCTTGATCCGTTGGAATTGCCCAATGATTCAGGAAATATAAATCTGCCAGCATTAGATGAAATGCGTGCTAAAATAAAAGGTGAACGCAAACGACTGGCCGAAAATATATTTTCGGATCATTTGATTTACCTACGTTTATACCAAGAATGGCAAAATAACTTACGCGACGATAATCCAGAAATGGTTTTAATAGATGAGCATGACTATGTGCTAAATGGTATTTTAGAAAAAGTTTGTGACATACGTACACATTTAGTAGGGGCATTACGATCATCGCAACTCATACATAATCAAGGACAGCTAAGCATGCATTATATAAATTTAAAATCAAATAGTTGGCCCATAATAAAGGCGGCACTTGTGGCAGGTCTTTATCCATGTCTCGGCGTTGTTGATACATTTGAAGGACGTATTAAATGTAATAGATCGCAGGAACTTGTCATACATCCAACGTCTATATTAAGAGAGATTACCATGGAACCGCTAATAACGAAGGCGCATTGTTTTCCTTCCAAGTGGATGGTTTACGGCAATGAAGTAAATTGCGGTGGTCTCATTAGTGTCGGATGCTGTTCTCTGGTATCACCAATAACGGTTGCTATGCTTGCAGGTATGTGCATGTGCTTTGAATAAGGGTGATATTGTTTTATGAAAAATATGCATACATATGCAAATGTAAATATATGTTTCAATTGCTTTTTTTTTAATAATTTTTGTTTTTTATTTCCTTTTTAATTGTTTTTTTTTCTACAATTGTTTTATATTTTTCAATTGTTTTATATTTGTATTTGTATTTGTTGTTTGTTTTTTTTAAATGTTTTTTTTCCAATTACTTAATTTTTTCAATAGTTTGAATTCTTTTATTTTTTTTTTTAAATTTGATTTTTTTTAAATTTTTTTTTTATCCTATTTTGTTTGCTTTGGCCAGACTAGCTTATCATTTATTTCTGTTCCATATTTCAAGGATAAAAAATAACATAATAAAATGCATTATGTGCGTTATACTAAAGAATCTGCCAATGAATTCTATTTCCGATCTCACTTACCGGAAATACCGATAGTTCCGCTGTCATCGGTTCGAATGTTATATTGTTGATTAGTAAAAATTCAATTCATATTTAAATTTTTTTTTTTATACAAAATCAGTTCATTATTTTTTTCGTCCTACAGGACCACCAAAAATCGATTTATCCAATGTAAGCTCTATTAATGTTGCTGGAAGTAATCAGGGATCGGACAATCACATGACACATGAAAACGAACACGAAGATTCAATTTTTTATATTGATGATTGGCTTGAGATTAAAATGGAGCCTACAACTATACAGTTACTGATTAAAACTCGTCAATATTTCTACAGTGCTTACATGAATTTCTTGCAGAACTGTGGCAGCATAGATAAGTGGAGACGGACAAATTCCTTTTTGGCTGCAGTTTCGCGTTTATTCGATACGCTCGAAAGAGTATTTGCGCTAGAGGATCAAGCTTGTGGATTTGTCAAACCAATTAATATAGGTTTACGTCCAAAGGCGGTACCAAACAAGTTTATAACCTCTTTTAATGCCGTTATAAGTTGGAATGAAGAAAACGCTATTAACAATACACAAATATTAATGAATGATAATAATTCAAAGCGTGTTGAATTCAAAAAAAATCACATACAAGTTAAATCTGTTAAAAAGTTTGTCTGTTTGGAGAAACAGTTTTTCGCCGCTTGTGCATCACAATCAGATCTAACTTTTCGAAAATATCCACAAGATTGGTTGCGTGATGCCATTGCAAAAGTAATTGAACCATATTTGAGGAAAGACAAACTAACTTATGTATTGCTATATAATAAACATCCGGATGAATTCTGTTTGGTGGCAGTGGCTACGAAGTTATTCGGAAGTTTCAAATTGCAAGAATACTTTAAAAACAAACTACCAATCAATGAAGTGTTGTAAGTATGATACCTACATGTGTATGTAGGTATGTTGTCGTATGCTTTGGTTTATTGTTTTTCTTTTTTATTATTTAAGGAAAATATGTGCCATACATAACATTTCCGCGCCTGTATTCTCGGAAAAACGTAATGCTTTTCAAATTGATGCAGTGGTGGGTAAATTGATTTTGGATTTATTCGCATTCCGTAATCACAAGTAAAGAATTGAATTGTTTTAAAAAGATTTTGTTCTTACATATTTAAGTTTAAAACTTTTTAAATCGGTACATAAAAGTATAATTTTTAATAATTATGTTTGAGTTGGATGTATTTTTTACCGTAAAGAAAACTCATGTATTACATAATGTGTTCCACTGAATGAAATAAAGTATGAATTTTAATTTGAAAAAGAAAAACTGATTTAAATGTATGGAAGGCAATGTTATACAGAAAAATCGTATATATATTTTTTAGAATTATTCATTAGTAGCAGTAGCTCAAAGATGTTAAGTATGTAGTTGTAAACGTCTGGTACTGAAAATGTAAGAATCCAACGAATTTGGGAATTGCTTATAGACTTTTATACCAGTGCTTATATTTTATTATTGCAATAATCTCTGCATGCTGCATGCCATTGTCATACAATCATCAATGAATGATAAAATCCAGGTATGACGTTTGCTAAATGACCGTTATCAAAATCGCTCATGCAGCCCAAGGCAAATTTACACACGGTAGTAGCAAAAATACAAAAACAAAAAGCCTCTGTATTTTGTTTGTGTAGTCATCGTTTTGTGTGTGTAATTTGTTGAAATGAAGGAAGAACAAGCAATCATATGATGTGACAACTTCACGTTTTACAAATTCGCCTTAATGCTGCCCTACGCTTTCATGTGGTTTCACAAAATGCAATTAATGAAGCAGTCTGCAATTTATATAAACTAGTAACGCTTTAATTTTTTTTTTCGTTATTTTTAATTATGAATTTTTTTATTAAATAAATTATTTATTCATATTAATGTTAATTTAATTATTATTAAAAAAATCAATTTATTGGCCTATGTTCAAATCCTTAAAGACACTCTGTGCTTCAATTCTATTTCATTTCTCGCTAATAGTTTTGCCTCACTCTATCATTTGTCTCTATTTCACTTCATCTTTGAATTTAGAGCTAGCTGCCTAGCTGTATCTGAGAATAAAAAAGAGCCAATTTTCAGATGGTGTTTATTCTTTGAAAAGATTTCGTGGCTTGTGGAAGTGTTTTTGGAAAATAATTGGTGAGCATATTTGAAAAGTGCAATGTCAGATTCTGAAGCAAGTAATGCTTCCGACAGTGGATCGGATGAAGGATCGCTAAGTTCTAACAAATCGCAACGTAGCGCACGTTCGCGTTCGCGTTCTCGTTCCGTGTACAGGTCGCGTTCAGGTTCACGCTCGAAATCTCCCTCTAGATCTCGTTCGCGCTCCCGTTCGCGTTCTCGTTCAGGTGCATCGGGCTCGGAAGATGAAAGTCCTACGCGTAATAGGCAAAGAAAAAGTAGAAGTCGTTCCGGCGATGAAGAGCCGGAGGATGGAGAAGATTTGGACGGGGACGAAGTCGACTCTGAGTATGATGAAGAAGAGGATGAAGATGACGACCGACCACGTAATAAAAAGAAAAAGAAGGAACGTTTTGGTGGTTTTATTATAGACGAAGCTGAAGTGGATGATGAGGTAAAAATAATATATAAAAAAAAATTAAATTTTATAATTTAGCTGGGTAACACCGATTTTTTGTATTTTGTTAGGTTGATGAAGACGATGAGTGGGAAGAAGGCGCTAACGAGCTAGGTATAGTAGGGAATGAAATTGACGAGTTGGGTCCCACTGCACGAGATATTGAAATTAGACGTCGTGGTACTAACCTATGGGAGTAAGTTATTAATATTCAATTATATACATTACTTGTTTATATAAACTACATATTAATAAATTAAAAATTTTTAGCACTCAAAAAGAAGATGAAATCGAAGAGTACCTACGTAAAAAATACGCTGACGAATCGGTTGTTAAGAGGCATTTCGGTGATGGCGGTGAGGAAATGTCGGATGAGATAACACAGCAGACTTTGTTGCCTGGCATAAAGTATGAAAGTTTTATTATCCTCGAAAAATTTGTATAAACCCTTTTCATTTATAGAGATCCTAATCTTTGGATGGTAAAATGCCGCATTGGTGAAGAGAAAGCCACAGCACTGCTTTTAATGCGCAAATTTTTGACTTATCTAAATACAGATGAACCGTTGCAAATTAAATCGGTTGTAGCGCCGGAAGGAGTGAAGGGCTATATTTATCTGGAGTCTTTTAAACAAACACATGTTAAAACCGCTATTGACAATGTGGGCAACTTGCGCATGGGCAAATGGAAACAAGAAATGGTACCCATCAAGGAAATGACAGATGTATTGAAGGTGGTCAAAGAGCAAGTCGGATTGAAGGTTAAACAGTGGGTACGTCTTAAGCGTGGTCTATATAAGGATGATATAGCTCAGGTGGATTATGTTGATTTGGCACAAAATCAAGTACATTTGAAACTCTTGCCACGTATTGATTATACACGCATGCGCGGTGCCCTAAGAACAACTGCGACGGAATCCGACGACTTCAAACGTAAGAAGAAACGTAGACCCGTAGCGAAACCTTTCGATCCCGAAGCCGTGAGGGCCATTGGTGGCGAAGTCCACTCCGATGGTGACTTTTTGCTTTTCGAAGGCAACCGTTATTCCCGTAAAGGATTTTTATATAAAAACTTTACCATGTCAGCTATTCTGGTTGACGGCGTGAAGCCTACATTGGCAGAGTTGGAACGTTTCGAAGAACAACCGGAAGGTAAGAAAGATTTACCTTTTTTATTTGAATAAATGTACATTGAAAATTCAGTTATATTGTATTTTAATACTAATAACTTTACCATACTTAGATGTGAATTTGGAAATCGTCGCCGGATCAAAGGATGATCCCACAAGCACACATTCCTTTTCTATGGGTGATAATGTAGAGGTATGCGTTGGTGATTTGGAAAATTTGCAGGCGAAAATCATTGCAATTGATGGTGCCATGATAACAGTTATGCCAAAGCATCAAGACCTCAAAGTAAGTGAAAATAATTAATGTAAAAAGGTTTAAAAAAATTACAGAAATAATTGAAATGTATTTTTATAGGATCCCTTGATTTTTAAAGCCAGTGAGTTACGCAAGTTCTTTAAAACTGGCGATCACGCCAGAGTTTTAGCTGGTCGTTATGAAGGTGAAACTGGTTTGATTATACGGGTGGAACCAATGCGCATAGTGTTGGTATCTGATTTGACAAATCACGAATTGGAAGTGTTGCCCCGTGATTTGCAACTTTGTTCAGATGTGGCTACAGGTGTTGATTGCTTGGGTCAATTTCAATGGGGTGATCTTGTACAACTTGAGTGAGTACATATAAAGCTATTAATTTCATAAATATGTGAATAACACATTTTTACCTATTATTTTAGTCCTCAAAATGTCGGTGTTATTGTACGTTTGGAACGCGAAAACTTCCATGTTTTGGGTATGCATGGCAAAGTTATAGAATGCAAACCTACTGCTTTACATAAGCGTAGAGAAAATCGTAATACTATTGCTTTGGATGCTGACCAAAATCAGATAAGACGACGTGACATAGTTAAAGTAATGGAAGGACCACATGCTGTAAGTGCTTGTATATATTTAATACAGTAGATAAAATAATTAATCGATACAAATTATTTTAGGGTCGTTCTGGAGAGATTAAGCATCTTTATCGCAGTTTGGCTTTCCTACATTGCCGTATGTACACCGAGAATGGTGGCATATTTGTATGTAAAACTCGTCATTTGCAGTTGGCTGGCGGTAGCAAGAGTCAGGCTAATACTGCAGGTGCACTTGGCGGTTTCGGATTTATGTCGCCACGCATACAATCGCCTATGCATCCATCTGGTGGCCGAGGTGCGCGTACCGGAGGTAGGGGAGGACGTGGTGGCTTCCGTGTAACTCGTGATCGCGAAATCTTAGGCAAGACAATTAAGATTAGCGGCGGCCCATATAAAGGTATGTCTTTTTCGATAACATTTTATTATTCGCCAGTATTTTTATTCAATAGGATAATGTATTAACCTGTAAAACATTATTTCAGGCGTTGTTGGTATCGTTAAGGATGCCACCGAGAGTACAGCTCGCGTAGAGTTGCATACTTCATGCCAAACTATATCTGTCGATCGCAACCATATCGCCATGGTTGGTGTACCCGGAAAAGAGGGAGGCAGTGTATCGACATATGGTCGTACCCCAGCACGTACACCTGGTTATGGGTCGCAGACACCAGTTTATGCTGCAGTTGGTTCGAAGACACCATTACTTGGTAATCAAACTCCCAATTGGGATTCTGAAGGCCGTACACCATATAGTGGTACAATGACGCCATCTCATGACGGTAGCATGACACCTCGTCATGGCGCTTGGGATCCAAGCATTGCAAATACACCGGCACGTACCAATGACTTTGATTACACGCTGGAAGAACCTAGCCCCAGTCCTGGCTATAATCCAAGTAAGATTTATGACTAAGCTCATGCATACATACATAAATGTCTATAGGAGATTCATATAAACTAATTACTTATTTACTATTCCAGGCACACCAGGCTATCAAATGAATACGCAATTCGCACCACAAACTCCAGGCACTTTATACGGTTCGGATCGTAGCTACAGTCCTTTCAACCCAAGTCCCAGTCCAGCACCGTCGCCATATCCAGTTGGTTACATGAACACGCCATCTCCATCTACGTATTCACCAAATACACCTGGCGGTAATCCACAATCACCATATAACCCACAAACTCCTGGCGCTAGTCTGGACTCACCGATCGGTGATTGGTGCACAACCGATATTGAAGTTAAAATTCATACACATGACGATGCAGATTTAGTTGGACAAACAGGCATTATTCGTACTGTTTCGAATGGTGTTTGCTCGGTATTCTTGCGCCAAGAAGATCGCAGTGTGTCGATTGTAAGCGAGCATTTGGCTCCAGTACCACCGGAAGTGGGTGACGAATTCAAAGTTATTTATGGCGACGAGCGGGAATCAGTGGGAAAAGTTAGATCACTTTCGGACAAGGACACTAGTCTCTGCCAGATTAATGACGAAATTAAACTACTTCCAACATCATATTTATGCAAAATGAAGTCTATTGATTAAAGATATAACTACGATTGACAATGAAATAATATACACACACGTGTAATGATGTATATGTATGGATTACTGTACCACTTTTAACGTTGGATTTGATAATAAATATAGTTCCAACAAAAACCAGTAGTTTTATTTAACAGTTTAGAATTATATTTGTGCACTTTAAGCCGCAGTAGCAGAGAGAATAGGGAAACATTTCAAATGATGGAGCGCTCAAACACTGGTCATGAAAATATAGTTACTCAGAAAAGTCTCATTAGTCTGAAAAATGGTTTCTGTACTAGACATGAAAATGAGTTATATGTCTAATACCACGGTGCCCTTTTTCACTTATTCATCACCACGGACCTTGATCTCTTCCCAGGATGCTGATCCCACCTCAAAGGACTCGTCAAATTCAAATAGTTTTTGAATTATAATTGCAAATTTTGCTCTGATATGGCAGCATTTAATCTGTTTCCTCTCTCAATAAATTTTAGTAAATAGGAAACCAAGTGACTAAAAAACTCGTTTCATATTCTCATTCGTTCCCGGACGAAAAATCAACATTGATATATAAGACGCTAAAGTATTGTAAAGGAAAATTTTTTGATGGCAGATGCATTTGGATATTTTTATTCGCATTTGCTTAAAGCTACTAAGTTCCCAAATGTTGCATTAAAACACTAGAAGAGAAGGTATTAATTTGCTTGTAAATAGAAACATGTTACAGGCGAGTTTACGTCGTCCGTTTGTAAGCGTTAGGATACCTACGAGAAGATCTCAAAGTATTCAAGAAACTCAACCATTCTTTGGTATGTATATTACAATAATTTGGAGCAAATAAATTTTACTAACAATTTATTTTGTTTTAAAACTATTTATTTTACTAATGGAAAAGCACGTAAACCTTTTAGGGCTGTACACAAAGAAGTTTAGGTGAATCAATCTTACAATACATGCATACATGTACAAAAGTTATGAAAATATACATACATACATCGTAAGAATATGCATATGCACCTACATATTAAGACAGTGCACCCTGCGATAAATCGTGCTTATTTTGTATTTTTATCTTCTTATCTGTATTATAAACAATCGGTTTTATAAAACACACCTACGCCAGTATTTTGTGGTACGCAATTTGCTTAATGTTTACAAAACATGTTTGATTTTTTCTTGTTGGGCAATTGGTAATTTATATGTATGCTGATAATTTTGAGTCGTACATATATATGTGTAAGGTCTAAAATTTATTTCATTTCAATTAAATTTATGCATGTCCAGTAACATTTACATACATACATATGAGTTTTAATGTTAGTAAATTTTTCATTCACAGGAATCATCACCATCTGATAATTTTCGTAGTCTTCCTCCAAAAAAGCTTTATCTAAAAAGTAGTGCCCTCACGAAAACGAAACAACCTACATACATACCAAAACGAAAAGATACAAGCGCGTTTTTATAGTTAAATGCTTGATTCTTTTGCTCACAAGAAATTGCCTCATTATCGGATCATTAATTAAATAATTGTTTTTATTTCATTCCTATTGATTGATATTATTATAACATCGGAATATTTAAAAAAGATACATAAATATAATGTTTTCGAACGGCCTACCTTGCAATTTGTCATTTCCCAGTTGCCTTGGCGTACCAAAAGACAGTGGGAGCGACGAATTACTACCAACAAACATGAGCAATCGTGAACCAGTTATTTTAAATGTCTATGACATGGTAAATATTGCACACATACACACACATAGTAATATTTTATATGAAAATTTATTTTCTTATTCTTTCTCGCTACAGTATTGGATAAATGAGTATACCACATCGATAGGATTAGGTGTTTTCCATTCCGGCGTTGAGATTTTCGGCACAGAATTCGCATACGGCGGACACCCTTTTCCATTTACAGGTGTTTTCGAAATAACACCACGCGATCACGACGAATTGGGCGAGCAGTTCCAATTTAGACAAAGTATACAAATTGGCTGCACGGATTTTACATATGAAGAAATTCGACGTATTGTTGACGAATTGGGTAATCAATTCCGTGGTGACCGATACCATTTAATGAACAACAACTGCAATCATTTTTCAAGCTCTCTAACTCAGGTATGTATGAGTGCTTTTGTACTCGAGAAATAATACTCATGTTGAATTTAATTTTTTATTTGTAGATTCTTTGTGGCCAAGAAATACCCAGCTGGGTAAATCGCCTAGCACATTTTAGCTCCTGTGTGCCATTTCTACAAAGATGCTTGCCAAAGTAATGTTTCGTTGATTAAATAATAAAAGAATCTTGACATTTTTTTATTTATATTTACAATATTGAAAAACGGGTTTGGCAATTAATGTAAATTGTTTTTGGTTTTTTAGTTACTAAACTCTAATTCGCGTATAATCCATGTAGAAGAAGTGTCAGGGTTTTTCTATAAACATATAACGCTTCAATTTTTATAACTTCTTAATACTGGTTAAAATTTCTTTTTTCCACAGAGAATGGCTAACACCAAATGCCTTACAACAGAGCATAACTGCAATTCATGAACGTGAAGAATCCGATGCCAGTCCTCTTTGAGTACCACGGATATAGGAGAGAATATAGTGACAATTTACACCTTAAAAATTAACAATCTATTATGTAATTAACGAAAAAAACAACTTCAGATCAGTTTGTAGGTTTATGTATATTAAATTAAAATTTGTTCTTGTAAGATATTATACATATATTTAATTTCTTACAATTAAACATAAACTAATATTAAACTATATTCATAACATTTTAAACAAAGCAAAAATATCATATACATACATACATACAATTTTTACATTAAATTGGACTGGCTGAGGTAGTATTAAGAGTGCGTTTCATTTGTATGACGATACGGCCCTTTTTTATTTAATTTTTTATTCATAAATACATTACATATTTTACTTTGTGCATAAACCTTTCAGAACATTTGATTTATTTAATTTTCTTAAAGTGAAAATCTGATAGTTTATTATTTTTGTGTCGAGACAATCATTTACCAATATCATGCCAAGAATTAAAAAATATTCAAACTCGATTTAAGCAACATTTTTAAGACTAACATATTTTAACTATTTTGAGCAACAAATGCAAACATTGCGGAGCCTTACAACTTTATTTTTGTTAATTTAAGACTTCTTAAATTAATATGGCTCTGATTTCCGGGATATAATTATCTTTGTCCACAATTAGATAAAAACATCTGGCAGCGCTGTGTCAAATTAACAGTAAGATGAAAATGAATAAAACAGGGTGACTCGAATTTCATACTTCATTTATGTTTGCATATTTCAACAAAAAAATAAATATATAAACTTATAGAAAAGATCACATAAAATATAAAAATTGTTATGAAACAATTTTTTCTGTAAATAATGGAATTATATTGGTGCGCGTGATAAACTTAATCCAGAAAAAATAAAAATAAAAAATATAAACAGTTTTAAGCATCTGCAAACCTGTCAAAATATTTGAAAAATAAAATAAATTCTCGCACAGTGTATATATTAACTCGCGGAATGTACTGAGACGCTTCATAATATATATATACACATACCACTGTACATATTATATACATATATAAATCGGGCAGCTGACTTTCTCTAGTTGGAATGAATTTTGGATAAGCAAATACAATTGTTCGAGTGTTTAAATAGAAAATAAATAAACGAGTAAACAAATATAAAAAAAAAACAGGTGGGTGTAAAAAAGATAAGTGTTGTAAGTGTGATTATTTTACCGGTTAAAATTATGACAACCGTGAACTTCCTATGGAATTAAATATTATATTTTAATACAATTCCAGCTGATGATGTCATAAAATCTAATGGCTTAACTTAATACGATTTAAATCAATTTAATATTATACTAAAAACGTGCTCAGACAGGTTGTAGAAAAAGAACTACGTGTTGAAATATTTTCACTATTCCACATCAAAAAGTGTAATGTCAAGCTCTTGCAGCCACTAGCTTGTGGTACATCTTCTAGCATTTTGATTATTTTTAGAAGCATATACATATGTAGGTATTTATATTTGTAATATGGCATATTAGAATTGTTGATTAAATGTGAAATAAATGTTACAAGGACATATAATTGTAAAATATAGTGCACCGTTCATAATGTGAAATCGAAACAAAATATACAATATGGCTGACTTCCTTCAATTAATGTCAATAAGGCGAAGCTACTTAAAATTCAATTTAGCAAACAGTGAGTAATGCAATTTACTGTGTGCAAAGTAATCAATACTACCTGGAATATATCCATTTTACTACTTATACGAGTATATAGTGTGTCTCTGACTGTTCATGTAAGCGCATATAATAATATTCATGTGAATGTGCGTTGCGGTATGGACAACAACTTTCAAAGAAGGCACATCATTAATTTTGTTTCTTTAGATTAGCTTATGCCTTGTCAACAACAACAACAATCGCAAAAATTTCTTCTTATGTGTTGTTTCTCATTAGAAATCATTTGTTATTATTGTTGTAAGATTAGTCATTTGTAGGTATGTAAATACTTGCAAATTTAAATACATACATAATTTGATAAAAATAACAAACTATATTTGCGATATATATGTATGTGAGTTATACAAAGAATATTCATAATTTTTTATTATTTTAGTTAAGGACACAACATCAAAATGGATGAATTGACAAATTTCCTCAAGCAGGCGGGAAAAGAATTCCTAAATGTCGCTGGTGATGCTGCAGTGGGCGCGGCGAAAGAGGTTGTGGGTTCGGTGATTAATGAAATTTTCATCAAGAAAGAGGCTGATACCAAACGTGTTCTTCCGAGTATTAAAAATATGCGCGTTGTAAGTATAAAATTTCCTTATCTATGTTATTAATAATAATTAATTATGAGTTATCTATAGAAAGTTAAAAAAAAAAATTCGAAAGCAAACATCCTAAGAATGTTTAATTTGTTGTGCATACTCGTATATACACATGTACAGTATAAATTCACGGTAAACTATCAATTCAATCAGGTATTTCGTTCATATATATGTACATACGTACATATACATACATATGAATTTAGGTTAAGTAGGAAATAGTTTTTTAGCAACTATTGTTGTTTTTTCTTCAAATTATTTTTTTTTCCAAGTATTTTATTATTAAAACAAAAATCACTTAAATCCTTGTGACGTTCAATAAATTAATTAAAAAGAAAAAGGAAATATAATTTTCCAAATTTGACTTATGTATGTACATGTGTATGCATAGATATATAAATTTTCTTGCGAAAAGAAGAAAAATATATCCATATACAGTAAGACAATATAATGATTTATAAAGGGTGCTTCTTTTAGACGTGCAACTTTCAATATTTGGATTGCTATTTCAACATTTGCAAATCGTGCAAATTTATTACAAAAAAAAATAATGGTTCGGTTTGCGCGACACATCGCGCGCTACGTCCAATATTCCGTCAATATAATCACCCAGAATAGCCGATAATTCGAACAACCATGGATTGGTTTCATATCTCATTTAGTCTAGTGGATTATGCACGAACTTAGAGACGACGTACTTGATTTGCGGGCTACATGCATAATTGAATACGTCGCCCGTTCGGTGAATGGCGATTTTCTAGCGAGTCGCGAGACGATTCAAGTCTTGGTAGAGATTAATTATTACTATAAGATATTACTGCAAAAGGAGGTCGAAAATTGTTCCTTTCGACTGGAACTTATACGAGCACTTGTCCGAGTCTCACATGTCAAAAACACCCTTTACAATGCTAAATACACCTTTTTTCATTTGCTTGCATGTATGTATGTATTACTATTTAGCTGTAATACATACATATATTTGTTTATTTTTTTACATCACTCGGAAAACACGTAATCCGAAAAAAGTCATTTAAAACAAGATTTAAACAATTGTTGGCTTACAGCTGATATGATTTGCAGAAACATTATACACATACCTACATACATACATATATTCATATAAAACATGTATCATTAGCACAAGCACGAATTGTATTCTTAAAATAATTATAAGAGAAAAATTTCCAGTTGTACATATTAACACATCACACATCTATGTATATGTTGATATGCGCATACATACATATGTATGACACATACGTATGATTTTCATTTACAACTAACTAAACTGCTTTTTCAACATTTTTTTATGCGGCTTTACTGAAATTGTTGCAATGTGCTTAGACATCAAATGTAAGTTCCGCACAATTTCAAATCAATTATATATATATATATGTATATTTATTTATTTATTTATTTATTTATGCATTTTCCATTATAAACCAGTATGCCGCTTTTAATTAAAGGCAACTTATCTTAGATGAAAAATATGTATCTGCTTTTAAATACAATAAATTCTATTGCTCGCGAATAATTCGGAATTCGCTTGCCACTTTTTCGCTGCTAGTCACCAATGACAAATCAATTAACCAACTATGCGTGCAGTTTTTTTTTTAAATTATTTTCTGGCTTATTTAATTACTGTAATGCATTCATATTAATAATTTTTCTTTTGTTTTTCTTAAATTAAAAGTATTTGAACTTGCAGCAGTTTGCCACATACATATATGTATATGTATTTGAATTAAGTATTTAAAAATACATATATTTATTTATTAACTAAATAATCAACACACTACTGCTTTTCGATTTAATACCAGCGTATTTTGCCTTAATACTCGCATGCCAAAACCAAGAGTCGTCCGCACACCTCTTAAGTGCGCTCACTTTGAATATTTGAATAATTGCCTAAGAGGCGCATTATCACTTCTACAACAACACACAATTACAGTTATGATGATAGGACGTGCTAAAAATTATACTCACGTGGCTGCTATCGCTGGACAATTAATAAAAAGTAATGAACTTTACTACACAAAGTCGTAGTTTGGAGGATTTTTCCCAGATCTCCTTGTTAACCAATTGGCGATTTTTAATAGCTGAAACAGTTTTCGGCCGGGCTCCTCCTCTAAATTATAATTTGCTTCTTGATGTTTCTCCAACAAATGGAGGGACCTACAGTTTATGAAAAGTCACCTCCGAACTGCCGATGCGTATTTCATGTCAGAAATACACTCGGAGGGGTTGACATTCACCAACCGAGAAGCGAAAGGAATTAGAAAATTTGGCTTAATTTTGTATTTAAATTAATTTTTTAACAACTTTTAGATGTTAGTTCGACACCAGTACGCAATGCTAACCACTCGGATACAGCGCACGCCTTGTTACCCATACTTTTGTAAATTTTGAAGAATCTATTGTATTTCCAATTTTCCTAGCGCTATACTCGTATGCTTCATCGTCAAGTTCACCGTAATTTACCTAAAACTTCAAAGATATGACTATCAGCAGTAACGTGGTAGTCCAGGAATGGTTGCGAAGATTGTTTGTTGAGATATTTAGTCTTGTATTCATTGTCAGACCCATTGACTTCGCTTTTTTGTCCAGTGCGGCGTAAGCAGAGACCTTTTGTTCAGAAGAAGGAAGTTGAAATAAAGTCTAAGAAAAAAATATTTCAAAAGCCCCAAGGCTTACGCCACTGTTCAGCCAAATACTCGTATGCACATACACATATTTATATAGATTTATAAGTTTACCCAATAAACAATAAAGTAGGCGACCAAACGGAGTTCGGCTTACCCGCTCGGATCCGAGAAAAATATTCTAGACTATCCAAATTTTTAATGTGTTTTATCAAACCCACACGTTAAATCTGCTCGGCAAAGTTTTCCATAGAAGCGATTTTGAGCCAGTACTGGGTACTGGTTTCTATGCTTCCGCATTTGCGATGGAAGTATTTAAAGGATTTGCCCATTGTAAGTCCACATCGCATATCCCAGTGTTTTTCCCGCCACTTGTTATTGGCACTACTGTTAATTTCAGCAATTGTTTATCCGAAAATACATGCCTTATTGCTAGTAAGTGAGCTTCATTGCTTCCTAGAATTATACTGTTAAGGGTACTAAGACCACGTACGTTTTGAGATCTTATATTTTCGAATGAAAAAAACCAGCTTAAACGACGTGTCGGAGTTGGGAGTTTTCAAGAAAAAGGTTTACCGAACGATTTATGGGTCTTTCCGATTAGGCAACGGTGACTACAGCAGACAATGAAGAGATGAGCTGTACTAGACGTGTACCACGTTATTGACAGCGTCGTCGTTGGATGAGAACCAAGCTTTGAATGTGTTCTACGCAATACGTCGTTAGAGACAAAAGAAGAGGAACAACTCTATTTCGTTGTAAAGATCCAGTGGAGAAAGACACTTGGTGCCTCCAGTTCGCGCAGACCGACTGAGAGCAGAAACGAATGGTATCAACGCTAATAAAGAAAAAGAGGGATAACAAGATCCGTTTTGCGTGGACCAGCGTCTTAAGCCTACTTTTTCTCCATCTATGTCATTTACTATAACCGCCAGATCATCCACGAAACGGGATATTAAATGTACTACATTCGCTAATAATGAATTTTGAAATAAACTCGAATCCGTATTGCTTGCTGGGGTACAAGGAGTGCCCGCCAGTGATAATAAAACAAAAAATATTAAACTCTATTCGAATGATGTGCCAGTATGTTGTGTATGTGTTGAGTATGTATTTATGTAACTAGATCATTAGTCGAGTGGTTAGCAATGCTTACTAACATATGGAAGGATACGCGTTCAAACTCTCACGGGCTCAACATTCAAAAAGAGAGGAAATTAATTTTTATATCTGTCAACTACATATATACAACCGATTCTTAGGATTTGAGATTTTGGGTCATAAATCCGTTAAGGACTATATTATATATCCCCTATACAATCGACTTGTTCAGATAAAAAGTTTTATAGGACGTATAAAATTCCGCATCGACTGAGATGCGTAAAACCATCTGTCACAGCTCTTCCAACATTCATGGTGCCCAAGCACCACCTATTGCAGACGAATAGTTCGCGGTGCCTTGAGAGATGCGAGTACACTACACTAAACTAACCACCTCTTTGCATGCTACGTTAAATCGTACGAGCTCGCCGAAACCGCTCGTCTCCTGTACCTCCCGTTAGATGATTTCGATGACTTCGGCTAGCTTCGCATACTTTTAACCAGGACTTGAGAACCGCAACAACACATCACTTCTTAGCGGTATGCCAACCGTTCCGAGAGCATTTCTGATATGCAAGGAAAAGCTTCTTATAAAAATCCAACATCCGTTGGATGCATGCTCCTCCATGCGTTGCAAAATCATCAAGCGGACACAACACAATTCGCAAACGAAGCTGGGCCGAAAACCGCTTCAGCGGTTATAAAGTGCCAGACTCCACTTCACGCACGTAGTAAATTAATCGTAAACTCTTAATAGTAGTTACTGCACGCGGGTGTTGACAACATGTATGAATGTATGTATGTAAGCACATATAAACTTTCATTTAAAGCCATATTAAAACATATATACACGTATGTAAAGCTATAAACATATGTATACGGTCGCCTACCTCAAGTTTTTGCGATTTTTTCCCCCAAAAGAGAGATACTTTTGCCTAAATTACTGAATAATCATGCTTTAACAACATATTCGTGACATATTTATGTAAAAAAAAGAATATAATTAAAAAAAGATATATAAATTAGTACTTCATTGGCGCACCGTTCAACCAACTAGCCTATTTATTCCCCAAAGCATGCTACCATTCATACATACATACATACATACGTGTATGCGTGAGCATACTAGTAGCACTCCCTAATATCCATAATATTATTTAAATAATTGCCAAGGAATGTTTCATGTCTAGACACAGGCCATTGAAAGTGGCAAACAGGACCTGCCGTCCATTTTGTGACAGTAAAAGCCCGTCATTCAAGCGAGCGACTCCTTCAAGTTGAGGCGAAATGAAAATTCGTTTAAATAAACAAACATAGAATAAATAGAAACAAAAATATTTGTATAGTGAATTTTTAACATAATCCTTGCACATACATACATACTTATTTATGTATTTGCTTAAATTTACCTGAAAAGTGCAGCTGAAAAGTGCGAAAATGTTAACGAAAGATAGCGATTACAGTCGTACATCGACTTTAGCCGCCGATTCTTGCGCTTTCGAAATTGAAACCGATCTTTGTACCAAAGCTGATATCAGAACCGTGGAGAATGCTGCTGCTTTGCGTAAGACAGCCTGTTTGCAAGCAAGTTTAAGCTTCGACGCACTCTATAACAATTTGGCGCTGATCGATGCGGATAGTGTGGAGAGTAAGAGTGAGCAACTGGAAAAATGTGATGTGCAGCGGGAAAAACAATTGAATGAAGCTGTTCAAAAGCCACCTGCGTTGGTGCGGAAGCGAACTTTTGATGGGCAGTTGATTTACAAAGTAGGCACAAGAGCTGATTTAGAGGTTTCGAAAAACATTTACACCATCATAACGGTCATACAAACGGTTTGCTTTTCCTGGCGCTTTCGTCTACGTTGTCCTCTTCTTCTGATAAATAAATCATTTTTATTTGTATGGTTTTTAAATTGGTTTGTCCAAATGATTTGGATCGCCATTCCGCGAATGTGTAGTCACTAGAATATCTCATAGTTATGTATGAAGACAGCGTGGCCATTAGAGGCGACTAAAATCCAATAGTACCGTAACAGTTGGACAGGAACCGCAGCGTCCCCGATTTTTTCCGTTCAAGGACTGTCACTCCCTTACCTATTTATGCATTTAAAGTGAATGTGAGAGTAAACTCTTCAATCAGGCTCTTCAGTTCAGTTCAGTTGTACAATGATCCGTAGACCCAAGTGTTTCAACTCAGCTCGCCGCAAAGCCAACAAATATCACTTTTTAAGTGATTATACGCCACACATATATTATAAAGGCTCGATTTATATTTATAAAGTTGCACTGAAAAATCTACTCATTTTTTGTCCCATGCGAATTATTTCTTTCGTCTTTTAGCTGTAAAATTTTATTACAGTAATTATAATTTATAAGTAATCGAAAAATAATTTGCAAGAATTTATTATTTTACTCATTAATAATTTCCTTAGCTTGGTGAAAGAGGCAGTGGTACGCGCGTACAGGCGGACATTCAAGATTTTGACGCCATTCGGAGTATGTGCCTTGCCAATGGCTCCTTATTTGAAGATCCACTGTTTCCGGCCAACAACGAATCTCTTTTGTTTTCGCAACGGCCCGACCGACATATCGAGTGGATGAGGCCACATGTGAGTAGAATTAATTATAAAAATAATAATTATTTCCAGCTTCATACAGTGTGACGTAAACTCATACAATTTTTTTTTTTAGGAGATCACCGATGATCCGCAATTCTTTGTCGAAGGCTATTCCCGTTTCGATGTGCAACAGGGTGAATTGGGCGATTGCTGGCTGCTTGCAGCCACCGCCAACTTAACTCAGGATCCAAATCTCTTCTTTCGTGTTGTGCCACCAGATCAAAACTTCGAAGAAAACTATGCGGGCATCTTCCATTTTTGCTTCTGGCAATATGGCAAATGGATCGATGTGGTCGTGGACGATCGTTTGCCAACCTATCGGGGTGAACTAATGTACATGCATTCCACTGAGAAAAATGAATTCTGGAGTGCACTCTTGGAGAAGGCCTATGCCAAGTGATTATTTATAAAATATATTAAAAAACAATTTTTAAAAATTTCCTACCTACCCACACAGATTACATGGCTCATATGAGGCCTTGAAGGGCGGCACCACTTGTGAGGGCATGGAAGACTTTACGGGTGGTGTAACGGAATGGTATGATTTGAAGGAAGCACCACAAAATCTATTCAATATTCTCCATAAAGCAGTTGATCGCAACTCTTTAATGGGTTGCTCACTGGAGCCAGATCCAAATGTTTTGGAAGCAGAGACACGTGAAGGTCTCATACGCGGTCATGCCTACTCTATAACCAAAGTGTGCTTACTCGATATCGCTGTGCCAAATCGTCAGGGTAAAATACCAATGATACGTATGCGTAATCCTTGGGGTAATGAGGCCGAATGGAATGGTCCGTGGAGTGATAGTTCACCTGAATGGCGTTATATACCGGAAGATCAAAAGCAGGAAATCGGTTTGACATTTGATCGTGATGGTGAATTTTGGATGTCATTTCAAGATTTTCTCAATCATTTCGATCGAGTGGAGATATGTAATTTATCACCCGATTCCCTAACCGAGGAACAACAGAATAGCGGTAAGCGTCGTTGGGAAATGTCAATGTTTGAGGGTGAATGGACGCAAGGTATGACGGCGGGTGGTTGTCGTAACTTCTTAGACACCTTCTGGCATAATCCACAATATGTTATAACACTGATGGATCCCGATGAGGATGATGATGATGGCAAATGTACCGTTATTGTGGCGTTGATGCAAAAAAATCGTCGTTCGAAACGTAATATGGGTATGGAATGCTTAACCATCGGTTTTGCCATCTATCATCTAACTGATGAGGATATGCAAACTAAGCCACAAGGTTTAAGTTTCTTTAAATATCGTGCATCGGTGGGACGTTCACCACATTTCATTAATACACGTGAGGTGAGTACAATTTTACTATATGTATCTGTACATGTGAAACAAACGATATTAACTCATAAGAATATACCCCCCGTGGGAGTAAAGTGATCCAGAATTTATAAAAAAAAAATCAGTCGGGTCTTTATACCGGAAGGAATATTTTTTCGTTTACTACGAGTAGAAAAACTCACAAAAACATAATATTGGTGGAAAGCGTTTAAAAACATAATATTCATGCAAAATCCGTTTGTTTTTGAAAAGTGTAGTGAAAAATGATTTTTACTTATGTAAAAAAATACTTAATACAGTTTTGAGAAAAAGAATTGAGTTAATGTAATTTGTTTCTCAAGTACAGTTATATGCTAAAATATTGGCTAGCAGTATTTTAACAAAACAGCGAAATTATTCTTTGTTTTTTATTAAAATTTATTTCCCCCCCTTTTTTATTTAGGTGTGCGCACGCTTTAAACTCCCCCCAGGTCATTATTTAATTGTGCCCTCAACATTTGACCCGAATGAGGAAGGTGAATTCGTTATTCGTGTTTTCTCGGAAACTCAGAATAACATGGAGTATGTATATATTAATTTTTTTTTTCATAAATACGGCACAGAGCATTCTCGTAAGTACGGTGAAACCCATTTTTTGCTAAAGAAGGCATTTTTTCATAACCAAGTTTAAAGTTTATTTGCAATTATAACGTCGCGGGTGAATAGATTTCAAATCGTTTCATATATATCTGCTCTTTTAATGGCAATTTTTTATTTTTATTGAACTTTTTCTTTTAATTTTTTTTTCTTGAATATTTTTCGCATTTTTTTCAATTCATTTTAAATTTTTTTTGCACTTTTTTTTTTTTGAATTTAGCTTAACGTATACACATTTTGCTATAAATATTATAATTTTAACAAATTTTAATTGATATATGCCATAAAGTTCCGCTACCATCTAAAAGTAATGGAGTTTCACTGTACTCAATTTCCTTAGTCCATATGGATGTATGTTTAGTATGTACAACAAAAATTCCACATTTCATTCATTTTTAATTCCCTTGTGAGCTTCACTTTTGGTCTACACTATTTTACCAAACTTATTTCTTCTCTTCCCCTTTTGATCCTTCCAATACTACTAATTCACCAGAGAGAATGACGACCATGTTGGATATGGTAGCCCGACGGATGATAAGGTTAGTATATCAATTACTATTCAACATTATTTATTAGTGTTTAATGCAAGTGTTAATGCTTTTGCTGAGGGTTCGGTTTTAATGTGTGCATCGAAGGTTTCATTACATTTTTGAAGGTATAATTTTTATTAAGGTTTCGCTTTACATATTGCTTATGGTTCTAAAAAGGGGGTGTTTTAACTACTATTTCGCTTGAGCGGCTTATTTCATTTATGCACATATATGGTCATAATACAAATAATCATTAACTTCCACTTAAGAACATAGAAAGCCTTTGTTCAAATGCCCACAAATAAGTCTTCAATAAAAACTCATTTGTTATATAAATTATAGTCCCTAACATACATACATATACTCCTACATACACTCAAACTCGAATTAATTCATTTTAAGTAAATAATGATCACAATTTGTTGGGTTATTAATTTTAATGAATAAGTGCAAATCTTAACCGTTCATGGAAAAAATCAACTACAAGATTACCTGAGTTTAGTTGGTGTAATATTTTATACAAATGTAAACGATGTCTTAAAGTTCAGATGATGCAAAGGTAAATTATAAATTTATAGTTTTATACATATCTATATTTGACCTATGAAGCTCGCAAACACCGCTATATAGAAGTAAAAAAATGATAGAACTCAGTCTGTAATTGGATCTCTTTTGTAGGCATATCCGAAAACTTTTGGCTGTTTTCATAATTTTATTTAGTGATTTCTTAAATACTCTTAGTGCATTCAAAACCTTTCCAATCGTAATGAACAGTTATATTTATTTAAATTAACGTATTATTAGCAATAATATTGTTAGATGTTATTGAATTTTACATTAGATGTGTTTAGGTTGTTAATTAAAGTAGTCGAATGATTAAACAATTGGACGACATACTACTAATTATGCGAAGTCCAATCGTGTTGGCTGAATTTATTGGCACTTTGATATTTATATTTTTTCTAGGTTAGGTTGTTTAAACAAGTTGTTGAAAGTAAAAAAAAAAAAACTTAATTTTTTTAATTCGATTTCTGTTAAATTAAATTTATTTTTTTCACTTTATTTTATTTATTTATTCTTATTTCATATTATTCATTTCTTATTTTTCTTTAATTTTTATTTATTTTATTTGCATTAACTTTATTTTTTTCACTTTATTTTTTTTATTTTGTTTCATTTATATTTTATTTAAACTTATTTCATATTATTCATTTCTTATTCTTCTTTAATTTTTATTTATTTTATTTGTATTTATTTGAATTTTATTTTAACTATTTTAATTTATTTTAACTCTGTTATTATTATTTTAATTAATTTAATTTTTTTTTCTTTTTTATACTTCTTTTGATTTTTTATTTTTTTTTTATTTTATTTGTTTGTTTAATTTAGCTTTATTTTATTATAACACATTTTAAGTTATTTCATTTATAATATTAATTTGTTTTATAATAATTGTATTTTAATTTATATTACTTAATATATTTAAGTTTATTTGAATTTATTTTAATTAAAATTTAAAAATTACACATTTTGAACTTAATTTAATTTTAATACCATTCCTTTTTTATCTTATATATTTTTTACTTTATTTTATTTCGTTTTATTTTGCTTAATTTATTATTTTGATTTATATTCTTATTCAATCTACACTAATTTAAGCTGAACTTTTATTAGACTAATTTTTTGCCTTTTTTATATTTATTTACTTGTTATAGAATTTAATTCAAGTTACTAGTTTTATTTAATATTTTTTAATTTCATTTAATTTTTCTATTCTTCATATTTAGTAATTTCTTTTATTTAACTTTCAGTTTTTTCCATATTATTGATTTTTGTGTGATATTTGTTTCCATTTTATTTTATTTTATTAGTTTACTTTAGTTTATTTAATATTATTTTATTTAAAATATTTTTACTTTGTTTACTATTTTTTTATTCAATTGAATTTAAATTTTTTTCTTTAATGTAATTTAATTAATATTTTTTAAATTTAATTTAATTTTGTTTGAATTATTTGAACACTGTAAATAGATTTACGATTTACAATCCTTCGAAAAAAGCTATTATTTTACAAAAGAAATGAAATGACAATCAATTAATCAGCAATAAATAAAGAAAACAGTAGCTACTGAAGTTTAAATAGATGTTTCAATGATGAGCACATTCTTTTCCGATGTAATTTCATTATAAAAAAATATATATGTATGTATAAAAAAAAATATTGAAATTTGTACTGGATAAGATTTTTTAAACAAAAGAAATTAAAGTACCTAACCTAAAAAAAAATTGGCCTCACTAAATTCAGCTACTCAAATGAACTTTGCATGATGCCTGCTCAGTCTCTAAAGACAAATAGAAATAAGAGAAAAATATGAGATATTTTTTTATAAGCATTTTTTGTATTTTATTAAAATTCTGCCGTCCATCATAGGTGTTACCAAATTTGCCAAACCCAATGGATCCCAAACCGAAGGATGCACATAATGAAAGTCTTTTAAAACTTTTCAAAAGTATTGCTGGTCCCGATATGGAAGTGGATTGGATGGAATTGAAACGAATATTGGATCATTCAATGAAAGATGGTGAGTAAGGGTTATAATTTTGAAATCTCTAGTCCTCTATGCGGCTTTCAATAACCAACGGTGGTGATCAACAAGCGAATGCCGTACATAATAAAAAAATTTGTTTTCTTTAAACAATTTTATTTTTCTATCCGCACTGTAGATTTACCAAAGACCACAAGTTATACGCCATTGAATTATAGTCAACAAAACGCCGATTATGGCGGCCCAGCACAGGGGAGCGAAGGCGGTGGCCTGAATATATTAGCGTTACTTTGTGGACCATTTTGTAAAGGCACGCCATTTGAGAGCATATTCTCTGAAAGTAATGAACAGAGTCCCGGAAATGCCAATCAAACAAAAGCGGGCGGCTATATTGGTTTGCCACCAGGTGAGGGAACATTTTAAATTTTCATTTCTTCTTCCTTTTAACTGTTTTTATTATCATTTCAGTGATTGTGGAAGAGAATAATGGCTTCTCGAAAGATGTCTGCCGCTCTATGGTCGCCATGATGGATGTCGATCAATCGGGCAAATTGGGTTTTGAGGAATTCGAAGCACTGCTAAATGATATTGCCAAGTGGAAAGCGGTCTTCAAGCTATACGATCCGGAACAAACTGGTCGCATTGATGGTTTCAAATTGCGTGATGCACTCAATTCAGCCGGTTATCATTTGAATAATCGTATATTGAATGCATTGGCGCATCGTTATGGTTCGCGTGATGGCAAAATTTCATTTGATGATTTTCTTATGTGTGCAGTGAAAATTCGAACTTACATTGGTATGTCTAAAAATATTTATTGTATTTGCGAAATATTTAATATGTGTACATATGTATATATTAAATATTATTAATTTATTATTGGTACAGACATATTCAAGCAACGAGACACCGAAAACAAGGATGTGGCTACATTCAGCATGGACGAGTGGATTGAAAAAACTATATATTCTTAAAATATTCATAAATCATCATTATTTATAATTAATTGTTATTGATACAGAAGCGCTGATGAGATTCATTTCTCGAATTCAAGCACATACGATCAAAATGTATACCATAAAGAATCGTAATACCACAAACTTTTTTCAAAACTCTCCAAATAATTTCGTGCTTAAAAACAAATTAAAATAAATAAAATAAAAAGAATTGTAATAATATTAAATAAAAAGAAATATAATAATATAAAATGAAATGAAAGGAAATAAAATAAAATAACTTTAATTAAATTAAATAAATAATATTAACTTAAATTAAAAAAAAATAAATTAATAATAAAACAATAAATAAAATAGAGCTAATTTAAATTAAATAAAAAAATAACATATTGAAATAAAATGAAAGGAAGTAAAATAAAATAATTTAAACAAAATAAAATAAATTTAAAAGAAAAATAATAATAAAAAAAAACAATAAAATGAAAAAAATAATAATTTAAATAACTTTAAATAAATAAAAGAATCTCATTTGTCGAATATTTCCCATGCTCACTGTATGCAAACACACTACTATTTATCCATGCTAATGCTTCTAAAATTTTACAACTACCCGTAATTTCGTAGCTTCCAACTTTTCTTAAGCACATAATAACAAAGAATTTGTCTTTTTTCTCTTGAATAAAAAAAAACTGACGAAAAACTTAAATAACTCAACCAGAAAAATCATTGAATCGGTTTGCTATAATTTGAGCCACCTGCATTTACCTGAGTTGCGAAGGGTACTTCAGTACTAAATGAAATATTAACTAAAATGCAAATTTCAACACATTTAACTGCACAATCAATTTTTTAATATAACTAAAAATAATTTAATTATAATAATTTATTGTACATACCTACATACGTATATTATATTACACAATCCTTTATATTACCCGCACTTTCTTTACAAGTATACAAAAGTTTCTTAAAATATTATTAGAAAATATGAATATGTATTTATACTCATTTCAATTACCTTAAAAATTATCTTTTTTACAATAACTGTAAAACGGAAATTACCTCAACAGCTTATAAGCAAATGTTATTTACTAAAGACAGTAGAAAAAGAGTTGTAGTTAATTGTTTTTTTATGAAGACAGTTTTCACATAAGCATAATGTAAACATGTTTGTTTGTGTTTTTTTTTTAGATAAATTTTTTATCTTAAAATTAACGAGAAAGTTAAGCAATTAGAACAAAATCAAATGCTGTATTTTTGTATTGCAATATTTTTGCCTTAAAAATATATCTACATATATATATTGTGAAATATTTTGCAACATAATAAATAAACTCAATAATTGAAAATAATGTTTTCAAATAAGAAAATCTTTATATTTAAACGGAAAAAATTGAATGGCGAAACAAAATCGTAAAAATGTAGAAATTAAAATATTTTTAATTCGGAAAACCAAAACGAGAAATAATTTTGCTACAACTATAAACAGCGTAAATTGTCTACAGACAAATTTCATAACCTCAAAATAAAAATTCCTAACCTCAAAAATAAATAATAGTAGAATACTCAACCTTGCTGTCCTCTCACCATTATAATAGGAAAAATATTTATATATATGCTGAGGTGGAGTTTGCCAAAATAAATCCAGATCTGGGTTGTGCAAGTATTACTCGACTTTCCCTAGGCAGCTAGAGCTATTCGTCTGCAAAAGGTAGGGTGCTGAGTTTTCCGACTGCCGGAGAGACCTTCTTTGCACACCTACAATTTAATCAAATGGACATTTCATGTGCATGACTTCCATTGTTGTTGTTGTTGTTGCTTAGGCACAGGTTTGATCAGTCTAAGTCGCCGAGGTCATCTAGTGGTAGGTCAGGAAACGAGCTGTTTCGACGGGATTGGGCCAAAGGGAGAGGTTTGGTTTGAGAGGGCATGTGAAGAGGTGGTTAGTGTTGTGCGGAGACTCTCCACATGCAGCGCATACGTTGGGTATGCTGGGGTCTAGTCTGGATAAGTAGAAGTTTAGCCTGCTACAATATCCAGACCTAAGTTGTGTCAGGGTTATGACTTCCATTCGTGATCCTTAATAGTGGTGTTTCTTTTCCGAGGAATACTTTTTATTTTTCAAACTTACTTACCAATACTTGTATAAAAAAATAACATATTTTGTTCTTGCACTACAATACAGGTTAAAACTTTATTCAGATCAAGATACTGTTAAGCATGATTTCAACCATTTTTTTTTACGTTTACATACTTTTTGTTTAATTATTTATATTTATGTTTAATGAAATACCGTTCTAAATTTAAAAATCGCGTCAAAATTATCATACACACACGTACGTAGCTAGCGCTCTCACATAATCAGAATTATTTTCATTTTGTATTAATTTAATTTAAATAAATTTCGGGTTACCATCAGGCGTGCCCTGGGATACACCACCAGAGTTTTGACGAGACCAGCCCTGGCTGTTCGAGTTAGCACTGCCATTCTAAAATGAGAAAGAGAAATTTTTGAAATGAGTTAAAACTGCGCATAAAATGTGGTTTTGGGACCTGTTGAGAGTCACTACAGGATCCCGGGCCCATGCCTGGATTTCCATTAGAGCTAGAATTATTTGAGTTGTTGCTTTTGCCGCCGGCATTTAAGTTGCCACCATTTCCAGAGCTACTAGCTTGGGCCATCCAAGATAAAAAATTTCCGCCCTGATTTGATACCTTATATTTATTTCATTTTTGGTTCTTTCACAACTAAAATATCTCAATTTTTACCTGTTGATCTTGCGATTGATTCTGCAATTGATTGCCAAGTAAACTCCATTGGTTTAAAGCAGCCGCCACAATAGCAGGATTCATTGGTAATGAGTTCAAATTCAAACCCACACCTAATGGATTGCTCATATTTTGACCTTGATTTGGTGGGTTCGGGCCTTGAGGATTTATACCCAACGCTTGTAAATTGGGCATATCTAGATGGCCACGATTTGTTTGATTATTCCAACCCATATTACCACTGCTACTATGCTGAGGACCCATTGAACCTCTATTCATATAATTACCTCCATTACCACGATTGTATGGAGTGATAGATCCATCTTGTCGGCTGCCCGAATTGCCCATCAACCCGCTATTGCTGCCACTCAAACTGCCACCACTACCACCACTACTACTAAAGCCATTATTATTGCCACCATAGCCATTACCGTTCATACCGTAAGAACCATTGTTGGAGCAGCCAGACATGGGGCCATCGCCTAACATGTTATTGCTGTTGTTTGAACGTTGATGGCCATTACGACCAGAACCACCATTGTTGCTGCCGCCACTACCGCTACTGCCACCGGTGTGGAGACCTTGGTGATGGTGTAGCATATGTAAGCCGCTGCCAATGCTATTTTGAGAATTATAGGAGTAATTTTGTTGGTTATGACCAGAGTTACGGTTTTGTTCAGATTTTGGCGCTGCGTTGGATACATGAACAGACACACCTATGGAGGAATATAAATATACCATTTTTTTTATTAAATGTATTTAACTTTTATTCCATAATATCTATACCCTTGATTATGTGATCTTCTCCACATAGAGACTGTGCCACTTCCGGATCCAAGAAGGTTACAAAACTGAATGCACGAAACGGTTTCGGTATGAAAACATCTGTTACTTCTCCAAACTTTGAGAAGTAGTCTCGCAAATCATCGGCGGTAAGATCTTCAGTGCATCTCCCAACAAACACTTTGCATGGCACTTGGTGCATCATACCCTGTTGAATATAATGGCAAAGAAATTTTAAACTATTTCTCTTTTTCGAGAAATGGAACTCACTTTAGAATTCGGTACTTTAACTTCACACCAACGTCCATCAATTAAATGCCTGGAAGAGAGTACACGCATTTGTGCTTCATACGAACCAAATCGCACGAAGCCAAAACCCTTCGATTGACCAGATTTCATATCCTTTTTCACTTGTGCCATTAGCACTTCGCCATAGCTTTCAAAATATTCGCGTAAGCTATCCTCTGTTGTCTTCCACGGCAAGCCCAATACGATTAAATCTGTGCAACGTAAGCGCGTTTCAATACGCTTGGTTTTGGCCGTGGAATTTTCCAAATTGTCATCGCTCTTTCGCTTGTTTTCTGTAATGAAATAACGCATTATACTTATAATCAAATAAAACGAATTTAATGGAAATACCCAACTTACCTTTTGGGAATACACAAAAGAATACACTAGAGCCCCAACCATCTTCTGAAGATGGGGGATACAAACGCCCTTCATTAGACCGTACACCACGCACTGCCTTAGTATCTTCATTGCGATACTTTAGACCACATGAGCCGGGAAATTGCGCTTGCAAAGTGGATAGTAAAAGGGTGCCATCCTCCTCTGCTGGAAGCTCTATTGGTTCTTCACCTTCCTCTTCTGCTACTTGTACAAAATCCATGACTTATTCTGTATAGGAAAATAAATTGAAATTAATTAACATTCTTAACGCCTAGGCCAGCCCTATAAGGAAAAGTGATTTTTTTCAAACTAAATTGTACAGTTTGTGAAATTAAACATACAATTCAAATTATTTACTGTTTGATTCATTCAAACTTTTAAACTTTTTTTATTTAACATAAAAGTAAACCAATTTCATACCATTGCACCCTTTGAGTGGATTGTACACTATTTTCAAAGAACTTAATTAATATACTCTGTTGGACTGATAATGTTACTACTTATAAATAATAAAATTTAATTTTCGTTAAATATAGAACGAATAATTATGTGCATACATTTTTCAACATATATACATACATACGCTTAGTGTATGTATAGTATGCATTTATAATAAAATAAGGAAATTGCACATTTACGGAATTAATTTTCTCAAGAAGACGACAGAAATCGTATAAAAATATAAGTTGAAATTCAAATTTCTAGCATATTTTTTCGGTATTGCATTATTTGCTTACATAAATTAAAATATTGACAAATCAATAAATAGCAGTTCATATGAAAAATCTTTACATCTTGATTATATTGTCGGCTAGAAATGAACCAAAATTAGGCTTATTTCAGAAGAGAAAAAAGTATAATTCACTATATATGCATATATCTATATATAAGTATGTAATATATATACGCTATTTAAATAAATTTAACACCACTCAACCCAGTAGAATCAATCTTGAACGTTGTATGTATGCATATATAAAATATTTTTTCATTTGCTATACACACAAAACACACAATCATATTTTGTCACCTTCTCTCTTTACGCTTTCGCACGCTGCTTGTTCGTTCGCTCGCTCGCTCGCTCTCAAAATTCACACCTAAATTTTTTTATTTTATCTTTTTTTTTGTTTGAAATAAGCAACTTTTAACTTATATTGAAAGTTACAAAAATGTGTGTGCAGTTTTAATTAGTATTTATATATATAGTTTCTTTGCAATGTACATCTAGAACTACGCCAGTGTTCCACTTTTCTTATCCTTTCAAAACGCTCTTTACACGCTATGCACACGTTTCACTCGACACCACCGTTCGTTCATATAGCTTCCATTCACGTTGACACAATTCACAAAATGAGCAATAATAAAAATATATATTTACAATTTCCCAAAACGTGAACGCAAAGCACTCATTATCCACTTTATTTACTATCACCTAAGCTTAAAATAAATTTTTCTTATTATCTTGTGACCGCCCTCCGAGAATAACCGGTGTTAATCTGATGCTTGAAACACTTGAAAGAACCCTGCCTATTGAATAATTCATCATCGTGTTGCCATATCATAAAAACAAGGTGAGAATATTTTCGTAGCTAACACTCATTTAAATGTTTCGCGACTCAAAATTATTGACGTAACAGATTTTTTAACGTTAATTTATTTTCCGTTTCAAAAGAGTTTGTCTACCATAATAATCCATTTAGCCAACGACATACCTTATCATTGCAGCATTTATTTAAATAGCTTGATGCTGAATGTTATCCCAGATGATGCCACTATTATTTACTTCTCCGGAAATTCTTTGGAAATCGTTTCTATACCATTGCTTTCCCAGGAGAGAGATACGAACTCCCTTCTTTCTTCTTCTAAATTAGCGAAGACACCCCTTTTGCTCCATGACATACTTACTTACTTATTTGCTAATTAATAAAACTTTTGAAGTGAACTACTGCACCACCAAAAGCTAAAAACGGAAATTGTACTATTTTTAAACAAAATTTAACTGTACTTCGGTTGGATTAGGTTGAGGTGGCTACCGAACTATTGTTTCGATTACACCCATAGCTGAATAAGACCCATCGCGATGTCCAAAAGCTTTACCATAATGCTTAGATATCTACTCATTTCGATTTTGCAGTGAACCTCATTAGATCCATGACTTTAGCGTCGTTTACCTTTGCTAGAACATCCAGCAGTAGGGTTCTGAATTTCCAAATTCTAGCATAGCCTAAAATATAGAAATCGCATATAAGATGAGCTTCTGCAACATGATTCTATAGGGAATCTAGAGTCTTTCTGAACAACGTTATATCAGACAGTGGCCTGCCAGGAATTTCCATTATTTTGAACACGCCCCTCTTTTTAAGGAGTACACACATATCTCGTGATCAATTGATTTAAACAAGGAAGAGAATCTCTTGAGTACGTCTCGAGGCTGGGCATCCAGGTGGTCACGCCAGAGCTTATCAAAAAAGTTGGAAAAAATTCCTTTCGACATTTTCAATGAATGGCAGAATGGTGTATTTCGTGGAACTGCTGCTGCAGACTAAGTTCGGGGTGTTGCTTTGGCACAGCACCTCTCAAGAAGTTTAAGGTATCACAGTTAGCTGGGAAATTAATGACAATGATTCTCTGGGACTGGGAATGAATATTACTTATCGACTATAAAGGTAAAAGTGTTTCTATAATTGAAGAAAATTACCCTTCAATATTAGAGTAACTAAAAGAAGATATTAAAGGGAAAACACGTGAGAAAATGAAAGAAAGTTGTACTGCTTTTTTACAACAACATACTCGCTTACAAGTATCGTTGCATTGCGTTGGCTGCCTTGCAAAAGGTTGGCTTCAGTATTTTGAACCGCAGACCCTACAGCTCACACTAGACAGTGTGATTATTATCTGTTTCCAAAAATAAAAATACTAACATCCGGGGAGTAAAGAATTTATCATCGCTGATAAAGTCAATGTGGCAATTTCGACGTTCTATATTTTAAAGATAAAATAAAAGAAAAAATATTAGAGACTTTGGTTCATACATTTGTCAAAACGCATCTAGCTTGTGAAAGTTGGTATTTGATACATTGGTGATGAAAATTATCGAAATCGGAATGCTAGTATAACAAACTATATAGCTCATAGCTCCCAAACAAGCGAGCTGTTCAGATATGAGAATTAATATTTGTTCATAAAATAAAATACGATAAATTTGATATGGTCATGAATGGTTTTTTATTTTTATTTTTTTTATAACAAATATCCCACCAGAGTACAGTTCACCCGAAAATAATGCGACAACAAAGTGTTTTTCAATTTTATTTATTTTTATTGTACTTCCGTATGAATATGGAATACAAGATTATAAAGTGATAGGCTAAATGATTACTTTTTCCTCAAATTCAAAGTGCTTGATCTTTTTTTAAATTTATTTTGGAAGTGTAAATGGTAGTTTCTCTAATTCATATTCTCTTTACTTTTCTTTTCTTTTCTTTTTATACTTAATGCAACGATAAAACGTTTTTTTTTTCTTTGTCATTATTAGAAATGTCTGTGGACGATAAATAATAATATAAGGCATAAAATAATGGGGAAATTTCGACCATCTGACTTGAAGTCTTAGGCAAAATGGATGATCTATACTATGTACGTTGGCACTTTAGCTTATGTAATGTATTGTAGAATTTTTCTTTAATCATTTCAATTTTCATGCTGCCGTACAAGTTTATTAAAGCGGTAAAGGTGCATTAAATACAACAAAAAATAATTATAGTTTAACTAAATAAAAAAATATAATAAAATAAAATTTAAAATGGTTAATATAAATTGTCATAAAATACAAATATTTGCAAATTAACCGATTGCGCGCAGGTAGTTAAGAATTGTAAAATAAAACTATGATAAATTTAAACAACACATAACAAAATGAAGTCAACTACTTGTTGACCGTTATATATTTTACAAATAAATTGCTGTCAAACGTTTTGGTAATTTAATATGATTTTTTTTTATGTGATAGTGTTTTGTAAAGACTTTATTTCGTACATGATTTTGGGTCAATGTTTTCATGCAATACAATTTACTTTTACTTTAATGCTGAACCGTTAAAATATTTGATTTTCTCTTTCATAAGTATATTATTATACAATAAAAAGCTATGGCTTTACAACATGCGTAAAGAAATGATTGCCCTTTTATGTTTTCTTTTTTTTTTGTTTTGAACTTAAACTGAACTTTTAGCGTTTCTTGATGATAATCGTATAAAAGTTTACGCAAAACATATACATACATACATACAGGTAGAAGAAGAAGAAGGAAAAGGATAAGAAAGAAGGAATAACTTACGAAACAGAATGAACAAATAGTTGTAATTGCAACTTTAGCGTGAGGGGGTTTCGATGGGATATTTTTTGATTGTGTGGAAAACGAGTTATTATTTGAGCTGAACAACAACAACAACAGTAGTTGGAAACATAAAGTATCCCACACATACATATGTAGTTTACCGCCAAAAAAAAATTCATTAAAGGCCACACGCAACAATGTCAAAGATAAAACAATGCTGTTGCGTGGCTGCGTTTTCATACATAAATACATACATATATGCATAGATAATCAACGAGAACACACAACACAAAAAAACAGCGTTGCACTGTTGTATTTTGTTTGATTCTTTTTTTTTTTGTTTGCTTTAGTAAATATTTTAGTTTTCTTTTTCTCTCTCTTTTGAATATTTAACATAAAGTTTGCTTTAACATAGGCTACATGTGTGTGTGTGTGTGTGTGTGTTGTGTTGCAAGTGGTATAATGCTGTATTGTATATGTATGTGTTGTGTTCGAGTATGCATTTTAACAATTATTGAACATGAGAGGGTCATATACATACATACATATACATATATATATATAAAAACAAGGTTATTATTATAATTATTATTATTATTAATGGGGGTAGAGGGTCTATTATTGTTTTTGTTAATATAAATACAGCATCTTCTAAGAGATTTAAGATTTCTGTAGTACTATACTATTAAAGATGAAATTTTGAAGCATACATATGACATACAACGAACAATTTAAAGCGTTGTTGTACGTAGCAGCGAGCTGATCATGCTCTCATTATCCTCTTGAACGATTTCATCGTCATTTTGCAATGTTGTAGCGTTGTTAGCAGCTGTTGAAGTTGTTGTTGTTTCTCTAATTTCTGTAGTTGTCAATGTTATCTTTTGTTTGTCCATATCTAAGTCTGTTGAATCATTACTCTTCTGCATATCTTTATACTGCTCAGCGCTACTATTTTGTGCTCCTCCAGCACCAGTGGCATCAGTGGCACCAGCGCCTGCCTTTTTGTTTGAAAATAATTTTCGTGTGATTACACTATTAGTGCTTTTCAATTTTTCAACCACCATTGCTTTCTTAATCAAATTGTTGCTTTTGCTGTGCGTTTTCTCCTCCCTTCTTGTTGTAGCAGTCTGTTTTTGTTTTTCTAGCGGTTGTGTTGTTGCTTGTGCATTCACGTCATTATCTGATTTAAGCGAGATCGAATTATCCAAATTTTCTAACGAACATTTTGTTGCCATGGCCAAGCCAACAATATTCTCTGTCGTTATTGATTTCTTCTCTTTGCCCATTGTTTTTGTTGGTGTTGTCTTCTTGTTAGGTGTTGATCGCCTATTTGTATTCGTATTTTGTGTCTTGCCTAAAGTTTCTTCTAATGCCGAACAGCAGCATGGAGTTTGCGAAACGGTTGTTGGTGACGTTGGCTGTAACAATGATGATACCGTTACTTTGGCTTTCTGCTCATCTAACAAATTATTGTACTTCTTTTTGCGAAAAATATTATTTCCGCAATTTTTGCTACATTCGGGATGGTTTTTCTTTGAAAGTTTGGTAAACGTCTCGTTATTCATGATGTTCGGTGTGATGGATAGATTCAATGTTTTGATATTTGTTGTATGCGTGTGTTGTGGTGACATCGATGATGATTTTGATGTATTTTGCTGATGACGGCGCATTGTTGCTGTGGATGTTGTGCTGGTTGTCGTATTTGTTGTTGTTGTATCAGAACCAAAAGCAGCCGCGTCGGTATTGGTTTGGTGGAGTCACAGTTGTAAGTCAAACGCTATGCGCGATGCAATATTCTTAAATCCTATGCTGGTGCCTGTATTGTAAATAGATTTTAAATATCTATGTCAGTATGTACTATTATAAATAAAAGTGGTGTTAAAGCATTCCACCTGAAATCCTCTTGAAACGCACGCCATTAAGTGACAGACGTGGTAATTTGCAAACTTCAATTTCCCATTGCACCAACGAATCGGTATTCGGATCACCGTGTACACACCACAGCACGAATCTGTGGAGACAGAAGAAGAGAAATTAAAAAGACGAAAGTTTTAAAAGCAATTAAAACAAAAAAAAATGAGCTCTCCAATTGGCGTACAAACAGACAGATAGGCAGACAGACGTGGCTAAATCAACTCAAATCGGTCATTCTGATCCGATCGGTATAAATTTTGATGGAACTATCTCTTCTCCGTCTGGTGCTTGCACACTTCAAACCATGTACATGAAAGATATAAAATATGTATATACTACTGTGGCCAAGAAAGAAAGCGAATTTTTAAATAAAAAAAAACCTCATTAATTCCACCAAATCAATTTCATATTCTTCAAAGAAATTCCCTCTCGATGTTATACACTTATGCAAATGTTTCCTCAAATCCTCGGTGCATGCCAAAAAGTCACTTCAAGGTATGGCGGTGGCCGATACATGTTGAATCAAACAGTTCAATGGACTCGAAACGGTGCCCGTGGTCTTTTGAGTTTGGAGGAAATAAATCAAAATCAGGCGAATACGCTCGATATTAAATGGTGAAGTCAAGTTATTTTGGTGGAATGGTCACCGAGAATGGCAGGAGGATTTCAAGACGAACGGCCGTATGCTGATTACCGTCATCGTCAGTGAAAATGACGATACGGTGACATTGGTATGCCGTTCAACGCCTCGTCACACGTTTCCCTTATAAATGGTTTTCTGTCGTTTCTTATCGTCTCTTATCGGCAGTCATTTTACTGCCGATCCTTCAATTTAACAGACGATATAGAAATTAATGCGACTAAACATGAAAAAAAATTCAACTTGACTCTTGTTTCATCATTTTACATATTTTATTTTCAAATTTTAAGTGAACAGAAAATTGATGATCAAGAAGAAAGAGTCAAGAGCAACCGGCGGGAGGAAAAAGAGGAAATTTCCCTTCTGCAGGGTATTCGGGTTTTCTCAATATACGTCGCTTCGTCTACACTGCTTGTACAGAATACCTAAACAAAGACGAAGCGATGAAAGTAACGATGAGCATTCACGATCGTCAGCGAAAGCGTAGGCGATATTCAGCATAAGGCCGCAAATGAAACGCATATATTTCAATATTGGGGCCGTATTATAGAGATAAGGTTTGCCATTATGCTTTGGACTATTGAAAGCCGCGGTTGGCTCGAATAAATTCCAGCCGAGAGGCCTAATTTTCGGCATACCTTCAGCGAAATCTTTTATAAAGTGGATGGGTACAGCTCTCATTCTTACAGGTGATGGCGAATAGACTCATTCGGGTCTTTTTCGATAATCTGCGTTTTCGGTGCGCACCGTCGAATCAAAAAAAAAAAAAACATTGTAATTTCAAATTGCCCGTATTTTTCTGCTCACAGTAATATATCATACCAATATTATTTTCCACGTCCTTATCACTTACCTTTCCCGCTGCTCGTAGTCACAGTTGTTCTGATCGAGCACTTCGCGTATTTTCTGCATGATTTGATCGGGCATTAGTGGCGAAGTGGTCTTCATGGACCATGTGAAACGCAATACACGCGGCTTTGCGGATTCATCGGTTGTTGAAGTGCTGCAGGTTAGGTTGAATAAAAAAAGAGGAGAAAAACAAAATACTTTTGTGTATAACCAAGTAGAATAATTTAGTTTAATACCGTTTTACTATTGATATTAGATGGACTAGATTTAATTTATGAAATGCTGTTGTTGAGAGCTGTTTTTTGTATGGATTAAAAAAAATATTTAAATTAAAATAATATCGAGAGATGAAGACACACTCTTTTACAGATTAAACTGTGATAGAAACTAGTCTATCATTAAAAAAAATTTTTAGTTTTCGTAGTCGAATCGTAAAACATATTCACGCTTTATGCCTTCACAAAAAAGCTCACCTCATTGTAAAACATAAAATAAACTTTGTCTTCTTTATCGGAAAACAACACATAACTATTGTTGTTGTTATTATTGTAGCGATTTGCTTCACCTAGACTATGAGCAGGTAAGTAAATCTATACCAACGAGTTCGTCCAACGATTGGTACGGGAAAAGAACTGTCTCGACGAGGTCGGAACAAACGCTGAGGGGTGTTAGATGGATAGGTTTTAGTGAGCATGCAAAGAGGTTGTTAGTGTCGTGCAGGCACTCATAGCATGCAGGTCATACGTTAAGTATGTAGGGGTGAGGTCTCTGGATGGGTAAGATTGGAATCTATTACAATATCCATATCTTAATTGCGACCGGAATAATAGTCTGGCGAGGCAGCTCGAGCTTCTTGTCTGCAATGGATGGTGGTTGGATTACGATGTTCATGGAAAGAGAGTTTGTGAAGATGTTGACGGACTCTCCATGAATGGTGTCCTGTACAGTGGTTCTGTTCTTTGATGCTGAAGGAGATTCGCTTTTCCTGATGTGCCTAGGTGGTGGTTGGGCAACCACTATACAGCAAAACATTATGCTCCTTAGCTGGGTGCATGTATTACCCGTTACAGTACTCAGGGTTACAGACTTGTAGATTCTTTCATTGCGTCTATGTATTGGATGAGTGCATAAGTTCGTGCCCGATTCCGCTGGATGCCGTTCGAATCGTTTGAGAGTGGCGCTCGTGAAAGAAATATATACATATTATATATCGTTGGAAAGGTAACAGTCCGTAACTGTAAATCAAGCATAAAATAACTTCATTTTGATTTGAGTTGCTTAGTGAAAAGACGCATGGAAGATGGACAACGAAAAAGATCATATGCGTCATATTATGTTATACGAATTCCGCAAAGGAAAAACAGTAGGCGCTGCAACTAAAGATATTCGCGAAGTTTATTTGGACCGTGCTCCAGCACTCCGCACAGTAAAGAAATGGTTCGCGAAATTTCGTTCTGGAGATTTTAACCTCGAAGATCAACCTCGCAGTGGACGGCCTTCTGAGCTTGATGACGATGTTCTAAGGACTTTAGTTGCGAATAACTCACGTATTTCGACGGAAGAGGTTGCCAGTGAATTGAACGTCAACAAATCAACTGCGTTTCGTCGTTTAAAAAAGGTTGGGTACACTTTGAAGCTCGATACATGGGTGCCACATCAGTTGAGTGAAAAAAACAAAGTGGACCGTATGTCAACAGCAATTTCTTTGCTTCGACGGATCAAAAACGAACCTTTTTTGGATCGGCTCGTGACTGGTGATGAAAAATGGATCCTGTACAACAATGTTCAACGCAAAAGAACATGGAAACAGGCACACGAAGGGGCGGAACCGATGTCGAAAGGTGGATTGCATCCGATGAAGGTACTGCTGTGCATTTGGTGGGATATCCGAGGCGTGATCTATTTTGAGCTCTTGCCAGCTGGAGAAACGATCACTGCCAACAAGTATTGTCAGCAATTGGTCGAATTGAAGAAAGCAATTGATGAAAAACGTCCGATTTTGGCCAATCGCAAAGGAGTTCTTTTCCATCATGACAACGCCAGGCCACATGTTGCAAAACCGACCCTGGCCAAACTGAAGGAGATGAATTGGGAAATCAAGCCGCATCCCCCATATTCACCCGACATTGCACCTTTTGATTATCATTTGTTTCGATCGCTGCAGAACAATTTGAATGGAAAAAAATTTAAAAATGTGGAAGACGTCAAAAACCACCTTGACACCTTTTTCAACGAAAAACCGCGCGATTTCTATGAATCAGGCATCCGTAAATTGGTTGAACGTTGGGAATGCATTGCCGAACATAATGGCGATTACATAATTGATTAATAAAAGCGCTTTCTTAAAAAAAATTTCAATTTTAGTTTGCACTTGAAATAGGGCACGAACTTATGCACTCATCAATACTTTAGTGGCAATTGCATTCGTATGTGGAGAGGAGTGAATAATGTTGAAAATGATTAGACAGCAACTTGGGCTCATTATCTGTCGGAATTTTTATGTCAACGACTTTCACACCTAGTTCGATCCAGTACTCCTTCGTTCGGCTTGTAGAGAGGATTGCCGATGATTTCCTCCACTTTTGTCTGTGAAAAAGTCATCGAGATATCAGTTTATTTTCGAACAGAGATTATAAAAAGCGTGGGCAGACATCAATATCGAGTAGTCATCAACATATATGAGATCAGAAAAACGTCTTCGAAATATACAAATCAAACAGTAGCGAACAGAGGACACCACCTTGCGAAACGCGTCAAGTATAATAAATGTTATCCTAGGCGTAGTTGGTGTGTAGAAGACGAAAGCAGCAAGGTCTCAAGTATCTTCTCTACTGGTGAAAAGTGAGATGATTATCCTTTGTTGGCAGCTTTCTTGTTTCCACATATCGGGTATTGTTAGAGTGGTTATAGATAGTTTGAGGACTTTGTGACGCTGGTCCATACATTTTCGCATTAGAATCCTTACTTCGTCGTGGTCGATAGATTTGGAGACTTTTGTTTGTCCGACAAAACCCTAAGCTTCATGTAGCTGGATTTCATCAACCGCAGGTTGCAGGATGAAAAGAGCTAGCTATATACAGATTTAAGTATGGCAATAGAATTTTTTATTTTATATTAGCAATACAACCGAAAGGGCGACCGTATTAAGAAAAGGGTTTAACTTGGCTGCAGCGAATATTAAAACACATTATTAGCCACTTGGCTGCAGCGGCCCCTGATATCACTAATTTGTGCATTTAATCACATTTTTTTTAACTACAATTTAGAACAAAAAGTCATATTTATAAGGTTTCTTCTTTACTGCTTCTACTTTCTTCTCGTTTTCTTGGCAAATTTCAAATATAACTACATTTATACATATTTCTATATATGTATATACATTTTATAATTAATGATGTTCGAAATGCGTTAATTGAAGGGGGAATATGTTCTAGGTAAGTAAGTTAACTACTATATATGAATGATACCAAAGAAGCTATCTATATATGTATTTACAAGTAGCATGCTTTATTAATTGTATTATATAATACAGAGCAATGAACATTCTACATATACATAAATAGTACATAGGATAAAGATAAATACATAAAAATGAAAAAAAAAATTAAAATCAAATTTTGAACAAAATTTCAACTCGTTTCATGCCACGCTAGAAGAAGCAATGTGAACAGCACATTTTCATTTTTTTTTAAAGTAGTTTTAAAATACATGTTTATGTGGAAAAAATTATTATTATTTTTTTTTTTGAAATTTAGAAATAATATAGTCACACGTGTTTTTAACTTTTTTTTTATTATTAATATTATTACACAAACGGGATATATAATATATTTATATATATACATATATATATATACATATATATATATATATAGTATATATGCACTAATATACTTATAACTAGGTATTATATTACATATAATGAATCATCTTTACTATAATAATGTAGTGCTGCGCGTGTATGTGTATTTGCTTGGCTGAGTGTGTGTGTGTGTGTGTGTATAATTTGTTATAGTATAATAGTATAATACAAGTCCATCCATTACAAATATAGTTAAACTCGTCGTTACGTTGGTTTACTTAATTGTTTATTTGCATCTATTATTTTTTTGCTGTTGTGATTGCTGCTGTTGCTTATTTTTTTTATTATTTGTTTCTTAAACACATACACAAATACATACATATTTATTATTACAATATATTAACTACTTAATGTATTGACATACATATATATTTCATACATAACGTACGTTATACTGTTTAATTTATAGGATTTTTTTTTTTGCACAACATACAAACGAATTTTGTTTGTTTCACTCAACTGTTGTTGGTAACTTTCAGCGTAGTAAAGTGTAGTAAAGCACAAAATAAAAGAAAGTTATGGAAAATAATTAGAATCGAAGTTAAGAAGTTCAATATTGATTTTATGCACTCTGCTGATAATTAAGGCCTACTTTTCACTTGCCAAATGTGTGTGTGTGTGTGTGTGTGTGTGTGTGTGTTTGTGAGTGAGTGGTTGTTTCTTGTGTTGTTTTACTTTTAGTTTATTTTTTATATTTATGTATTCGCTTGCATATATGTATGTATGGAAATGTAAGTTAACAAAAATTATTATTTTTGTATAAATCGTTAGATAGACACATCCATTTCCGTTTCCATTTAATTTAGTACTTAACATTCATATGTCTTGAACGGCATTTTCCAATTGGATTATTTATATAATTACACTTAACTTCAATCTTCATGCTCTAAATAAATTTATTATATTGTATGTAGTACGTATGTATTTATTTAGCTTTTCTATTTTCAAGATCACGACGTTGGCTTATAGTTTTGCTTGCTAATACAGTGCACACAGAAAAAGGAAAAACTATAGAAATTAAATGGTCACAATTGCGTTTACTATTTTTAACTTAAAACAACAAAGAACTATTTATTAATTTAAAATGTATATAACTTTCAGCGCGATCTTATTGCTACAGAATGTGTTGTGATATAAAAAATATTCATATTTTTTAAGATTTTTGTTTTTTTTTTGGATTAAATAATATTGACGTTACTTAATTTTTAGCATTATTTTTTTTTTCTTTACTTATTTTATGTTTTAATAATTTTTTCTTGCTTATTTCTTTGTTTGATTAGTAATTACTTTAATTTTTTTTGTTTGCCTTGTTTTTGTGTTGATAAACACTTGCATTTTCGTTTACTTTACATTTAATATTAAAGTATACGTGTATAATAGTATGTATTTTCTCAAACGTAATATGTTGCGTTTTTTTACTGATTATTTCTCATTCTCATTTCAATCGTTGCCGCAGACTTGAAATGTTTGTTTGTTTTCTCTCCTTCATTCACTCAAGTAAATTTTTTCGTTTTAATTTCTACTAGCATTCGTTAAATCGTAACATTGTTTTTGTTATTTACTGGTTTGGCCTAAAATTAAAGAAAAAATAATAGTAAAAGAAATTATTCACTGTTAAAAAAATATTGTTTGGTAATATTTCAAGAAATACTAAAACATTAAATATCTCGATCAATCAATCAATCAATCCAATCAACTGAAGTGTACTACAAATGAACATAGAAAAGAAATAAATAACGAAAAGACAAAAACAACTAGATATTCTTCTTATGAAACCGAATAATACAAATATATATGTATATAGTATATAAGTAGCATGTGCGATAAAAAATGAATAAAAAAATAGAAGGAGAGAAGTATTTTTATTTTAATTTTTTTTTTTGCTTTTTTATTTGAAGATGCTTTTTTTTGTACTAAACAAACGTAATAAATATTATGTAGTAGAGAGGTTATTGCTGATTTTATATATATATACTATATATGCATATGTAAAGAAGTTGGAGGAAGAAAGCTGATTTTTGGTTTTAATTAAAAAAAAATTTCTCCTTATAGCGTGCTCACCAATTGTAATTAGTATTCTTTTAAGGATTTTTTTTTTAATTTTATTATCTTTTTGTTTTTAAACTTTGTTTAATTAAATTAATTTAAAATAATTTTATAATTTGAATTAAATTTTTTTCTTTCTATTTTTTTAAATTTGTTTCTTAATAATTTTCTCTTAAATAATTCTCAATAATTTTTTAATATATTTTAATTTTTAAAGCATTTAAATTACATTTTTCTAAGAAGTTTTAATCTTCTTAAACATTAAACAATTTTCTTTTAATTTAAAATATATCTTGTTTAATGATTTAAAAATTAAATTTGATTTTTTTTTTTAAATTTTTTTAAATTCAAAATACTTCTTTTACTTTGTTTGAATTAAAAACTCTTTTCTTTCAATTTATTTTTAATTTCAAAAAATTTTAATTTACTAATTACATTTTGCCTTGAAACTATTTTTAATACTAAAAATAAAAAGGAGTTTCTTTATCTTTTTTAATTAAAAAAACTATTTTTAAAATACTAATTAATTTATTGATTTAATTATATTTATCAAACTATTACGTTGTATATAGTATGTATGCATGTACATCACACTTTCAGCTGTTTCCAAAAAAAAAAAAAACATATATGTAATTTTTATAGTAACGCATGTGACCATTTACAAAAAATTTCTATAACTTTTCGACTTGACGTGTAAGTAAAAAAGGATGAGACAAATTTACACACTAAAAAGCTTCACACTCGTATATTGTTAAGTGTGTATGTATGTAATGGTATATAGAAGCATACTTTATTTACATTCTATATATGTACTATGTATGTATACAATGTAGTATGTACGCATGTATGTGTATGTATGTTTATAAATTAGTTAATTGAATGCGCTACAATAGCAATGGCATATTTACATATACAATCAAATGTACATACATATGCACATGTACCAACAAACGCAGTTACAATATTTTTTTTTGTATGTATGTAGGTTTTTTTTTTTTTGCAATACAAAAATGCAAAAGGTTTATCACTTGGCAAACGCAAGACACCGGCTTAATGTTGTTGTTGACACAACCGCGAGAAATAAGCTAGAACTGCATAAAGACTTTTTAACTATAATTTCATTATTATTATTTTTTTTTTCAAACATTCTTTTTAGTCGCCGCCTGGCTGCAGAGCATTTATATTTATAACAAAGAATAAAAATAAAAGAAAGAATACAATATTTTATAATTGATTTTCACTGTACAAAAGCGCTAAAAATTTGCATAAGAATATGTACGTGTGACAATATACATATATTAAAAAATAAAATAAAAAATTTTTCCCCGTTTAGTATGCAAACATGCCAATTAAAAGTATTTCAAATTTGAGTGCAATTTTTCAATAATTTTTATTATAATTACTATTTAATTGAATTCAACGCATGCATATACATACATACAAATATGTATGTACATTCCGTTTGGTTGTGGTTGTTGTTTTCTTTTAATATTCATATTAATTACAATAAAATACAAATGTATAAAAAAGTAGCATAAATGACGAGCTCTTAAAATTTCGTTAGTTTTACGGTGTTGTTGCTGTTTCAAACGAATTCATTTCATTATGTTGGCGAGTTGTGGCACTAGAGGTGCGGTGCGGCGTGAGGGGAGAAGGGAGAAAAAATTGGGTGTGGGTAAAAGGTAAGCAAAAAAAAGTGCATGACAAGAAATTTTCTACCAAAAAAAAAAAAAAAAAAAACATGAATGCGAAGCACCTACAGTGGAGGATTTTTTTTATTTTTCTTAACAAAATGTTGATAAATTTAACTACTTTGACAAAAACAAAAAAAATTTTTTTTTTAAAACACCTAAGAGTAGCGCTGACAAAAATCTATTGTGTATAGTTGTTGTGGTTGACAGTTCACAGGTACATAAGTGATCACGCGATAAAAAGTTGTTTCGAAACTAAGACTAAAAATATTATATTACAATACATGTGTGTATGTATATATTATGTAGTTTGTACATATGTCTATATCTATTCCGATATTTACATATAACCGTTAGTTGAATAAACCTATTATACTCCGTGTACACAGTACAGCAGGAGGCGTAATATTGCGTTTTTTTCTCTCTGAAAAAAAAAACTGTTTTGAGAGGAGAAAATACCCCAGTTTGAGAGAATAAAAATGGCATTCAACGAGATGTTGTTTACATACTAAAAAATCCGAGGTTGATAGTATTTTAGAATTTTTTCTATTAAATCCTTAAAAATGTTTTATTTGTATACTCAAATGACTATATGCTGCATTGACCAACGCAAAATTCCACTGTAACTAGTCGACGACTAGTTTGTTACTAATTTGTAGTACGCTTTCGAGTCTACATTGCTACAAACTACATTGGTGCGACTGAATTTTATTCAATGTGATTTAATATTTAACAATTGTAATGAGAGGAAACCCTACGCTTTTTTTTTAAATACGATATTTATATTTATATATTTTTTTTTATTATTATTTTTTGTTTTTTTTTCTTTTTTTATTACTTGTCATGAAAAGATTCACTACAGAAATTAAGAATTTTTTCTTCTATTTATAATAATTAATTTTTTTTTTCTTTTGTAACCTACCGGCATTATATAATATGTTTGTATGTATTTACTTGGTATTTTTGCGGACTCGTCGGTATAAAAAAAAATATAATAAACGCCTAAAGCATGCAGTTACATATGTATACATGAATGTTTTAATTCAAAAAGTCCATTTTTGTTCTTTAAATTACTATGCGATCTGGTTAATGTCGTCACTCCTTGAGATATTGCGATCCGTTCGTTTATTTCATTTCCTCGTCACAAAACTAAGGTAACTACAAAAATTACATATTTATTTATGCTTTTATTTTTATTTTTTTTTAATATTATATTTGTATATAAGTAAGAAAAGCTGCTAATATGCATGTACACATACAACTATTACAACCTTAAAAGAAATTTATTATTTCAATAGAGTATTTTCGCCTAAAAACATTTTCTAAAATAAAAGTTTAAAAGCTCATTAAAACTGTTTAATTTCTTAAAGAATTCTTAAGCAGAAAGGTTGAAAACAGTTTTTTATTTAAAAATTTCTTGCTATAACCCTTTCGTACTACTAACAGTTTTTTACATTTATTTCTTGTTTTTATAGCAAAAAAAAGCATAACAAAAAAGAAAATGAGTACAAATCTAAATTATGACAGCAGCCAACACCCAAACAATCTTAAGGAAAATATATATAATTCAAATATGTATGTGTGAAGCACAATAAACAATTACCGTATGCCAGAATGAAGATTATTTAATGTTACTAAAACTCATATTTCGATTTTTTAATGAATTGATGCATTGAACTTATCGTTAGAAATATGTACGTTGGTATGTAAATTAGTAATGCTTTTAATAGAACAAAAAAGGTAAATACTTTTACTTTGATATTATATAATGAAATGAACGAAAGAACAAACGTACGCATGTACAAGAAATTTATGCAAAATCACCAAATTGCAATTACTTTTAAAACGCTTTAAGTTAAATTAATCATTTTATATTCTTTATGGCATGCTATGGAGAGGAAATAAAACAATAAAGAATTTTACTACAAAAGTTTATATATTTTTATTTTTATAAATTAGCACACTTGCACTTGTAATTTGTATTGAAAATGAATATTTAATGCTTGCGCATCTCTTTTTTTAATTTGCATTATCTTTTTTCTAAATGTTTGTATGTAACAAAATTGAAAAAAAAAAACAACATTATGGATTTGGAGACTTGTGGGAGAAAATGCACACAATATTTTAAATTTATTTATGTATGTACTCGTTTGGAGGAACAAGTGTTCTTGACAGCAGCAAGTTGTTGTTTTACTTACCGTTTACTAAAACGTGATGACAGTTTCGAGAAAAAACTCATTCTGCCTGGATGTGGTGAGTCGCCAGATGCACCACTCGTGCCAGAGTACTCCAATGCAGCATTATTTCTAGTCCTGGTTTGACCTGTAAATTGAGTGGGTTTTTTTTGCAATTAGAAATTATAATTTTTGTTATGTAATTTGTATAAATTTGAAAAGTTCAATTTAAATAATCATTTGTTTTTTACAAATCTGTGACCGGCATTAATAACCGCTTTGCTTAAAGAACAACCAATTGCAGTTGTTAACTATTTTTATTTAAATACAGACTTTACCTATTTTTTTGGCATATTTGAGGCATAGTCTCAAAATGAAAAGCTTAAAATGCCTAAATTGATTATAAAAAGATTTGGCGGTGATTATAGACGACCACAGAAATTATTTTATAATTTTGTTGTTGTATTTATTAATTCATTTATAATTATGTTTCTTTTTATACAAAGTATAATGTGTTATTACACTAAGAAATATTTGAAAGTTCCACGTAGTTACGAGCTATAATATGTACATATATAAATTGTACAAAAATACATGCCATTTTTTTGAAGTTTATAAATAAAGAAACCTAAAAAAAGAAACGCGAAATTCGACAGACCTAAGGGGTTACATGGGCTTCATGAATTTAAAAATATTTTTTTTATCTTACTATTTTTTTCACAAACTCGATAATAGTTTACCAAATGTTCAAGTCGATTAGATTAAAAGTTTTGGAGATATAGCCTTGGTAAGGTGAGCGCAATGAAAGACTCGGCGCTTTAAACTTTAAGAGCGGTTTTCTTAAAACTGTATTTGTCAAAAGCTGTCGCAAACTACATAACCCAATTTGATAAGATTTTACACAGGTCTTCGTGTCAATTACAATAAATAAAAAAAATCTTGCACCTATTTTAAAAAATTTCAATATTTCTTTAAAAAAATATCTGCCAAAAATATATTTCTCACTTTTTTGTTCTTTCCTTCGTCCAAGTTCTAGTTTATGGTATTAACTAAAATACGATATTTTTTCGCACTTCAGCCTATACTGTCATTACTTCTATTGTCGGCGCAGATGTACCTTCTTTCCGTGACGTCACAATGGCGGAGTTATTTTCCTTTAAAAAAATTCAGAAGTTTCTTTTCGATAAGACAATAAGTACTTAGAGTAAGATATTTTTTTTACAAAAAAAATTACAAAAAAAAAAAATAGAAAATGTTGAATTAAGGACTTGTTTCCCCGAATAAACCCATGTAACCATTAAAATTGTATATAAAAGCAACCTGACATTGACACCTAAGCTTTTTCGAATAATTTTTTTTTAACCTAAATCAGAAAATTTTTGAAATTGGCTTGATAGGAACTATAAAATTTAATTTTTAGCAGCATAACATGAAAGATTCTTTCCTAATTTTCACCTAATTATTATGATTACTTTTATTTGTTCTTAATAAATAGTTTTAAAATTCAGTTTAAAACAAAACTGCACCTGCAGCATTTGAGTGCTTAAGGGAAAATTATAAATTTTAAATTTTTAAGCATTATAAGACAAAATTATTTGAAAAAAAAAAATTATATAAATTAGTTTAAAATATGCATGCTTTAAAATAAATTTCTTTGAAAAATTGAAAATAACTTGAAAAATGTATGATAATGGGTTTTGTAGTGAACGCGTTATCACTTGCCACGTACCGAGAAGTTTTTAGGCTGTGTCTACGAAAATTGCTTGACCCATTTAATAAGCGCGTACGTTGGAAATAACTTATAATTAAATGACTTTACGCCAATGAAGTGAATTTTTTGTGGCAGGCAGCGTAATATTTAATATAAATTTAGCTCATCGTACTTTTTTAAAGATTATAAAATATATTTTTGTATATGAAAAGCACGTATATTTATGTAAAATGACTTTCAAGACCTCAAACCGCTTTTGCTTGAACATGAATTGGCGTAAGCGAACGCACTTTATAAATGAGTAATGATGTTATGAACATGTTTTTAAAGCGTGTCTTATTTTTTTTGGAAGCTTCAACAGAACAGTTCGTTTGTTTTGTAACGCAGTCGTGTGAATAAAGCATGCGCGTAGAATTCGAAAAAGAAGAGATGAAAAAAAAACACCGTTCGTCGTTATAGCCCAGAGGAGTTTGCTTTAATTAATATCAGAAATTTTAGCTAAAATTTTAGTACTTTTTACTTTAGTATATTACATATTATTTTTACTATAAACTATAGTTAAATTTTATACCACACAATCTAAAGTGGTTGTGCATTTTTTGTCTATACAATTTGTGTTGGTATGGAAAACATTAATAAATACTGAATACAAAAGTATAATGGAATTTGAATTATCAGTGCTGCTTTATCGTAAAAGCCAATGATGAAGTAAATTAAAATTTAGCTTATTAACTCAATTATTTGATTATTTATTAATATTATTTCTATTTATTTATTACTAATTTATTGTATATTTTAATATTTAAAGAAATACATATCATGATGTTTTACATAGATTTGCAAAACAAAAACAAAAAAAAAATCGCTAAATTTAAAAGTAGAGACAACTCACCAGAATGAAAGGTTGATCGTAATGGCACATTCCTGGGGAAATGCCTGCTAGACTTAACAGCCGACGTCATTCTAAGTTGTTTGAGGTAACTAGATATGTTTTTGTTCATATTTTTTTGTTTGTTTAAATATATGATTTGATTGCGTCCAAGGATGTACGTACACATACAACAAAACACACACACAGATGTGATTATAAAAATGTCAACAAATCGTTGTAGAAGAGAGCAAAAAGCGGCGTAGGATTATATGCCATTATTACATTACAACATTGCAATAGAAGTATGTTATTCATGTATTTATGTATATATATTTGCATTTTTCATTAATTCGTTTATTTATATACGAGAGATGGGCATGTACATGTGGTGGTGGTGGTGGTGGTCAGTTTTGATTTGATTTGAATTTTTTTTATAATCACAATTGAACGAACGGGATGGTACGGTACGAACGGTAAGCGAACAAACAGTTAGGCAGCAAATTAGGTAGTTCATGTTGGATTTGATTGAGATCGTAGCGATGTCCAATATGTGTTTTCATGCGTAAGAAGAAATAAGAATAAAAAGAACGTAAATTAAAAACAACGAAATAAAAAATGTATTTAATTTTTTCTTTTTTTATACAATAAATAAAGTGCACATACATATATAGATATATATATATATATATAATTAAGATATTTTGCATTGCAGCGCTTATACTAATTGTAATATACAGTAAATATGTCTTTATTTACATTTTTGACATTACTAAAAAATAGGTTAGTTCATTTTTTAATTACATTTACAGAATATGGGGATTGGACTATTGATTAGTAATAAAAACAGCAAACATTATTTGCATCTATTTCGCTACCAATTTTTTTTAAATTTAATTTACTTTTTTTCATGAAAAAAAAAAAAATAAAAATAAAATAAACAAAAATCCCAATAAGCAAGTTGCTGATGCAAATAGTGATATATAAACAAGTAGAGCTGGAAAATATAGGGTGCAGATAAAAATGAGTGTCTGTTTTTTCTTTTTTAATTTTAACGATAAATAAATGTTTCTATGAAAATGGTTGTGAATATACGTATTAATTAATAACAAAAACAAAAATTAATATAATATGCAAATTTACTGCTTTAAATACACATTAAAATAGTTTTATGGCCAATGTATGAACATACATATATTACGCAATAATTTAAAATAAAATAAAAATTATATTTAACATACATATATATAGTTTTTAATAAACTTAGATAAATAATAGTTCGTTTTTCTGTTGCTCATTTTTTTGAATTGGAATATAATTATAAAATATGTTGAAAAGTAATAAACAAAATATATATGTGCGAAAATAGTAAAAATGTCAGCAAAAATATAAGTTAGAAGTACAGAAAGTTTCAGTAACATTAGAGTGAATGTTTATAAATATTTAATAAAGCTCAAAATAACTTAAAAGAAGTTTTGGACAGAGAAAAAATGCAAGAAAAATGTATAAAAGAAGGAAAATGAAATGAAGAATGAGCAAATTTAAAGAAAAGTAAATGTATACTTTAATTAATAAATTTCAAATAATATGCATATACGAGTGCATACAAGGCGAAAACAAGAAATACTAAAATAACGCTCATAAATAAAATAATTAACATTTAATATTATATTATATTTAATAATTAATAAATAATAATACGCCCATTACAGCTTTTTGTGAAATAATAATATATTTTATAGTACTCTCTACTAGAAAATTGTTAGCTTTTTTCTAGCGAAAAATTTAATACATGTACATTTACGGTCTAGAAAAATTAAAAAGTATTTTTGCTGCACTTTTATTGTTTCTTTATGAAACATACAATATATAGTATATTTCTATTGAAAAACTATTTTTTTTTAAGTACACAAAACTATTAAATTGTTATAACCTTACACCATTTTTTACTCAAAAATTTTAAAAATTTTATAACAACAAACATTTTGAATGTTTACACTCACCAAAAATTATGGAAGATGGCGTTTTAGCAATAGTAGCGTCCAGAGTGTCCATGATTATGTTGATATTTTTATAGTCCAAAGCAAGTGGTTATGCAAGAAAAAAGTAAATTTCCTTCCTTATTAGAAAAACAATACTTATAATAAAGTTTAATAATACAAAATTATGGTTTTAATGCCTAAAATATGGCTAGAAATTTACATCAAAAAAAAAATATTATCTTCGAAAACAAAAATATATTTTAAAATGTAAAAAAACATTACAAATATTGACATGCTTCTTATTACTATTCATACCAATTATAAAATATAATTTATAGCCTAACGAAGCACAATTTATTAAATATTTAATGAACAATCAATATCTGTGTTTTTTTTATATAACTTTCAAGCATTAACTGCATTTAGAAGTAGACTTTATAACGAATTTCAAATGAAAATTTATTACATATCTTAACTTACAAGTACAATAATAAAAACAATTTAAAGTTTATATAAAAAATATATGCTAAAAGTGTGATTCATTAGTTTTTTCTCTTCGGTTCTTTTTTTGGTGTGATTTTTTTTTTTTGTAAGTGTAAATATTGTGTCTTATACCTCGTTCCGAGTGTTTCATTGGAAACAGCGACTCCTCCCTCAGCGGTCGAGCCAGGGCTGGAGACAGAGGCGCTTTTAACATGGCCTTTTCCTGTAGAGTTGGCAGATCCACTAATTGTGCGTTTTCAAGAAAATTTATTACAGAAAAATCGAATCGACAAAAATGGGTAAATTTTTAGAAAAAGAGCAGATTTTCATATTACACACATCATTACACCAAGTGAAGTGTACGAGTATGGAGAGTTGAAATAGTTTTATTAAGCAATATGTATTTAAGAAAATTTTACATAAAACAAAATCAAGTTTAAGCTGAATATGAAATTTACATTTATTACATTTTTTTTTTCAAATTAAAAAAAAATACGCGTTTTTATTGTTGCTAAATTGATTTATGTTTATGTTTAATTAGCATGATGATATTAAGTAATAGATAGATATATGTAAAAACCATAGAAGATATAATGTATTTGACAAAAAAAAAATTAAATGACGACTTTATGAAAAAATTATTATACAAAGACACAACTTTAAAGCTGGTATGCAAATACATGTGTATGCATCATAATACATATATGCAGTATTTTTAATAAGATGCTACTATTTATTGATTAAATAGTATGTATGTACATATATCACAATGTCCCGTCACGCGTTTTATTACAATTATAGTAAGACTGACTTGACTGGCTCAATTGTGTAGGGTGTAGTCGCCTTCGCGTAATTCTCATAACAAAAAAAAGTACAAAAAAAAAACAGAATTTATATATGCAAATATCTACAAAAGAATTAAGTTATGTATGAATACATAAAAATAATATTTTTCTCAACAATTTACTTTTAATTCTACTTCAAACTAGCATCTAGCGCCATTTAAATTCAGTGCAGTTTTGAATGCTTAAAAATGCAACTCATAAATATTTAGGCAACTCACAAGGTTTTTTTTTTACATTTGTTAACAGTTCCAGTTAGCAGTTAGGTGTACGATTTATCTCTGACATAGAATATAAATAATACAAGTAAATATATGCAGTCTTCGTCTTCTGAGTGTACTGTTTCTCTCTATTCATGCAACTTTCAGTGATATTGATAAAGTGAATCTCAAATAAAATTCTATATGTACATATGTAATCATTTACATTTCCGCCAGGTATTTGCCATAAATTTACATTTTACAGTTAATGAAAAAAGTGTTGAAGAGTTATATACAATTAAAAAGTATGCATAAGAATTATATATTTTTATAAAAAAAAAAGTTTTATTTCAAAACACATTGTGAATTGCCTACTTAAATTCTCTATATAGCCTCTTAACTTATAAGACACACCGAAATTTCGCTACAACTTTGAAAAGATTTTGATGGCAGATAATTTCATTTCATGTTTTGTAATATATGCAACTTACTTTGTTTCTGCTGGCAATGCATTCGTTTTCTCTGTTGATGAAGTCTTTTCATATAATGTTGTTGAACGACGCGGTATCATACCGCTTGTGCCAACGGTAGTGCGATTAGTGTTTGATGTGTCGTATTTTGTTGAAGTTCTTGGCTTCGCAGGACTGTTAAGTGCTGTAATTGATAGTAGAATGGTAGGTATTGTCCATTGAATATCAAAATAAAAATTTGTTTGTTATGTTGAAGCATGCAATTACTTGTATCTGCTGTTGTTAAAAGCTTTTGAGTAGCTGATGTGGGTCTATGATTTTGTACTGCCAGCCTCGCAGTATTCTCCTTAATTGTAGCCGAATCAATTGTGTTCTGACGTTTAAAGTTGCTACTACTGCAAATGGAAAAATAAAGGCAAATGTGTGCGTCGTTAATACGAAAAACTTCTTTTTTTTTTAAGATTTTCTTGCATGTACTCACATTGAAGAGCGCTCAGCGGATGAACCCGAACCAGTACCACCGTAATTGTTGTTGGACGGCGCCGCATTTATAGCACCAGGAGCCGCTGTAGCTGCAACAGTAGCCGCATTTGTTGGGCCAACACCTGCGATAAAACGTTGAAAGATTTCTAAACATCATAAAATTATGAATTGTATTGATTTTGAAAGTATGCATGAGATGATTTCAAAAATATATGCATATGTATACAAAATATATTTCAACTATATACAGTACAAATGTATATGTACTATATGATACAAACTTTCGTCCTCACTTTTATATACATATGTATGTAAGTAGTATGCTATGTAATATAAAAATTGCAATAAAATAATAGTAGATAATATAGCCGAAAAAAATCGAAATCGATCAATATATTAATTATGTTCGCTTTGCAAGTGAAAGTAAAAGATATGAAAGTGCAAATTATGTAGTCATATAAGTTTTTTTGTTATTATTTGTATAATGCAGGTATGTAAAATATGCAAATGAAATTATAATTACATGGAAAGCTGGAAGGATGTAAAAAATTTTCAAAATATTAATGTCAATTCTACTAATAATATATTCCAACGGCTTTTTATCTTTGAAATTTTAAGGTTTCACTAACACCCGCATTCAAAAGCTAAGCTACGCTGATTATGGTAATAAGTAATAAAACATCTGTTGATTTGGTTTTAACTAATTTTCCAGTATTAATAAAATCTCAGACTCGTATTTATTTTAAACACAACAACTTCACCCGGTCTTGTTTTCTACATCTATTTTTATTTTGACTTCTATTATTATTTTTATTTGCTTATGTTAAAAATTTTCAATAATTTCAAAAATAAAATCAATCACTTACGTAATGTTTCGGCGCCAGATGAAGCCCGTCGACTTGGTTTCGTATTCGAAGCGGAAATGCTTCGATGTACGCCACGATGTGTTGGACTCTGAGCAGACGCATTCGTAGTGGCACCCGCGTCATTACCGCCCATATTACGCAAGGATAGCGATGAACCAGAACGTGAACCATCACTTTCAGGCTATAAATATGCAAAATAAAAGAAAATAATTTATTAAAACAAATAAAAATTGAAACAAAATGTTTTAAAATTAACAACTCACATCTGTGCTTTTTCTGCCCAATAACAGATAAGTAGCGAAGACATCATCATATCGTACTTGGGAGAGTGAAACTTCAATATCTTGCCTGTTGTAACCCATTGCCACCAGAGCCTCTGTGGTAGTTGTTTAAATTGCGTTAGAAGAAAAGTTGTGTATTAGTTTTAAGCGAGTTAAATGTTTGCTAAAGCTAAAACCCATACAATTGGTATTTAAAAAGGACGCTTTTATTTAATTGATGAAGTATATATATATATAACATTTGTGTATGTTAAACATTAATGTAGTTTGGGTATTTTCTTACGGTTACAGAAAGCCTAGCACAAACTATTGTTTAAAGAGGTGTACGGATTTTTTTTTTTAGTTTTATTAAAGTAAATGTACGAAGATTTTTATACAAATGTGTTCAATTTCATCAGAAATGATTCGTTTCAAATAACTATGTTAAGTTACGAATAAATTAACCACATACAAATAGTTTTGCAACCTAATATCCAGGTTTATTTTAAGATCAGGAGGCTTTCATATCACTCTCTGTTGTGCTTTATTTAGCCGCCAACCTTTATGCACGTATGTACAATACAAAAACCTTGTATCATGTTAATCAGCAATCTTGCTACAATTATTCCAGGCGTCTGGGAGCTCACAATGCTGCACATACATATGTAGGTATGCATATGCAATGTGGTAATTTACCTTTAATTTAAATTAATTTTTAAATTTCCATGCATGTGTAAATACGTACTGTGTGTATTAAATGCATTTAGAATTAATTTTCTTGATTTCAAATGGAGAAAGACAAAAAGTTGTGACGTCATCACATATAATACCGTGTACCAATTGACTAGTGTACATATTTGTTAATGCTTTTTTTTTTTTTTTTTTTTTTTTTTGCAAACATATGTGTAGTAATTTTCATATGGCCTTTAAATGTTTTCAATTTTTTTTTTATGGAAATTCAAGTTAAATTCATATACTCACAATGATAAATCGCAACTTCAACATTTGTTGCTGGCTCGAGCACGAGTTTTTTGTACTATGATATTTACATCGTTTCAAATAAGTTAGGAAAGTATTTAGATGTACTTATACGTTTAAATACATATACAACAAACAAATATGTGAATACTACAATCAAAATAGTATTTATAAGGAACAAATCAAATCATATACAACAATCATTAATGGAAAGTAGGAACAGAAATTGAAAAAAAAAAATTGTATTTATATTGGGGGTACGACATTTATACTTCCGTTGTAAAGAAGAAAAACGCATTAATTTTTAACGCAAAAAAATTGCTGTATATTTTTGCATATAATATATTTTAAAAATAAATCTTCACTACACCTTAATGCAAATATGTATATAATGTACATATAATTTTAGCTGTACAAATTTTGCTGATTATCTTAAATAATATCAGCACAATCACAATTTTGTATATATTTATAATTTTTTTTAATAATGCATGATTACCCCATTTGAAGAAGAAGAAAAAATAAAGATATATAATACTTTTCGGATAATTCAAAATGCATGCAGGGGGACGAAAAATAACCACTTCTATCTAACTACATACACAAATAAAGTCAAGTTATTATCTTGTGTACAGTACCCGTCTTACCTATCCGTTTGGGATCAGCTAGATCTTGTTTTGGTTCTATATAAGGTTTCAATTCGTCATCTTCAAACCCCATATTCATCCATTTATCACTCATTATAGTTTCCAGACTGGCGCGTTTGGCTGGATTCAAAACAAGGAATTTACGAAGTAAATTTTCACAGTCAGTTGACATATAGAACGGAATCCTATGGTGAATTGTGTTAAAATAAAAATTAATTATTAATGAATTGTATTAAAAAAAAAAAAAAATTATAATTTTATTTTGTGCAATTTTATCATACCTATATTTGCCTCTGAGTACACGTTCACGTAGTTCTCTTAATGTAGAACCATCAAATGGTAATGAACCACTAACTAATGTATATAAAATCACTCCCAAAGACCAAACGTCCACCTCAGGACCATCATATTTCTTTCCCTGAAATAATTCAGGTGCAGCATATGGTGGACTACCACAAAATGTATCCAATTTAGAACCGGGCGTAAATTCATTGGAAAATCCAAAATCGGCGATTTTTATATTTAATTCGCTGTCTAACAACAAATTTTCCGCTTTTAAATCCCTTGAAAAAGAAATAAACAAAAAATAGAAATATATAAATTATTATAAAGCAAGGATTCATGATTATATAATTTTTTTTTTTTGTAATGCGTTTAAGATAAAATATTAATTTTCATATCTGTACAAATCGGCTTTAGGTTTATAGTTCTCCGTTTTCGGTGTTAATGTTTATTTGTATAATCGTGTATGCAAAATTAAATTTGACATATTAAAAGCTTTTTAACGGATATTTGATCCAAAACCTGATATCTGAAGAAATCGGTTGTATGGTTACTATATCTTCTCCATTTTCGATGATTTTCGCTAACAATGTTTATTTGTAGATGCGAATATAGAATGCGAAATCTCTGCCATTTATATGATTTTATGACGTATTTTCGAGCCAAAACCTCATCTCTGAAGAAATCAGTTGCAGGGGAGCTATATGATATAGTCGGGTGATTACCAATATGCAATACATTGTACGTGTGTAGAATACCAATTTATTGAAGTACTTATAACTCAAAATCACATTTCTTAAAAATCGGCTGGATGGGAACTATATGTTATAGGGGTCGGATTTGGCAGGTTCCGACAAATGATTACAACACTATAAAATTACATCTACTCACCAAGTTTGGTTGAATAATCTAAATTTCTTGAATCAGTTTGCGTACAAACAGACGGACCGACGGACATGGCTAAATCAACTCAGTTCCGTCATTCTGATTACATGGATTTAATGGGTATATCTCCTTCTGTTACTTAAATGCTTCTGACCTAAGTTAATATCTACATCATTTCAGGTTCATAAAAGGTATAATTAGTGAAAGTGTAGATAAAATAGTTAAACAATTCAGAATACTATTGAGTCATCATTTCAAGCACTTTTTTTTGATTTCGAGCTGAATATCTTGAAAGCCTTTAACAAATCGCATGACTTTGTTCCGACACACATTTTGATTATATGAGGTTTTATTTGATGAAGGAGCTAAAGTTATTTAACATTTTTCTATAAGTATTCTTAATTATTTTTAAGTACTTAAATTTAGTTTTACTTATTCTATAAAATTTAGACATTTTAAACCGACAAACCTGTGTATAATTCTCTTTTGATGACAATACTGCACAGCTGATACGATTTGTCTGAATTTAACACGCGCCTCCTTCTCCTTCATTCGACCATGCAAGACAAGATAATCGAATACTTCACCACCGGACGCATATTCCATAACCAAATATAATGTCTTTTCGGTTTCGATAACTTGAAATAGTTTGACAATGTTTGGATGATCGAGCATCTTCATGATTCTAACCTGTAAAAAAAAGTAATTTAAAATTAGTATTTTTCATTTATATATTATTATTTAAAAAAAACTTATGCTCCAACTTACTTCTCTAAAAAGTTTCTGTAGAGATCCCGGATTTAATTGGGTTTTATCAATGATTTTAATAGCCACTTCTTTACCAGTTGGCAAATGTTTAGCTAATTTTACTTTAGCGAAATTGCCTTTACCAATTGTTTTTATAAGCTTATACTTTCCAATATGTTCTTCGGTGGCACGCCAACGCATTGGTGCACTGGTGCGCAATTGCATATTAGGTGAGCCCTAAAATTTAGAGTGAAAGATGGAGAAATGTAAATAATTTTTTTTTGGTTTATGGTAAATATGCATATATGTATGTAGATGAAAGGTGATATATAATAAATAATTGTTGTAAATATAGTATTACTTATATATAGACGTAAATATGTATACATTGTCTAAGTGTTCAAATGAAATAAACTTGATTTTTAATTTTAAATTTATTACGCTTGTTATAATAATAATTTTTGGGTTTAAAATTGTAAAAAAAGACATCTAAACGTATAAATGCCAAAATTTAGGAGAAAAAAAAACTTCTCTGCATAAGTGGAATTTTTAGTTTTTTTAATTCATTTTTATTATTTTCGGGAACGATATTTTAGTTTTTGACAAATATTAATTTCTGCATTTCACCAAATATACTGTTATTTTATTTCATATAAGTTATTGTAATTTTGTTTTTTAATTTCTTAAATATTATTTATTTTCTGTTCTTTTTTTTTGAAGCCAAAGCTATTTATATGTATTTTGAATTAATTTTTAACCCCCGTCCAATTAACGTTATCCTTTAGATTAGTTTTGGGTACTACAAATTGTTTATTTGATGTTTGAATTGAAGTGAGAAAGATTTCAAATATTTTGCTAACAACAGCGAGCAACATATATTCTCGCCCTAATGCCTCTATGAATTCTGTTTTCGCTTTTTCGAAGTGAAAATTATATGCATTCTGAATTAATACCTTAACCCGACCATTTAAAAGCAATAATTAATTATTTTTGCAGGTTAGTTCTGGTATTAAAAATTATGTATTTGATATTTCAATTGAAGTGAGATGGTTTTGAAATACTTTGATAAAAAAAACGAGTTTGCAGCAAACATTTTTTTGCGCTTTAATCTTACAAAAAATAAATAAAAATATATTATCTCTAAAATCGTGTATTAAAATAATCAATAGTAGATTGAAAATTTTTTAGACAAATTTTAAGAAGAAATTGAAGAATAGCCATTATATATATAAAGGCGAATTGAATATTATAAACCTTAAGTGTGCCAATATTTATAGTATCGATATATAAGATAAATAATGAGCAAACACTTCCTTTACAAGACAAAATAAAAAATAATCAGTATATTTTCTCCTCAGAAATTTAATTAGTATGCAATTTTTAATGTCTACATACATATTTGTAATGGTGACTTTGAAAATTGCATATTTAACATACTTTTTTCTACACATTCTTCGCCTTGCTTTCCTTGTGTGCTTTCTTTACGTAAACCATAAATGGGAATACAACAAATTTAGGTCGTACATCATACATATATTGATTTGTAATTTGTGCAGTGACTGTTATGCATGAATATATCTATGTGCTGGTAGAAAAGCACTGTAAATGGGTGTAAACGGCAATAATTTCAAAATAATGAAAACAAAAAAAAAATCAGTAAATTACTTAAAAACGTGAATGAGAGCACAAGCTAGATTCAAGATTAGAGGGAAAAGCTTGAAAAATAAACCCAAGTAATTGCTAGCCATATAATTATTGGAAATTCATATTTAATATTTCCACGACATCATTTCTTTTTATTTAGCGAATGCAGCTAGTTCATATAGGTTAATGATTTTACTGATTTTGTGCATGAAAAAAATTGGGAGATAAATCATACTGTTAAATGGTACAGAGGTGCGGACACCAAGATGAAGCACTAAAATTGTATTAAAAAAATGAACAAATTATAAAAAAAAATAGAAGGGAATAGAATATAAAAAAAATATAGACAGTAAGCATTTTATCGGTATCTGTCTTTTATGGCATAATAATATTTAAATGATACATTAATCATTAATAAAATCGGAGACAAAAAAAATACATATGTATTTTCGATACTTAGGTCAGGTGTCAGGATTTATGTACTCATTTTTCCAAAAATTCGTTTCAAAAGTGTCATTCATACAAAATATTCCGGTTATGTATATGCATATGTATGCAGATAATATACGCACTCAAACATTTTTTCGGACTCATCGCATTTCTTGTCCAGATGCATGTGTGTAAGTCGTCGCTGGCAATTTAAAATCAAGCACACAAATTGATCATAATAAAATGGCAACTGACCTTAGAAAAAATATTATTATATTCAAAATCAAATCTAAATGTCGAGAAAATGTCTGCGGTGTTGAAAGATATTTTTTATTAATGCTCAGAAAAAAACTTTCATAAAGCAAAAGAAATGAAAAAATGCAAAAAAAAATAAAATAAAATAATATATATATATTTATATATATATAATTAATTAACGCTTTGACGATTTTTTCGGTCGAACTCTTCCTCCAATTTGTGGTTATGTGTCTTGATGTTTTTCCAAAAAAATGGAGGGGCATACAGTTTATACTAAGCCGCCTCCGGACGGCTGATGCTTTTTTAACGAGTAGCCTTTATTTCATTAAAAAAAATTAATACAAACATTAAAAAAAAATTAAATAAAAAAGGAAATGAAACGAAAAATATAATATATTATTTAAAAAAACTATAAATTAAACAAAAAATTAAAAGTAATTTAAAATAAAAGAAAAATTAAAAAATAAACATTTAATTAAATTAATTATGTTAAACGACCGAAAATATAAAATATTAAAATAACATAAAATGGAAAATATAAAAAAAATGTTAAAAATTGAAACCTAAAAACTATCAAAAATTTAAAAAGAAAAATAAATTAATTAAGGAAAATAAACAACAAAAATACAAAAATAAAAAAGTATAAAATAATACTAAAAAATTAGAAACGAACTAAATATTAAATCAAAAATTTTAAACAGAAAAAGATTACATTATAAAAAAAATATTAAAAAATATATGAATAATTTTATTAATACAAATTAAAAAAAATTATAAGGAAAAAATTAAACAAGAAAATTATTTGTCCCATTATTCAAAGTTTTAGTATTTAAATTTAAATTACCGTATCATAGAATGCCTTTATTCTCTTTTAGAAAATAAACATTTTGTTAAATATTTGGTTCATACGCAGGTTGATACATACAGACGTAGGCACTTCAAACCGTTTGTTAAATTAATTAAGTGTAATGTGTTTTACAGCCATACACAGCTAGTGTTTGTAAGTAGATTATAGGTAAATTATTTCTTTTTCATACAATATTAGAACACATCTTCAACACAAAGGCAAGGTAATTATTGTAGATTAGAGAGCAGCGTAAGTCAAGAGCAATTATTTAATATTAATTCTTATGCTTTCACCGATGTCATTAAGCGCTAATTTAACTAGAACTAAGACTAACATAATAAATATACGTATATGTATAAACAATATGTTAAACTAGATTTAAAAAAAAATACTGCTCTATGAGTTTCATAACCAATACAAAAAAAATAGTTCACTTAACCTAAAAGCGCAATCTTTACCTGATTATTATGCATAACATTGCCGACGTGCCGATTATTGTAGGCAACAGTGTGCACAGCGTTTGATGCAATCGCCGTCCTTTCGGCGGTGTGCGGCAAATGCGCCGCCGCTGCCGTCGCTGGTGCAGCCACTTTCGGCGTAGTTATAATAGGATTTAATGGCCTAGGCGGCACAACCGAAGCGCGTGCCGCAGGTGCCGCATTTCTAGCTGCCGCAGCACTTTTACTGGCGGCAGCAGCTCTTTGGTTAATCATTGATTCAAATTTTCTCAGATTCTCCTCACGATGCTTATCCAATGCAGCACCATCGGTCTGCGAGATCGTTTTACCAACACCAGCACCTGAAGCAACGGCAGCGACGCCACCACCACTACTGCTAGCGGTGCTGCTATTACGACTTATGTGGCTGCTCGGTGAAGTAATAATACGTTTGGTCGTTTCATTAGCATAACGTGCAGTGTCTCTAGCACTTGTTGTTTGCAGTGGTGTTGATGATGATGGTAACTCTTTATTAGTGGCTACAATTTTCTTTTGTTTTATTATATCACGCATAGCCATTGTTTCGGTATTTTTACTATCCGACGATGTGCGTGTAATTTTCGTTTTATATGGACCTTTTGAGTAAGCGCCCACCGAGCTGCGTGCGCCTGTGCCACGTTGAAAATCGGTTATTGAGTCACTTGAGTTCTCCATATCTGACGGTGGCGTTAAATAGCTGAAACCAGTACCAGAAGCCATTTCACTATTACCAGGCTGCAATAGATTCTCCGTCTCACCATAACGTTTACTCTGCTTTTTGCGATCTATCTGCAATTCATCGATACTCGGCTGTCGTATGTGTTCCATTTTCTTAAAACTCTCTTCCATATCGAAAATATGCTTCTCAATGGAGCCGAGCGCAAACGATACATTCACATCATCTTCAGCTGTGAGCACTAAAGTCGGCTCTTTGGTCAATTTACCAGCTGCTGCGGTGGTCGTCGTCGTATATGGTGTTATAGATGAGGCTGCATTGCGTGTTATCGGTATTCTATTACGCATTTTCACCACATCATCATCAATAATAATATTGCTTTCCCGTGCCAGTGTCATGCGATTGCTACGCGGCATGATTTCCGTATTATCCGTAGTATTTTTCGTATTACTATTATCTGTGGCACGTTTGGTGTTCGTCAAGCCTTGTACTAAATAAAATTCATCACTCACAGCACTAGCAACCTTGTTAAGCGTTTGCATTTGCCTTTGAGTTTCGTCATCATTAACTACCACATCATCACCATGGTCATCGATATCTAAATCGACTTTTGTAATGTTCGGCGGTGCTGGTGCCATGCCTTTGCGATGTGTTGGCAAACGGAAGCTCTTGCGTGTACTATCACTACGATTCAAATCGGGAGTTTCCATTTCTCTCATGACACCAAATAACTATAATCAAGATATTGGTGTTTTTAAGCACTTTTTCGTTTTTTCGTATTTCTTTTTTCAAGCGTTGCAACTCTGTATTGTTTTATTGCTTTCACACAAAAATACACACTTGCGCATGAGCAGTGTGCTGATTGTATGTAGGTTTATATGCAGCACGAGAGTTGCAGCACACGCTTGCTCTTACTTTTTTTCTTCACTTTCTATTATAAGCAATCTACTATATACACAAAAAAAAAGTTTTTATAAAAAAAGGCAATTAAACAATTTCATATCGAGATATAAGCAATTATAGACGTGTATGTTGTCTGGTACGAAATAGAAAATTCATGTTGTGATTGTTTTTCTAAAGAGTACCAGACATGGCGATATAAAAATTGTTTAATTCCTGTTGGTGAAAAAAAAAACACATAAATACAATTTTAAATTTAACAATTTGGTTCATAAAAATTTATAAACTAGTTACAATAGTGAGCTTTGTTATTTATTGTCACATAAATTGGTAAATGAGTTTTTGACATGAATAAGAGTTTTAGTGAGGCTTGAAAAAAAAAAAAAATAATAATATTAATAATAATAATTTTAGAAAAAATATTGTTTTCTATAAAATAAAAATACAAATAAAAAAATATATACAATAAAAAAGTTAAAAAATTAAAACGATAAATACATAAAAGATGTATAAAAAGAACAAACAAAAAATTAAAAACTTAACTGCAATAATATAAAAAATTACAAAATAAACTAATAAATTAATAAAAAAATATTATAATATTAAAAAAGAAAATATAAAACAAAAAAAACATAAAAATAATACAAAGAAATAAGAAAAAATAAATGATAAAAACAAAAATGAATAGATAACTAAAATATATTATATAAAAAAAATTTTACCAAATAAAAAAATTTAGATATTAAAAATAATTTAACGAAAAAATTTACTTTATGAGCTTAGAAACTTCTAATTAAATGATCTTAATTGAAATATATGCAAAAATAAATTTTTTGCACTCAATAGGAAAATTTATGCAGCTAGTGAACTAATATATGATTATTAAATGTAGCCAACACGAGACTGTTTATATGAAATATTAACGTAAGTATACTCTAATTTTCAATTAACACATTTTGTTGACGATTTAAATAAAATACTGTTTAGTGAATGCATTGACACTTATTGGAAATGTTATACAGAAAAGCGTTATGTTGAAAATGTAAAAAAAAATTACTAATAATAAGGAAAAATTTTAATATCCAACCAAATGTTTGTTTTTAGAATTAGTTTAACTGCACACTTTTCAGTAGTTTGTTAAACAATTTTCCACTGTCCGAACAAACGTGTTTCGCATGGTTGTGCATAAAGTAAATATCTCAATAATCAAAAATAGCAACGCGCTAAATAAATATGTCATCAATAATATATATGTATGTATTTACTCATTCAACAACAATTTATGTGACAACAAATAGGCATATACTGACTACTACTTGCGCTCTAATGAGCTAAATACTATTTTCCGTTGAAATTCTTTTTGTGTTTAAAACTAAACTAATTTACAAATTTAGTCGTTGGGTTTTTTTTTGTTCTCTTCTTACTTAAATTTTACATTCGCTTTTGTTTACATACATATGCACATTTATTAAGGTATTATACAATCATTTTCAGGCATAAATTTATTTATATAAAACTTATTATGTAAAAAAAAAGAATAATTCTTCTCTCTGTTTGTAATTTAAAAGTGCAGATCTTAAGCAGTTTGAGCAAAGTTATAATTAAAAAACCAAAAAATTCTTTTTTGTCGTTTAAAAGTGCAATTTGAACTGAACAGGTAAAAAAATCCAATCTGTTTAATTTAACCTTTTCTTAGTACTACCATTTATTTACAGTTAGCGTGCAATAATATAGAACATGAATAAATCGATTGATTAATTATTGCGCACATATGGTTTTAAAAAATTTATAACGCTAAACAAATCGTCTATATTATGAATGAAAGCGAATTCTCGTCACTTTGATTTCTGTTTTTATAAGATAACATTATCTGAAATTATTTAAGTATTTGTATACTTGTCACAGACGTCTGTACGGGATTTAACACAAATATTTTGTTATAAATTTATTGCTTGGTTAGACGGTTAGACAGTCTAATCGTCTTTTAAGCCCTTGTGACAGCTGAGTTTCTAACAAAAAAAAAAAAAAGATAAATAAAAATAAACATAAAAAGTGTAATAAAATAAATATTTCACCGATATGATCTAGAAGAAGTCAATTAAAAAGCCTATTAACCGATAAACTTTAAATGAAATGCATAAAGCGCATACATTTGGTAAACACTGTTGCAATAATAACATTAATGTTTCAGTTGTTGTATGGAGAGATAAATTTATTTTTTTTTAAATTCAAACTAACCTCAACCTTAACCTAACCCTACTAAAAAAAATCTGTCTACACTTCCTTCGCTATAAATAGACATAAAAGCAATATAATCCAGTATATATACACGTGTCTATTTATTTTATAGTTTCGACAAAGCATAAAGGAAAAAAAAACAAAACATTCTTTGGAAACCCACAAAGGCCATACTGAATTTTCATCACCAAAATATATGCGTGTAATGATTTTTAGAAAAATAATTTTTTTTTGCGGCAATTAGATAACAGCAGCAACATTGCACTCCTGGTTAGCATTATTCCGCAAAGCAGCCGCGCTAGGGTATTTGTCATATTTAAAAAAAAAAAAAATCCATTAAGGTCATTTAATTTTGCGCACAGACGTGATCATTTTTCATGCTATTCCATTTCAAATAAAATTTTACCACTGAATTCTGCGAAAAGTTCGGTGTTTAAAACACATAAATTTAACCACAAATTCTTTTCAATGAGTGGCAGCACTGAATTTGTGGTATAAACAAAGATCAGCTGTTCCTGCCACATATTTTCAATTAAATATAATCACAATTTGTGAATGCGTGAACGCTATTTTAAGAATTACAAAAATAAATCAAGAATTACTTAATATATTATAGAAAAATAATGAGTGTAGGTGTTTGTGCTTGATTTCGTACGGTACGGTGAAATCAAGTTTGGTGTGAGACACGTGCGCTCCGGGGGAAGAAATGTATTAAATAAATTGTACGACAGCCAACATAAGATGCTGCATACATACATATACATATATATGTACATTTGTGCAAATGTATGTATGTAAAAATAAGTATTGGAAAGCGCATAAAAATAGCTAAAAATTATTATTGAATTTAGGAAATCCATTTCAAATAATATGAATAATTCATTTAAATTACAAATATGTATATGCGACCTTTGTTTTTAGTTCCTTATACATACATACATTACACTAGCAGCCATTTTATATTAATTGCATTGTTTGAGAAATTTAATGGAATAAAACTTGTACAAGTCATTACAGCTCAGCATTTCTGATGATTTTGTGCTTTGATATATATGTATAACGTTATTTCCTGAATAAAATACTATTGCAACAAAAATCTTGAATAAAAAATTATTTAATAAAAATTTATTGTAGCCAAGAAAATTAAAAAAAACTTAAATGCTGCGCCAAAAACAATATTTTTGCATTGCACTTTTTAAAAAATAATATTGATAATATTCCTTTGAAATGTTAAATATTAATTTAAATTGCCAGATCTGCATGTTTAAAGTACATACTATGTATTGTATTACAAATGCAGTGTGGAAGCATAGCGCTTGCCGCCGTTATCTTAATTTCTATGTGACCAATATGACCTTATAGCGAATCTAACCTTAAATTGTAGCTTATAAATAATTATACTATAAACAAACATATAAATAAATACAAAAAAAGAACAACATACGTATCTGTAAAGTAATTTTTTAAGAAAAAAGTTAATAATAAAAAAAGAAACTTAGAAATTTTAAAAACTATATATGCACATATACAAAATTATTAAAAACATGTAAAAAATAAGTTAAATGCAAAATTAAACAATCAATTACAGCTTGCGAGAGAGAGAGAGAGAGCGTGCGTTGTTATTATATTTTATTAGACATTCCGTTTTCTAATTGGCAACAACTGCTTGAATGCACAAAAATGGCATATTTTGAAGCGAAATTAGCAAGTGAAGATTTATCTTTTTTCAAAATAATTTTACTGATAATTTATATTTAAATATGTACTAATATATTCATAAAAGACTCAAATGATAAGCAGCAGCGAAGTGTCAAAATCTCAGGTGTGCGTTAAAAAAAAGCTATGTAAGTAAATTACGCAAATTTTGAACGCACTACTATCATCTACTCAGTGCTAACTAGTCAATATACGGATACATATTTGCAAGTATGAATGTATACGCTCAACACAACGGATCTTCTATAAATACATATGTATGTATGTATAACCGTAATTCGTACAAAAATAGTTTACTGGAGAGTAGGTGTAAATTGATTTTCCAAATATCTTGAATTTTGTGATTAATTAGTCTTCTAAATATGCCAATCTGTGCTATTATTTACAGATACCGAATAACGATCTTAAAAAAAATTAAAACCCTTAGAAAACAAATTTTTGTTTATCGAAAAAAAAAGAAAAAAATCATAAAATATCGTTATCGATATAATCGTTATCGACAAAATTTAGTCCTATAAAACTAATTATTTTTAAATAAAATTAATTAGAAATACTAAATTCTTTAACAAAAAGTATCGAAAATATTTCAATCACCGATTATAGTTATCGAAAAATTTAAAGTGATAAAAAAACATGTTTTTGGGGAAAAAAATAAACCAAGAGAAAAATATCGATAAAATGTGATCGCAAAAATTAATCTTACAGAAATCGTAGAATATTGATCAACTGTCAAAAATTTAATTTCAAATTTTTTAAGAGAAAATAGTAATTTCAATATTATGAAAAACATCGATAGAATGTAATCGAAAAAAATTAAATCCAAGATAAAAATATTGTTAAACTGTGACCGAGATAATTAAAACCCTGCCATTTTTAATAGGAAAATCAGAATAAAATATCGATCAAACATACAATATCGATACAAAAGATACAAAAATATCGATTAAACTATATCGAAAATCAATTTTAATCGAATCATAACGATTTTGTCATAAATAAATATCACAAATAAAAAAATATATAACACGAAATTGCGAAGAAATTTGTTAGGAAAAGTTTTAGTCGAGTTGAAAATAATTATGGTTACTGTTTGCATTGTTTATCTTTTTTACAACCTGACAGAAATGAACATATATTGGTTGAGAATCAAATAAAAAAATTGACTTATTTAACTTTACTTGGCTAATTAACTAACATTTTTAACAACACAACTTCCCAAGTTCTGTTCACTCATCTCGTGTCTAACCTCAGTAACATCATAATAGAATTGAATTTTTCTCTTTTATTGTATGCTATAAAGATCCATTGTGTTTTTGTAAGTTAATTAACTATTATAAAATCTGCAAGGTGCAATATATTTTGCATTTTTTTTTTTTAAATTAGTGGCACGTAAAATAATATACATATATACTCATAGCACCATCACATATGTACATGCGAATTTATGTATATTTTATGTGTAAGCATATAAGTAAATAATTATATTTCTTCTTTTCGTTTCTTTAAGGCAAACGTAGATATGTATGTATATATTTAGTAAATAACAAATATTGTTTGCATTCTCTTAAAGTAGTTTTTAGGAATTTTTAGGGTGGGTAGCTGAAACATCTGAAATTAAATACAACAAAAAAAATTAGCTTTCAGTTTACGAGTCACTTGTTAAAGATCTACAATTAATTAAAAAGATGTAGAAGAAGAAAAACAATACTTGTGTTATTATGAGAAAAAGAAACGAAACAATAATGTTTCAACAATTGAAAACGTTTTAATGTTTACAGTTATTCAACGCACATTTAATAAATATGTAGGACGCATTTGTAGATACATACATAAATTTATGTAAAATGAACTTAAAAACATTTAAAAAAAATGTATACACGTATATATAAGATGTGCAAAATATTTTTTTCCCTTTTTTAATTTGAAAAAGTGATGTTTAGAGGAAGTAACAAATTATTATGTACATTTTTATATACATATATACATACAACATTACTTATAAATGTAATAAGACAAACACGTGTGTGTTTTATAAAAACAGTATAGCGATAGTGAGACGCTATTACATTTATTAATTATTACTAAATTGCATATATATGTAGATAAATAACTATAAATAAACAATACAATACAAATAACGAGGAAAAAATGCTGTAACTTATCACCAAAGACTAGGCAAAAAAAGAAGAACATAAATAAGTGTTTACAGTGAATGGCTTTAGCTAATTAATACATACAGATGTGCATACAAACATACACAGTAAGTCATAAATGTTTATACCATACGAGTATTTGTTTATTATTGTTGATGAGTCACATTTTTTTTTTTTTTTTTTCAAAAATTGTTACATACAGTATGTGTGTGTGTGAGTAAAAATAACAAAAACGATATGTGATTGCATATGCAGTTTTTTATGCATTAATAACAACTTAAAACGAAATAAGCTTTTCTTTCGCACAAACGCTTTTGTGTTAACAAACTGCTTTATTTTGCCTTTTGTATATATATATTTTTTTTTTAATTTTTTTTTCAAAGAATGCGTTTATACGTATTTGCGTAAGAACCAAAATTAACAAAATTGCTTGAATTTGTCACCTATTTATTAAAAAAAAATTAATTTAAAATAAAAAAAAACATAATTATATTTAATTAAAAAATACAAAAATCATTTTTTATTTCAAAATACAAAATTTTTAATTTTCATTTAAATATACGAAAGCATTTTTTATAAGATACATTTTTTATTTCCAGTTTTTACGTATTATATATAGTTTTATTTATATTTTTATCGTTATATATATTCCTTTATGTATAAATTTGTTATTTTTTTTATTTGTGTGTTAATTTATATTTTTTAATTTGTATATTTTATTTCATTATGTATTTCTTTTTATTTATATTTTCTAATTTTTTTTATTTATATTTTCTTATTTATTCTTTTTTTATATTTTCATATTTATTTTTTTTTATATATATTTTCTTATTTATTTTTTTATATATATTTTCTTATTTTTTTATTTTTTTTATTAAAATTTTCTTGTTTATTTATTTTTTTTTATTTATATTTTCTTTTTTTTTTAATATTTTCTTATTTAATTATTATTTTTTTTGTTTATATTTTCCTTTTTTTAATATTTTCTTATTTAATTATTATTTTTTTTTGTTTATATTTTCCTTTTTTTAATATTTTCTTATTTATTAATTTTTTTATTTATATTTTTTTATTTATTTATTTTTTTATTTATATTTTCTTATTTATTTATTTTTTTATTTATATTTTCTTATTTATTCTTTTTTTATATTTTTATTTATTTTTTTATTTATATTTTCTTATTTATTTATTTTTTTATTTATATTTTCTAATTTTTTTTTAATATTTTCTTATTTATTAATTTTTTTTATATTTTCTTATTTATTTATTTTTTTTTATTTATTTTTTTTTTATTTATTTTTTTTTTTTTTTTTTTTTTTTTTTTTTTTTTTTTTTTTTTTTATTTTTTTTTTTTTTTTTATTATTTATATTTTTTTATTTATTTATTTATTTTTTATTTTAGTTTATATATTATTATTTTTATATTTATATTTGTCTTATTTTATTTTTATAAATATATCTATAAGTGGCGCTTTGTAACCGAAGAAGCGATTTTATATATACATATATATTTTTAATAATAAACAGTTTATTTCCCATTCATCGACAATGTTCTAAAAAACCGAAAAATAATTACTCTAACACAAAAAAAATCCAAAAATCGAGAGGATGACGAATTGTTATAACAACCTCAAAGGTATGAAATATCTATTTGAAATTTAGTTACGCTGATGGTTATGACTAGTTCGTTGTTAATGACATCCGGCAATGTCATCAATGACTTACATAAATACTTTCAAAAGTAAAGGGCGTCTTTGCTGCTTAGCTAATTTCTGTTGTCCAGCTTATACATACGCTATATAAAACATACAAGCATTACTGTATATCAAGCAGACATCGATTTCTTTTCAAAGAAACTTGCAGCGACTTGCTTCTTTCGTAACCTAGTTTAGTATTAACTGCACATAATTCTTTGCCTAAATTCAGTACTTTGGCATGATAATTCCAGAAAAAATGGACGTGTAGAAAGTAATTAATGAAAACAATGTAAAATCTCTAAAACCCATTGGCACATATTCAATTCGTGTGCATACTTGACTATGGCAATTATAACTACCAAATTTGACCGAATTGTGTTAAGTGGTTTCTGGGATATACTTTTTGACCCAAAAGTCGGTGGTGCCATGACCATCCGATATTCAGCCATTTCCACTCAAATGTGTCCGTACTTCAGTTATAACAAATCCTTCTTCTTTAGGTTGTCGAATAGACGGACGAACCGACACACCATGGATAAATCGATGCTCCTCCAAAGTGATTGATGCATGGTCCATGGTCTAGTTTCCAGGGGAAAAAGTTATTCATATATATTAATAATATATAGATATCATTTTTTTTTTTTTTTTTTTTTTTTTTTTTTTTTTTTTTTTTTTTTTTTTTTTGAAAAATTTGGTTTCTGACCCACTTCCCGGAAAGAAATCATTAGTTTGGACCGAATCACTGGAGAACACAAAGTTTGATCAAAGCAGGTTAAGTAGTTTCAGAATTCATCGCTCACAAACATCGTTACAATTCGCTGTCTATAAATAATTAATATCCTCTTTCGAAATAGAATTTGGATGCCTACGACATACATAAAAACGCCCTCCAAGTTTCAGGGCGTTTTTAAGAATTATAAATAGATTATATAGATTTATCAACGGAAGGTTTGTAGTTAAGACGTTACTACTGTACATCCATCAGCTTCATTCTCCACAACAATGTCGCACGATTTGAAACCTACAGAGCAACTAGGCGATTAAATAGAATGTAGCTATAGAAAAATATAGACAAAAGATGAGGAGATGCTTAAAATCTCACCATTTCAGGAGTGAAATCTCATTCCACAACACTGCACAAAAATCATGGGTATGGATTTTCAATGAAAAAGAAAATAAGCTTTGTATGCAAATATTGGTTTGGTTTTCTAATTTCTATTTATTGTTTTAAATAATTTTATGGGAATAAGTAATAATCTGATTTGCTCGTACTCGTATGCATATTTAGAACTTACAATGTGAAGTATAAAATGTTTAAACCAAATACTACTATAGAATAAGACTTCAGTAGATAATGCATTATTATTTAACATAGATAAAAAAAAATTGTATACCCCACGCCCAAAAATGTTTTTAGAAGAAATAAAATTATATAAAAATTTTTTGTTTTTCACTACAAAAATAAAAATGTGTAGAGTTGTATTTAAATTGTTAGAGTATTTAAATTGTTAAAAAAATTGGATAGGTTCATTACTCCCAACTAATTTTTACTTTCCAAAGGCATACCGTTTATTAAATACATATACATATTGTATACATATATATATTGAATTTGATAAGAAATCCAGACTGCTAAGTGTGAATATAGAGCGTACCAAAAAAAAATTAAAAAGAAACAATCCCAACAAAGTATAATAGAATAAATACAGACAGAATTAATCTTGAAACAAATAAAATTTTTACAATAGTCAAAGAAGAACCGCACAAAGACCAATTTACTGAATTTGGAAAATGTCAAAAACAAACAACAATGCATAAAATGTTGCAAATTTTGTTTGAAGTATATAATTCATATTTTTGGTGAACAACAGCAGCAGCCGAACTGAGTTTCCGTTTCGATTGGTACTATACTCATATATGTCATATTTTCTCCTGCGGAGCCGCCTCTAAAATCAGACCCAACCGCTTTAATGTGACTTGCAGCAGTGGGAGTGTTGCGCGGAGACTCATTACATCTTGAACCTACACTGGGTATATCAACGTCGAATCTGGATAGGTAGGAGTAGTCTGCTAAACTGTTAAGATTTTAAGTGCGCCAGTAATACTCGAGTCTCTGAAGGCAACACGAACTGCTCCTTGACAGCAGTAGGTATGTCGGAACCGAATTTGATAGGTGATAAGAGTTGAGTCTGCTACAATAGCATAGAGGTCTCTCGAGATAGTGAAGGTGGTGCCCAACATAGGGCAGCACTTCTGTTACGGCTTTCAATACGGCGATTTGACGGGTCTATGTCTATAGTTCAGTAATTTTTGGCCGGTTGATCAAATTGTTGAATGCAGGCTATTGCATTAATGTCTAAGGACTTTTTTGTACTAATATTTTTCGGTACATTTTCATCGGCTACTGATCATATCGGCTTGGTGTACAAATTCTAGTGAGTATAAATGTCAACACAGATAGAAGTCGAATATTTAGCGAAACTTTTTAATGGACTTTGAGAAGTTGCGGCTTTTTGATCTCACCGAGTATTGTCTTTTTAGTTGACACTTTCCACTATCGGAAAAATTGTTCAACAAAAGTGACAAACCAGATGAACAGTTACATATATTTTATTTACGTATATTTTTGTGCTGATAAGGACGGGTATCGATTACATACTTCTGCGCAGTAAAGTAATCAAATGTAAATGAAAGCAACAGTTTTAAAAATACATTGTTTCAAATGCATACATATTTTTATAAAAAAAAAAAAAAAAAT